AAAAAAAAGAGTGGGAAGAAAAGACCTTACACGCACATCTCAGTCACCCACCCCCCTAATTATACGTCTCAATCCGCAAACTATCCGGACTCCCCCGCCCCCGCCGCGTCTGAATCGTATCCCTCGACCCCCGTCGAGACATATCCTCCCCACCCACCAACCCCTCGCTTGATCTCTGCGCCAGTTCCTGCCGTCGCGCCATCACCACCGGTGAGTCCGAGAAAAGCACCCGCCCGGGGGCATACGTGCACGGGCTCTCGCGGCCCTCGTCCTCCGCAAAGTCCTCGTGCGCCGCCTCCCGCACGATCCGGGGAAACGTCCGCAGGATCACATGCCGCGTGGGATCCCCCTTCAACCCGACGCATCCTTCCTTGGGCGTTCCGTGTTCGTCCCATGCGTCGTTGCTGACCGCGTCTGCGTTGGGAGATGGCAGGGACGCCAGGATGAGCTCGCGCTCGACCCGCGCCAGTCGCCATGTCTCTGCTGCAAGCTTGACGATCCGTCGTACCGCCGTGAGCAGCGCGTCCAGGCGCGTCGGGTCCACGAATGGCTTCAGCTGTCCGACGATCTCGTCCACGATGACCGCCGCTGCCACGTTGATTGATTCCTTGGCGTCCGAGGTCGTGTACGCCGCTTTGAGCGTCTGCTGACGCCAGAATGTCTCGCGCCGGACGGACTTGCGGCGGATGTCCATCGACAGCATCTGGAAGAATGTGTCGGCCTTGTCGTATCGCCGGCCGAGCGTGAACAGGAACGGTTGGAAGATCCGGTAGGTCAGGGTTTTCGACAGGACGTGCTGCACAAACGCCGATCGCAACTCGCGCGACGCCCGGGTGTTGTCCAGGAACGACGGCAGCTCCGAGGGTAACTTGTCCAAGACGTCCTTGGGGGGAGCAATGGGAAGGTACGCAAAGTACTCCTCGGACAAGGAGACAATCTGTTGGGAAAGCTGGTCGAAGCAGTCGACGCTAGATATTCAAATTCTTAATCAGAGAAGGTACATTTATAACATTATCCATATATCCTCATCATACTCATAATCATAAAGTTCTATCCAAAAAAACAAAGACAGAAAGAAAAAAGACATGAACAAGAAGAGAAAGACCGAGATATGCAATGTGGTCTGGTTCTGTTTTGGAAAAGAGAAAGAAAAACACAAAGAAAGGATACAAATGAAAGTTTTAAAGGAGAGGCATGTCAATGCTTTCAGAGACAGAAGATCGAAAAACAGTAAAAAGAAATGAAATAAGGATGAAAAGCAAAAGGTCTTCGACTGCGATGCAGTCTCAATGCACTAGGGCACTTACAAGAAAGAATCACCCTTCGTGCTCTTCAGGTCAGTGGCTTCTCCGAGGCTGGTCAGGGTCTTCCGCAGCCGGTCACAGTCATTGCCCAGATTATCAATCGTCAGGCGCATCCCTTCCGTGGCACCTTGAAGCTGCCGATCCTTGAAAGCGCCCTCTTCCTCCAGCTTGGCGATCTGTTCCAGTCGTTCCGCAATCTCCTTCTCTAACCCGGCCACCTCCTCGGCGTGGCTGGCCTTGAGAGAATCCACCTCCTCGGTATGCGACTGCTGCATATCCGCAACCTCCTTAGCATGTTGCTCCTTCGTCTGCTCTAACTCGTTGTGTTTGTCTTCAAGCTGCGTCTTGGTCGTATTGAGATCGGCCACCGTGGAGTCAAACTCGGACTGGAGCGCGTCACGCGACGCCTGCATCTCCTCCTTCTGCTTCTCGTAGTCGGCCTTCATCGCTTCCTGGTCGTCGAGGAGCTCCTTCTCGCGCGCGGCCAAGGCCTCGGCCGCCGCCTTCTCATCTTCCGCCTTGATCTCCTCGAAAAACTCGGTCAACTCCTGCTTCTGAGTCGTCAGGGCTTGCTCTTGCTCTTCCGTCCGTCGCTCCAGCTCCTTCGCATGGCTTTCGCGGGTTTCCTCCAAGTCGTGGTTGAGGTTTCGGACCTGCGTCTCAAGCTCGGATTTCGAATGCGACAACTCCACGTTGGCTTTCTCCGAGTCCTCGTATCTCTCCTCAAGGTCTTTCCACTTCTCTTCAAGGTTCCCCAACTCCATGCGCAGTTCGTTGATCGAGTTTTTAAGGTTCCTCGACTCCTCTGCGCTCTCATTGGCCGCTTTCCGCATCTGGCTCTGTAGGGCTTCAATGTAGAAGTCCTTGGACATGATGGCCTGCTCATGCTGCGTCTCCAATTGCTTGAACTCGATTTCGCGATTGTGCAGCTTGCTCTTGGTGTTCCTGTAACTGCCCATTAGGCGGCTGATGTCGGGAATAGCATCCTGGATCCTTTGTAGAAGCTCGATGGGCTCGTCATGGTGCTCCGGAGGCGACATGGTCCCCTTGCCGTTGATCCCAGGTGCGCCCCCGAACCCTAGATCGCGCAGGGCTTGGAAAGACGCGGTGTTGGGAGTCTGCTGGGGCGCGGCGTGATGCATGGTGGGAGAGGCGTGATAGTATGGGTGGTACGGCGGCAAGAACCCCGCGGAGCTCATCACCGGGGACTGGTAAGCGGCAGCGTAACTGGGCGCCATAGTGACGGGGGCAGTTGGGGGAGGCATAGATCCCATGGACTGCGGCATATGCGTCACGTGGGGGGCCATCATCGGAGACATATATGGGCGGGCCAGGGGACTGCTGGCCTTGGGTAAGGGGGAGGCGGATTTGGGAACCGGAGAGGCCCTCCTCTGTCCAGGAGACGCGGTCTTGGCAGCCGAGGAGCTGGACTTGCGCACAGGAGAAGCGGTTTTGGGGGACGGAGAGTGTAGAACGGGCGAAGGGGCATGGTTTGTAGAATACGGCGGCGGTGCCGGAGAAGCAGGCTTTTGAACAGGACCAGCAGTCTCTGACAATGGTGAAGCAGGTTGGGCCATGGGAGAAGCCCGAGGGGAAGATGAAACCGGCTGCGGGACTGGCGAAGCAAGTTGCGGTATGGGGGACGTGATTGGGGGTGTAGGAGCCACCTGCACGTTGGGCGAAGCTGGTTTGACTGACGGTGAGATGGGCTCTAGGGCCGCTGAAGTGGCCTCTGGCACGGGAGTTGCAGGCTTGGATGCGGGTGGAGTTGTCTGATGCACTGGTGAAGAGGCGTGAGGAGCTGGCGACGCAACCGCTGACGAAACGAAAGGGTTCGACATATTCGCTGCATGTGTATCGACCTCGAGAGGACCAGTGTTAGACCGAGGAGAACCCGGGATGAACTGGCGTTCTGTCTCAGAGGGCGACGGCAAAGCACCCGAGGCAGGTTCCTGGAGGCACGTGGGGGTCTGAGGTGCTGTCACCGGCGCCTGCTCTGGTGGTTCCAAAGGACCACCGTTTGTTTCGTGGTAGGTATGCTCTCCGTTACTAGGCCCGGTCCCGTCGACGAACGGGTCGTTGTCAAATTCTTTGAAGTGGGATTCTCGAGGGGTTGTGAAGGCGAGTTGGACATCGTCCGCGTCCTGCTGCTGGTCTATGGACATCTCAGGATTGTCAAGTGGAACACTGTGGTCGGCGTCTGCCCACGAGGGTGGGGTATTTTCGGCAACAGGCTGTGTCGGCTCTTCCGACAGTAGCTGTTCGACACGCTGAAACTCCTCTTCAGGCTGAAACTGCTCTTCGGGTTGGAACTGCTCTTCGGGTTGGAACTGCTCCGGCTGCAAGTGCTCTTCAAGCGGTAGCTGTTCTGCAGGTTGAAATTGCTCCTCGGGCTGAAATTGCTTTTCAGGTAGCTGTTCCGCAGGCTGTATCTGGTTCTCGGAGTGTAATTGCTCGTCGAGTGGTAGCTGCTCTGCAGGTTGGATCTGCTCGGCGGCTTGTAATTGATCTTCTGGCTGCAGCTGGTCCTCAGAATGGAGCTGCTCCTGGGGTTGTGATTGCCCTTCGAATTGCCACTGCTCCTCCGATTGTTGCTGTAGCTGTTCCTCGGGCTGCACTTGCTCCTCAGGTTGCAAGTGTTCTTCAGGCAATGAGTGCTCTTGCTGCACGTCTGGCTCTGGGACTACCTCTGGTTCTTGCGTTGGTTCCGGCAGCGAGCCAGTGGCGGGAGCTGTTTCTGACGATGGAGAGTTGACTTGCGTCTCGGGCTCTGCGTCCGACTGCCGTGGCTGCTCTGGCTGCTGCTCTTTTGGTTCCTGTGAGGCAGGTGCGGGTGGAGGTGTCTGGTTATCTGGCGCATCCTGACCCTTTCCCTTCTTATTCTTCTGCTTGTTATCTGGCTTGGCCTTGCCTTTCTTGCCTTGTTTCCCCATCGTGGGTGGTTATGCGTGCCCAAGTGCGAGAGGCGAAAAGACGTGTCTCCAATGGTCTGATTAAACCGTCAGCAGAGACTCGATTGGATAGTGAACGGCTTAGAATAGTACATCTGCGGGCACCTTTTGACAACGTCAGAAGATATATTTCGAGGCGATAAAACAAGGTCCTCGAAGTGGGAGGACTGAAGAAGCGTAGAAGGATAGAAAATCTGCGGGTCGGGTGACCAAACAGGGCAGCGAGCAGCACAGGTAAGATTTAAAAAAAAAAATAAAAAATAAAAGATAAATAAAAAAGTCAAATCAAAATTATTATTTCCTTTTAGGAAAAAAAAAAGGGAAAATGCAAAGAAAAGAGGAGAGTGGCAGGTGCAGGTGGAGGGGGAAAATAATAGCACGCGTGCAAATAACCCGGCGTCAAATGCCCGTCAAGACAGCAAGCATATGGTTCCGGAATGCCAGGAAGTGAAGTCAACCACTAGGCACCAAGACCGTTCATTGGGTTTCTAGAGAATGGAATGGGAGAAGAGAAGCGGCGGAAGAAGGAAAAAAAGGTCAACTAATAACCTATCCTCCGCCAAAAAATCACACCGAAACAGCCAACAAACACAGGAAGCACTGCGGCCAGCCCCAAGGGGGCTGGGCGAGGCGAAAAGCGGATCGAAGCTCAGCAACTGATTGATACCCATTCATCATGGAGCCAGACGGGGCAAGTAGAAAGTTGGACATGCGTTGACTGTGGATCACCATCCGCTCGATCTCCAACCAGGCCAAAGGCTCATCTCCCTATCCAATGCTAATCGGCATTGGGCATCAACGATAGTTCCCAAGGTGGCAGGGGATATCACGGCGGGCAGAAACCGAAGCAGGAAATTTTTCGTTCTGTCTAAAAAAAGGAGGCGCATTCGGACCTGTGGGATTACGGAGAGGCATGGAAATGAACATGGCCATTATCATGAACAACATGCCAGAATACCATGGAATGACGAACCATCATAGGTAGATGGACATGACCGGAGGCCTCGAAAATGAGAGGCAGGGAGATGTGGGGCCCAGAGCTATATTAAGAGGATGACATGTCGCCATGGATATCCAGAGATTCGACCGCCTGCATGAATTGGCATCGGACGCAACACCAATAACAGGATAGGACGATGGAGCCCAGTGGGGGGCAGTCGGAGTCATCAACACATTCTTGGATCTGAGATAGTTGGCCATGCATGCGGACCAGTAGGAGATGCGGTGTGTCAGTGACTAACTCCGACTACGTTAGCTTTGTAGATGAAGGCCAACACAGCGACCCGCCGGACTCGACTGAGAGTATGTCATTTCTCCCTTGTGATTCGGGCAATGAACCGATTCCATGATCCTTGCAGGGATCTAACTGACAATGAGAGAGAGGAGTCGTTGGGCTGTCATGATCGATGAATGAAGGATGAAGGAAGACGAAAGGGGTTTAGCTTGGTGGGAACTACCGCCTCACTGCGCTATGCCTAATCGGGCCACCCGTGATCCAGTGACTTTGGGGCCTGATTCATGAGGGTCCAGATCACGTGCACTCCGACCTCGAATGGACCGCGAACCATCTCAATCCTCCAACCGGCGACGGCCGATTATTACTCAGTTCTCACGACCCCCCTCTTCACCCTCTCCCCTCCCCCTCTTCTCCCCAATTACAGAACATGTTTCTCGCCCGGCGATCCGTGGCGTCTACGCGCCTGTTGCTGCGGAATCAGCAACCCCGTCGATTGGGTTCCCATGCCGCCCATGCTGAGCCCGTGAACGAGGGCGTCGGTGTACGTTGAACCTCCATCCCATATCTGCCTATCAACACGACGTCATGCATATCCCACTCAATTGAATCACTCCACCCCCAATGGAAATACATTGAGAAAGATTCATTCAATCAACTAACGCAATTGGTTACAACAGCGCAGCTTCTACGTAACCATCGGTAGCATCGCATCCGGCCTCGTCCTCTACCGTCTCAGCCAGTCCGACTCCCCTTCATGGATCACCAACCTGATCGAGAAGTGGACTCCCTCGGAGCAGCTGTTCGAGCACCGCAACGCCATCCACACCGTCGCTATGGAGAAGGCCGCCAATGACCGTCACCTGTTTGGCAGCCAGGGTCCCCGTGAATTCTTCGATCTGAAGCAGCAAGAGTGCGTTATTCGCCCACTCCTAGAAGACAAGAAAGAAAGAAAGAAAAAAAAAAAAAAGGAAACAGTGTCAATGTGAATTGGATAATGGCTAACGTCGATCTATCAACAGAGTCAGCTTCCACCCCGGTCCTCCCTACAACAACATCGCCGGCGGCGCCCCCGACTTGAGCCACGTCCGGGCCCACTACGAGCAGGAGCACAAGACCAAGGAGGAAGCTCGTGTTTTGAGGGCTAAGGATGGCAAGGCTGTGAGCTTGTACGATTAGATTAAAATCATATGTATCTTTCTTCTTTTTATTCTTTTTTATGATCTCGCTGTGTTGTATTGCTCTCAGTGGATGGGATGGAATGGATAGATGCCGGAAGGGAATTGATGGCTGGCATGGTGTACATAGGATGCGGAAGCTAAAGATCTTCTATTTTTGTTTTCACGAAGTTACATGAATTCGTAGCCTCGGTGGATATTCCCGTCGAGAAGTAATTGGTCCATCTGTACCGACCTAGGTAGGTAAGTCTAGGCAGGTCGATATCAAACTCCGGCCTCACTAGGTATCCGTACCTACAGCATGTACCATATACCAAAGATAGACATCGTAAATAGATAGATCACTACGGATACACTCAAACCAAACCCACCCCCAAAACCACCCTCCCAACCCCCCCAGACTGCACATCCAACCTCTGCACGACCTCCACCCCGTCACCGCCAATCCGGCCCAACACCGCCAAAAACTCATCCACACCGCCGCCGACCCCAAAATAGACCTTCTTCGCCGCGATCAACGCCCTCCTCTGCTCATCCGGCCCCGAACGACGCAGCAGCTGCAGCAGCGTTTCGGAGAAGGGGGTCAGTGATGCGGGCGCGTAGATCGTTTCGCTGGCGAGGATGAGCGTTTGCTTGTACTGATTTTGGCTGGTGGTGATTAGGTCCACGAAGGCGGGTGACCATGCGCCGGAGATGAAGTCTATGGTTATGTTTCTGGTGGCGAGGTCTTGTTGGAAGGCTGTTAGGAGGTCGGGAGTTATGTCGAGTTCTTCTTCTGATGATGATGATGCTGGCTCTGATTCTGCTGGTGCTGGTGCGTCCGCGCCTTGCTCGGCGTCAGTGCGGTGAGAAGGGGAATTGATGATGTGGTTCCACGTTAGAAGCAGGTTGGGCAGCGTGACCAAACGCAGCACGACATCATTGTAATCCGCAAAGGTGAGGCGAATCTTCTTGCTGTTACTGTCCGACGAAGCCGGTCTAGACAGAAGCTGCGCGAACAGAGCCAGCGAGGGCACGGCTGTTCCTGCGCCGAGCTATATACACTTATCAGCATACAACATTCTCGCGAAGAAAAGAGTGAAAGCCCACCTCAATAACATGCTGATCCCCATCACCGGAGAGAGCATTCTCGGCGATGACCACCTTGGCCAAGTCAAGAGCGCACTCCCACGTCTTGAACCCGCCTTCATAGAAATTAGGCTTGAGGTCGCCTTGCTCCAGGCCGGAGATGAGTTCCTCATTTTCATGGTCCGCTGAGTCTTCGGCCATTAGCTGCGTGCGGATGTCGAAGATCTCCCGACGCGCGATGGTGAGCGCTGCGCCGGGGGTGGGGTTGGTGTCATCTCCAGCGGTGTTAATCGTGAGTGTGTTATACGATATTTGAGATGGAAGAGTTGAGATCTGCGAATATGGTCAGAGAATCTTGCCTCACGAAATTTCCCATGACGAAGAAGAGATATCCCATGCTATGCCTTTCGGAAGATACATGTATACATCATGCACAGCGGAGGATAGACGGTTCGGTTCGGAGATAAACCCGCATAAAGGAGACACACTCACCCACTCGCTAATCTCATGCCGTTGAGCCGGCACCAGCTCAGGCAAGGCACTGTCTTTTACTTGCGCGACAGCCGAACTCGAACTTCCCTGATCGAGACCGCTCTGCAAATCGGTCTCGTCGGCCTCGATATCGTCTCCGGAGAAGCCGAAGCTAAACATGACTGACTAGGTTCCCAACGATTTGGATATAGCCGGTCAAATTGGATAATCAAGGAGCCGAGACAGTATTGTCAGACACAAAAGTAGGCCAGACAGTGTTGATCTGCCCGCTAGTGATCTCTCCGATGTCTATCAAGTAATGGTGGGGTTGGCTTGATAGATGAATCTGTCGATGGAGCCGCGTGTGTACGAATGAAATTGCCGGAGATATCTCTATTCAGTCACAGGGGCTTCTCTTATCTCAAAAATTGAGATGATAAGTACGAGCCGAGCTAGTCGTGGGGATTTTCTCGCGATGTTCATCGACCGTTCGCATTTCATGTCTAAAATTTGCGCTGCATCGATTGATGACTAAGCATATCGGTGCATGCCTAACTATAACTATAGCCAGTTCAGTCTTAAAGGATCACGGCTCTTACGATTTATGTAGGCATCATTGGGGAAAATGAGTAAATTGAGATGGTGAGGAAGAAAGATTCCCCATTCTATTATGTGTCGTAATGTATCGCAGACCCCGGTATAGCTAATTAAGCCACCCGACAGCCAACCCATGACATCGTTAAAAAGAATCTATACTATAGAATAGATCACACTCTATGCATCTAAACAAGTTGTATCCCACGCTTCCACTCAAGCCGAGCCGTTCACACCCGCCTCGATGGCAGCCTCGACCTTCTCAATCGCCTGCAGCGCATCAGCCGTGAGATCCTCCACGTCCTCAACACCGCAGCTCATGCGGACGAGGTCGTCGAAGACGCCGGCGGCCTCGCGCTCGGCCTTGGGGATACCCGCGTGCGTCATGCTCGCGGGGACCTCGCACAGACTCTCGACGCCGCCCAGGCTTTCCGCCAGCGTGAAAACCTTGGTGTACTGGCAGAAGAGGTGGGCCGCCTTTTGGCCACCCTTGATGCGGAAGCTCAGCATGCCACCGCCCATGCCGTTGCGGTGCTGCTTGATGGCGATCGCCCGCTGCGGGTGCGAGTCGATGCCGGGGTAGTTGACGGAGGTGACGTGGGGGGAAGCTTCGAGGGCCTTGGCGACGGCCGTGGCGTTGGTGGTTGCCTCGCGGGCGCGCAGGTGGAGCGTCTTCAGACCACGGTGGGCCAGCCAGCAGTCGAAGGGCGAGGGGACGGCTCCGATGGCGTTCTGGAGGAAGGTGAGGCGCTCTTTCAGGGAGTCCGAGTTGAAGGCGGCGACGCCCATCAGTACGTCCTAGGTTCTTGATTAGCCGTGTATTCTAACGTGCGCAAGCATATAGTTTGAGATCCGAAACCAGGAGCTAAAAACTTACCGAATGTCCGTTGATATACTTGGTCACGGAGTGCACGACAATATCGGCGCCGTGGTTGAGCGGGTTCTGGACGTACGGGCTCATAAAGGTGTTGTCGACCACGACAAGGATGCCATGGCTATGCGCCACCGCGGCCACCTTCTCAATATCCACGAGACCCAGGGTCGGGTTGGACGGGGTTTCGATCCACACCAGCTTGGTCTCGGGCCGGATCAGCTTCTCCACGTCGCATTCCAGCGCGGGGGAGAAGGTGACATCGACACCGTGGGCGGAGGCCACCTTGGTGAAGTAGCGATGGGTGCCGCCGTAGACATCGGAGACGGAGACGACGTGCGAACCGGGGGTGAGCGACTGGAGGATGATGGCGGTGGTGGCCGAACCGGAGGCGAAAGCGAGGGCATACCGGGCGTTCTCCAAGGCGGCGACGGCTTGCTCAAAGTGATCACTATCGGAGTGCGGTTAGTATGCGATAGGAGGATCTGCGGGATCGTCGTTCCTCACCGGTTGGGGTTGGAGCTCCGAGTATACTCGTAGAGGCCGACCGGGCTGCCAACCGTGGTCTGCGCGAACGTGGTGGACAGGGAGATCTACAAACGCACGAGGTTAGTACAACCCACCATTACATTTATCAGATAGGGAAAAGACGAACCGGAGCGATGACGGCGCCGGTGGAGGGGTCGTGAGGCGCACCGGCGTGGACGGCCAGCGTGCCGAAAGCCTTGCGCGGAGCGGAACCGTTCATGGCGGGGGAAGAATCAGAGTGACCAGTCATTGTTCCTGTCAATCTCAGATATATCAAAGGTAGAGAAGTATTAAAGTAAAAGGCAATTGTATCAAGGGTGAAACTCCAAGAGAAATGCAGAAAAGTAGCTGGAAAGGGATGCAGCCAAAAGAATCAAACAACCGACGTCAGTCAACAGGAAGAAAGAAGAAAAAAAGAAAAAGAAAAGAAAAAGATAAGGATGTTCTAGAAGCACAGAAAAAGGTATTGGAATAAATAGAAATCGAATTAGAAATCGCATTCCATCGAACTTGCCATTAATAATCCCAGTCAGCCTTCCATCCTCCAATCTCAATCGCCTTGATTGCGACCCCTCCATCGCTTAGTGCAGGTAAAGCATGCCATTTGCTCGCTAAACCACTGGTTCTATCCACCTGGCCAACTCGTGGTTTCTTTTACGTTTTGCATCACGCCTCGATTTTATCTGAATTTTTTTCTGGCTCTGGTCCGTGGTGAAGACCGACGGAGAGAGGAGGACAGGGCGTGACATCTCCGCCACTAACCGAGGATCGCAGCCCACGGCTAACCGGACCCAGTTTAGGCAGATCCATGATCGGGTCCATTCCGGGTTTGGTTGATTGTCATTGGTGGTTTGGTGAGATTCGGGTTGTCAATAGTAGCAGAATCCTCTCCATCGAGTATCAGATTAGATCTTCCTGTGTCTGAAATTGAGTGCTTGCTCAGGGTTTGAGTAGCTATCCAACGGTGGACCGGAACAGCACTTGAAAATGATCAACCTATGGGATTTTTGTCGAGTAGCAGAGATCATTCCATTAAATATGTTGCTAAGAGTGAGATCTAATGGTAGATTCTTAGCATACTCCACACAATGCTATATCAACTGGGACATGTCAGCGGATATACTATCATGTAATCTGTCAGCTTTGGCTCACTCACGAGCTCAATCATTTATAAATCAAAGCTATCTCCATCACTGATTGGTTGAAACTATTAATATCATTCTTCAATGTGCATGGTTAGATCTGATTTATAATAAACATATAGAGCAGCTTCGTCATTTGAACATATACCTCAAGTGAGGGGCAGAGTCATACCACGTGATGTGGCTCAGATAAAGTCTCGCATATCGAGCAGACCTCCCTCGTACAAACTGGACCCCATTTGTCTTTGCCAAGATTTCTTCTAATTGAAATGCCCATGGATTCGAAACCTGACATATTCACTTATGCGGATTTCAATCTCCAGGCTCTATGTCGTCAAGCGAGCGCGCTGCGGCAGGGCATCTCATGTGCTTGTAATCCAGATCAACGTCCCGCCTCGGGAAGTTTCAACTAGGCTATCTTTATTGCATTTGAAGACGGGGTACAATGGGTTTCAGATCCCCGCACCCCAGAATATTTATGCCGATGGAAATGGGCATGAAGCTTCTAGCAAGTGAAGCTGCCATCCTCCGATACCTCAAAGTTCATAGCGATATCCCAGTTCCAGAAGTATACAACTATTGGTACCAAGTTCTCTCGGACCATAATTATATCCCTAACTTATCATAGCACCTCACCTAATAATGATATTGGTATTCCGTTCATCTTCATGAGCAAAGCGTCTGGTTAGCCATTATCAGAAATCTAGAAACCAGCTGGTTCTATTCAACCGGACTTAGACACTCCCAGTAAGGTCAAAGTTATATCCCAGTTAGGCGACCTTACCTGGAAGCTTTCACAGCTATGATTTGATACAATCGGCTCACTTTTTGAAGAATATGAGATTTTCAAAGTCAAGGAATGCCTCTCTCGTGGTCATATGCTGCATGAACAATATTCTTTAGACATTCCACGTGGGCCTTTCACTTCTGAAGCAGGGTTCTATGACAGTCTTGGTTCCGCGTTCTCCGGACATACAGAGATTCTGCCTCTATCGCATCATTGTTTTATAGCACCTGTTCCACGTCGGGACGACTACCAATCCAGCATGCAATATAAGAGCGCGGTGAACCTGTGGAACGACTTCATGGCTGTTAGGAATAAAATTAACTCGTCGGACAACAGACTGGACTACATTATTATAGGTAATGCTCTACACGATATTGTACGCCGAATTAATCTCCCAGCTGTTGATCCAGAGTCATTTCCATTGTGCCACGCTGATCTGAGCGTCAATAATATATTTATTAACAAAGATTACAACATCACCTGCATTATTAACTGGGCATTCACTTCGACCGTTCCTGAGTCTTTACTATTAGCCGCGCCAGGTTTGCCATAATACCGAGATGAAATCATCCTGGAGTTACATAGACCCTTTATAGATGGCTTTATTACTGCGGTGTCCAAGTTGGTGGAAGAGAGTCTGATTCACAAATACCAGGAATCACTCAGGCGAGGCCCGGTCTCTTGGAGATTGAGTTAACTCCTTGACCTTGACTCTATAGCTGATCATGATTTCTTTACTACTGTCTGGCACTTCATATATGGTTATAAAAAGGAACTGGGTCAATATTTTTTACAACAGCGGCATTCACCTCACTATATGAAGCTTTACAACAAAGTTCGAAAGGAGGATCAGGCACCTTCGAAAGTTGAGAAAGATGAGAAAGATTATTTTCAGAACAAGGATTTCCAAAACACAATAGCTAAGAAGCTGACCTTCGTGTCTGAATGGAACACACAATATACCGCCAATAATCCACCAAGACTTCGAAAAGATATGTTTGTCGCTTCTCCCACATTATGGAAGTGGATTCAGCAAGCTATGCAGGATTGGGAAGACATGCCTTGATATGTCTACTCCATGGTGAGTGACCGCATGCGAATCTTTACCTATTTATTGATGTCTGCCTCTTTTTGGACTCTCAATAGCTCATCATCTAGCTCCAGAAAAGAAACAAGTGACAATAGATTGTGCCTCACCAATCCACTAATAAGTACGGCTTAAAACAAGACCCGCCTGGCGGCATCAATTCCACTAATATTCCATCTCCGCGGCGCAGTCCGATCCATCCACACCGACCAGTCACCCCAGAGAGCAGGTCTCGGAATCTGCACATACTCCCAGTAATCCGGATACCACCCCGCAAATTCCCAGCGAGGACTCCCGTGACGCTATTCTGCTCATCAATCATGATATTGCGAGGTGCAATATCGGCTTGCGTGAATACTGTACTACCAGACCGCGGCAGCATGTCATGTAACTGATGTTCATACCGACGACCCTCGAAATGAAGGTAGCGCTCGACGATGCGAGCCCGCAAACCCGAATCATTCGTCAAGGGTATGGCTGGATTTTGCAGGTCCTCAAGCATTGGATCCCTTGTTGTGGAGCCATCGGCGGCACATTGGAGAAGATCTTCGAGCTCTGATGGACGTGGGATAGCGCGTATCTGGGAGATTAGATCCCATGTTTGAAGACAAACGGATTCTTTGCTCTTCTCGTCTAGCGTATCCTACCTCTCGTCTAGAAGAGATCCCGTAATGAGGGTCATCTCGATACTCCCGTGGTCAGGGCCGAATTTGGCGGAGAACACTCCAGGCACTGGGACAGAGGTGTGCTTGGAGACGAGTTTCATTGCTTCGGCCTCGGCAGGTCGCACCCCCCTCCCGGACTTGGTCACGAAGGAGAAATCTTACTCAAGTATGATCCTGCGAATCTGTTTGCTAAGAACAGTAATGATTCCTTGGTCAGCGGGGAGGGTTGCGATATCGACAGATGAGGGGCACGGGAATAGGGTTTTTCCTGTTTTGATGTATCGGTTCCTTTCTTGCAGGTTTTCTACTCACATGGATACCGTCGGAAGAGTTGGTCATCCTGGGAGAGAGTTTTGGGATGTTGGTGATATTATATCAATTTTCCGGCGATTTTATTGAACAAAACGGCCCGAGGGCTAGAACAAATCCAGGGATTTGTCAGTTGAAGCGCGGCTATGTTTATCAATATAACCAACTCTACATCGTTCTTGAACCCGTATCAATTGGCTTTTATGAATGAGCAGCAGGCAATGGTGGTGAAACAAGCTGCAGACAACGAACCCCCTTGAGCACCCAACCAGCGACCTGTTAGAGAGAACTGCCAAGGCTGGACCGTCTGTACAAGTCACTACTAAGTCTGTAGAAAGAGGTAGTTATCATGATCAGTGCAAAGCGTCAAATGATAACACTAGACAAGATCCTTCCTATTCCCTGTCATTCATCTTCCGAGCTCCTATTGTAGAAAGAACTAAATGAGTGAATGGGAAGGTGAGTGTAGGATAAGCAATTACAGGGTTTGACTCCAATCTGACTGTCATTATCATGACATTGAATAGGAAGGGGTTAATCTTTATCCTCCATTCACTACACAAATAGACAATAGAGGTCGATGTCAAAGGTTTTGAAACTATCTTATCAAATCTTGTCATTCATTCCATGTCATTTTTTGTCCTCAACACACTTCCATCCAGAAGTTAATATCAAATCCGTATAATATATATATCTTTACTTCTTCTCCTCATCCACAATTATATTTCATCATGAATCCCTCCCTACAAGCAAGCATGGCACAGCCAGTGCCTCGGGCACCAGAACGAGAACAGGCCCGAAAGTACCCAAGATATCCAGTGGAGTCAACAAGGGACACAAAATTACACCAGAACCTTCTGGAAAAAAGACCTTGCGACAAAGACAACTTTCGAAAGAGACTTATACTATCTTTTTTGCACTAGACATAGGGTTACCTCAAACTTCCAGCGCCGAACAGATATTGAGTGGTCGTGGCTGTCTTTTTAGTGCGTCGTATCTTTACCGCAGACGGGAGAAAGCACTTGACTTTGACGATAATGAAAATAAATCTCTCCATGATATATAGATATCTATATGGATCCAGGGACTACTAGATCCCTAAGCTTGAAACAGGAAGAGAAATTCCTCGACGTGCTCCATCTCACCTCAATATCCTGTCGTCTTGGAACTAGACTTCGACAGATTAGTCGCCATATCGTTCGAGATACAATCAGTGGCTGCAAGTCATCGAGTATATGAGGAAGCTGGCGGTGATGGTGAACTCGTCAAGCGCACTGATCCGGTTTGGGATCAGCTGGTTTTACCATATGCCAATGGGCAACCCGACAATGTTAATTGAGGGGCTTCATTTTGCCCATACGAACAGCAGTGAGCTTAGCCTTCGTTTTGAGCGGCCCGAGAAAAAGATGTCGCGGGGCGACAATACACACAATATCAGTTCATCGACTCAACGGCCTGATTATATTGATATCAGTGGGCATGTCAGTGAAATGGTAAGGTTCGTCTATCTGGTCAACCAGTCTATCCTTAACTAACTGGCCATAGACCGTCTTGCACCCACCTTAATACAAACAACCATATTATAACGTCATGTATTTGATATTTGATGTTCTGTCCTCCATTATGGCGCAGAGATGGATACCTGATGCTTGAAACGCACTGACCATCGACGGATATGCATTGCTTGGAGGCCAAGGCTTGATGAGGTACAGGAACAGCAGTGATGGAGGTACCGCCTTACAAGACTGCATTTGCATCAACTACATAAATTAGTTTGATCGTGCGGGCCCTGGTAGGGGCATCCATCTACGGAAATTTACTGCTGTGGCTTGGCGCTGCCAGCTTTCTGGCCAGCTCCTAGGGAGCTGGAAGTTTTATCGCCATATACCTATCATCATGTCTTGTATGTGCTACAGGTTATGTAATTGGTCGTTCACACATCTTATTATCAAATATAACTTGATGAAATAGAATAAGAATCTCATTTGCTAAAACCGATATGCTATCTATTTAAATCCTAGTATCCACATCTACCACCAAGAGATAGGTCCCAGCCCAGCCATTTGCATCGATCCCTGTGTGCAGTTAGTCTCGAGTACTTTATATAAAAGGCATGGCTTTGGGAACATATCAACGTACAATAATGGAATAAGGAGGTTTCCGCTCAACGGCGGCCGCATCCCCGAGGTCAGGGGCATTGGGGATCTGATCATGCCACTCTTCCATCTCGACGCGCAGTCGAACGACTTCTCCCACATCGAAGTAGAAAGTGGACCCGTCATCGTTTTCCCAGATCCAAACCTGGTCGGCGTAGTCACTGTGGGGGTTAGTTGAGCTTTCGGATAAAATAGGTAAAGTGGAAATCTTACAATCGAGCGCCGTCGAGGAGAAGGTTAGGTGGGACGAGGATGTCGTTGAAGAACTCTACACCAACTGTGGAGGGTCAGTACAAACGCCAATCCCACCCAGGAGTGAGGATACATACTCTTGATCCCATGCTCCGTCCCGCTTGAGATCTTCCCCAGCATGATCTCCCCCTTGAACGGGCGAAACACGATCAAACGGAACTTGACTGTGGCGGGTGAGATACCGATCTAGCAGATATTGAAGAGAAGAAAAAGCATACCGTTAACATTCACCAAGCCCGTTCCATGGCCGATCAGGCCGTCGGAAGATTCCAACAGATCATAAAAACCAATGCATAGACCGATTTTCTGAATGACCTATATGCATACCAATACGGAACGATGGTCAGCGGGAACACTTTTAAGATTCGACAAGGAATCCCACCTTGTTCGCGTATTTCTCATTGATATTATCTTCCAGCGCAACAGCACTATATTTGGAAAAGTCCTCTGGCGAGATCTGAATCAGATCCGAGAGGGTCGTCTGCGGGACCCTAATTAGCGGGCGGCTTGGAGGCTGCAGCGCGCATTGCGTTTACCCACCAGGATGAACATTTTGTACGGTAATTCCACACCGCGCGGGTGGTAGGGTTCTCTATCCGGATACGGTCACGGAGAATGGGCGTAGGAAGGAAGATATCGTGAGATGAAATTCCATGTTCCACAGCGATGGGAGATCCAGCTACGCATCGACGGCGACCATCATGACTGATAGACAACCTCAGGAATATCAAGATCGATGAAGTCCAACCAGCCGGCCAATCGCAGGTCGCCGATCCGCCTGGATTTTTCGCGGTGGGTGTCCACGTGATCTGCAGCCATCCTGCTGGTGTCGGAACGGATTAACCGTCGGTCCGTGGACCCTACATAGCACCAGCATAAGGCTGACATAATACAAAATATTGGATGAATGGGCAAGGCAAGGACTACAAATTACCTGTCAATAGGTACATCTATTCTCGTGACATCTAGTCCATTCATGGTGGCGTTGACCTCATATCCACGAAGCTAATTGAGTCTAATAATATCCTTGGATCCATCTCCATCGGTTGCGGCACGAGGAAACCGAGGCCGACAGATCAACCACCCACTAGGAAATCCAGGACTGGCTCGGGTTGTCTTTCCTCAAGGAGTGCCCAGAAGTCATCGGCGTTCCTATCATGATAAGCGATCATGGATCTGTCCGCCCGAGGTGTGCGCCCTCACCAATCAGGAGGTCGCATGTCGATCACCTCATTTCCACCAATTGGGAGGGATGGAGGGAGGAGATGATAGTCCGGAGCACGGTTGATCTTACAGACGGACGGAGTACGGAGTACAGGACTTGTAACGTCCCGACAGATGACTGAGGTAAGGTTGCAGGCACAGGAACTAGGGAAGGTACTTAGACATGGCTCATGTCTATTCTTCCCGACAACCATGTCCCATGGGATTGCAAAAACAATTGAGTTATAATTAGACTTCCTCGGCTTCTTTTGAGACTTTGACGGATGGATCAGACGCACCCATGGGAATTCTCGCCACGACTGAGCCACGAAACCGTCCGGATGACTCCAGGTCACATCGGGGTATCTTCGACGGTAGACACTATTCTTTGTTGCCGGTATCCTATGACTAGATTTTGGTCTCAGTTTTGTTCCTTGCGCAATTGTCTGTGCACGATTATTTGCAGGTAGGACGGAGTCCCTGGATAACGGGTAAAGGGAGGTCTGGTAGGGTAAGGACCTGGAGTCATACCAGAAAGAATAAGTTGACAATCCTTATGAAATAATCAAAGAAAAGAAAGAAATAAAAATATAATAATATTAATCATTAATCCCTAGAAAATAAAATGAAGGAAGAAAAAAATAAAAGAAAAAAAAACCGCTAGAGCCACTAGGCACAGACTAGCCGGTCATTTTCCTCGATGATTTGCTGTATTGCGCGCGTCTTCCCCTTACATATCGTGACTAGTGTGGAACATGCTATTGATTTCATTTCCGGATTGTTATGATTCTGATGGCTCTACCTAGTAGGTACTGGGTTAGTGAGTACTCAGTAGGATGATAATTGACTGTGAAGACCTCGTGCGTCTCGTCCGGGGTCAACGCTAGCGGACACCAACGCTAGACGTTATTAGACCGTCATCGCCTCTCTCTCTCGCTTCTCCTCTTCTCTTCCCTCCTTTCCACTCTTTCCTTCCTTCCTTCCTGCCTGTCCTTTCCTTTCTCAGTTCCCAACCCAGTCTTTCCTTAACTTTGCCTCTTTTGCCCCCCATCCTTGGTGTGGTATTTAATCGCACGGTCTCTCTTTTCTGCGAACGATCCTCCGTTCCATCCATTCTTTTTATTCTACTCCCCAATTCAGTCGCCTTATATTCTTGCTTCATCTCTTACGTCTGCATCACGGATTTCGTGGGTGACTTGCTCTATATATCAACCTCGTGACTTGTGATATTCGCGCGACTTTACTCGTTTGGGAATTTCTGCCAAGATGCACGCCTTCATCTATCTGACTCTGAGCGGCCTGACGGCTCTGGCTGCGGCCGCGGCCAACAACGCCAACAGCTTCAACATCCCCAAGGATGGTTACTCCTTCAAGGCCGGTGAACCCACCACCCTGTCCTGGGATCCCACCACCGAGGGAACCATCACCCTGAAGCTCCAGTGGGGCGCCGTCCTGACCCCTGACTCGGGCAAGGAGATCGCGGGTAAGTCTCGCAATGACACCGAATGACGCGACATCGACTGACCCCCAATCCAGCCAACATCCCCAACTCGGGCAAGTATACGTGGGATGTTCCCGAGGACTTGGAGAAGCAGCCCGACTATGCCATCGAGATCATCTCGGATGACGATGCCGACAAAGTCAACTACCTGCCGCGCTTCGTCGTCGCGGGCGCCACCGGCGAACCGTCCAAGCCGACCCCGTCGTCCACCGCCTCGCACTCGACCACGGAGGAGTCGACCTCCACGAGCACCGACAGCTCGAGCGAGACCCCGACCACCATGACCACCACCACCAGCACGAGCTCCTCCACCAAGTCGGAGTCGACGACTTCCACCACCGACAGCTCCTCCTCGGTGCCCTCCACCCCTGCCTCGACCTCGGCCAAGCCCAGCGGCTCGGCGGACCCCTCGTCCTCGGTGCCCAACACCAACGCCGGTATGATCAACCGCGTGTCCGGTGGCATGCTGGCCCTGGTCCTTGGCGCCATTGCCGTCTTGTAAACTCCTCCACGAACTGGACGTCTCATCCCTCCTGGTTCATCTTCTTCCTTTCTCATTCTCAGCCTCGAGCTCTTGTTGGGACACTTACTTCTTGATGATCTCGGATTGGATGTGCTTTATACCTGACTTTATACCCTAACTTGATACCCCGAGTGTGAATTACATGATCGCGGGGAAAACAACCATGCGATCAGAAAAAAAGCCAGAAGCCAAATCCGTCTTTTCCTTCTTTGTCGGGGTTATGCTGTGTCGGCATTTAATTATTATTACCCTTTTTTCTTTACGCTGTTTTTTTCTTTCTTTCGCCTTTGATTGGAGGCAGTTTGGGATACCTGGTTGATGTACGGGTGGATGGACTATGTAGATATGTATTACTGTAATGAATGACATTCGGCCTGAGCCGACTGACCGACTGCTTGACTGAGACTGTTCTCCCGTCCCGAATCCCGTCCGTTCCAGAGAAATTTTTTCTTTTCTTCTTCCAATTTGTTTGTCACGTCGATCATCTCCCACCTGGGAGATCTGTAAGGTTCACAGGCGCAGGTTTGGTGTCTAATAGAGTGAAAAAGGTGGTAATGAGATTTACCCATTACAGGTTCAATCATTTCCCATTGCAGTGGACCACCCTGCACTGCACTGCGGTGCAGCAGCAACAACTGCAAAGTCGACAGAACCCGGCACCACCGTTGTCGGGATCCACCGACGCGGTGGAGAGGGGAGTTTGTGCGATGATTGGATGGGTTGGGTTTGATGGGTTGTTCTGGTTGGGGGTTGGGTTTGGGTGGTGGGCCCGTCCTACAATTCTCCTGGACTATTTTTTATTTTGGGTTGGATGGTTTGATAGGTGTCTTGTTAGGCTGGTTTTTCGTGGATGATTTGATGATGTAGTGATATTGTACTTGATAGTTAGTATAGATAGGTTGGAGGTAGGTGGTGGTAGTAGGCTTGTCCGATTATATTATGATGCTTCCCCAAGTCCACGGTCTCTAGTATATACGGATACAAATAAGTTACCTAAGGTAATAAATAAATAGCAAGGAAGTCGACATATAAAATAGCGATCAACCGCTAAATCTCCAATCCATGCCATCTCCACATCCACCTTCCACCACGGATATTTCCCATCGTATCCATCTCCCGATCGAATCAACAAGCGCTAAATAAGGTAGGAAAGCAGTGCGCAAGCAATGTAAAACACTAGTATGTATGGAGAGATGGACTAGAGTGGTGATCTATCTATCCGTACTTACTACTTACCGAAGTGGTCACTGCCTCCTTGTGTGATATGTATGTACCTTTTTGTTGCTTGATGGGTGTTGGGGGATGGTGCTGTGTTTGATGCTGTCTTGGCTGTTATATGTCTACAGAGTACATACTTACCTCTGCTTCACTAGGCATATTAGGTACCTCTAGGTAGTATCATATTGGCTGGTCGGATTAGTAGGTACTGGGTATGGAGTATGGAGTACGTATACAATATTATATATAGTATTTCTCCGATGACCAACTATCCCTAGCTTCACTTTAATCAGATATGATATGTCTATAGCATCTTTCTTAGAGGTACTGACTACGTTGTACGTACCTGCGTGGCTGTGAAGTGAGGACATTCTCCGGAGTACCTCCGACGTTTCTTGGCTCTGGTCTACTGTAAAGAAGGCTGTCTGTCTTGTCTTACTCTGATTGCCGTTCCTGCAGGTACGTACTTCTCACTTACCTAGGTACGGAGTACTAGTTCATGTCTCGGATAGACCCGAGCGTATGGATTCGGAGTATTGCTATCATTTATTGAGTTACCTTACTGCATTCTAGGTCAAGGTGGAGGATCTTGAAATGTACACAGGGCGGAGTAGATATCTATTTGTGTTTTTGATTTTAGTAGAAATCATCATTATATGATGTATTTTCTTTGATCAACTCTCTTGTTCATTTTCTTCTATATTGATTTCTATATTGTTGATTTCTCTCTAGTGAACTTTCTCTTTACCTTTTACTATGATAATGATACAACAATGACGTTAGCTAGATGGGCCACTCACAGCGGTCTCAGCCCAGCCTACACCTTCCACAGTAAAAGCTACCATGCAACAGCAAGTAAAAACACCAAATTATCGCCTGCTGTCTTCCAGCTCATACACTAATACAGCAGACCTAGGAAGCCATATACTGGCCCACCACAGCGGTGTCAGACTAGCGCCGATCTTCACGGAATCCGTCCCGCCCAACTAGGCGCACTGGCCATTAGTTCCATGTCCCTACTCTGTGTTACTGTTACTACAGAGTAGATTGACGGCAGTTGTTATCGACGCCAGTCATGACACCTGCGTGGAATGTTGCGCAACAGGAACGACCAAGATAAGGCTGGTAAAACCCGTCCCTTCTACCGATCTGACGATGTCGCCAGCGTGGCGGTCCGTCATGTTATGCAGGCTGTGACGTTGTGGTGCAGCATGTAAAGCATGTGTACCTTATGATGGATATTGTGGGTGGATTTGTGTTTGTTCCTAGTCTGAAACTTTGTATGTGTGTGTAGTTAGGTGGTAGGTAGGTGTGTGAGTGTGTTGGTGAGGTTGAATCTCTCCGCCGGTGATGACACTCCTTCCTGGTTGGGCGTTGGCGTCACTGTTGTAGTCACGTGGTCTGATATGATCTGTCAGGACCAGCAAGTGATTGATGGTGGCAATCTGCCTAAAAGTGATGACTCTCTTAGTACAATTACAATGACATTCTTCTTTTGATTAACCCAACTATACTAATATACCTGTAGCACCGACTATAACAAAGATAAGTCACGGGCCTTATCGCGTCGCACCGTAAGGCGGTGAAGACGAGCCATCCGCCCAAAGTTACCGCCGGCAAAACCAAAAATACGGGCGGTATACACGGACGTGACAGTGTTTCCATACGTTCCATCCACCCAATTCTCTCTCTCTTTCGCTCTCTCTTCCCTCTCCTCTCGGCGCTGCTCTTCTTTCTCTTCCTCCCCTCCTCTCATCTACCTACCCTTCCCCCTCTGTCCATCTTCTCTTCACGTTATCGTCGTGTGGAGCTTTACATTTCAGTAGATTGCCTGACTTCTCACTGGGTTGTCGTCTAGATTCCCTTTTCCTTTGACGTCAACCCTCCTCGTTTAATGCCGTCGTTCCTCCCGCTTGCGCTGCACAGTCGTATCGCCCACTACGTGAACTCGTCCTGTCCTCCTTCGCCTTCGACCTCCAGTCCTTGTCCATACATCCAGACACCGATTCCCATCCGGTGCTTCATAAACGCGGTTCACTCAGATCACACAATACCTCCGCCGTAGGAGATCCTCGTTCGCGACCGCTCTGGCCGAAGGATTCACATCGGTCGCGACAGCGGGTGGTACAGCACCTGGTTTCGCGATTGGCGCATTGTTGAACGGTATGTTCTGGAGGTCTATAATCATGTTTTTCACTGGATTCCGATCATCTTGCGATGATTTCCGAAAGAAGCGTGTGCGGAGGCCTCGGGTGTCATGGTCGTGTTGGAACCCCCCCCAAGCGCTCGCTCGCTCATGGCCAGACGGCCCCCGTCGTCACTGGGGGTGTGATCAAATCTCCGCACCGCCTTCCTTTTGCTCGGCTTTCTGCTGCCCCCAGTCATTCGGCGTCCTTTTTCTTCCTCTTTGACCTTTTCTGTTTCTTTTCTTTTTTCGTGGTGACGTCGGTATCTATTCCATGATATCGGTTTTCCGTTTGTACAGTTTCATTGTATTCCTACTCGCGAGTTTTCGCCTTGCGTTCTTCTTCTTCTTTTTGCCTCTCTAACTTGTCGCCGTTGTTCTAGGACTTCACCCGATCCCTCCTCTTGACCGCCGGCTTCTCTTCCCCACAACCTTCCCGACCGCCACACTACCCGCCGCCTCTTCCGCCGACCCTCTATCCTCTTGACCGACAAGAACATCACATCCCGTCCGCTGTACGCCGTCGTTTATGGAGGTGGCCGAGAGTCGGGACCCTGCCTCGGTGGGTCCGCCAACCGGGGCAGACACCAGCACCACCAATGAGCAGCAAAATTTGTTCCTGGACGATTCGCTCGTCGGCGATGATCGGTCCAGCAGTCTCAGCGAGATCGACGAGATGTCGGACAACATGCCCTCCGACTATGAATCGCCAAGACCAGACCCGGCGCCAGCCCCCGAAAATGATTCCGAGGCGGAAACGGAGCGGGTCGATGACTCCCCGAATAACGTCCGCTCCCGAACCAACATTGTCGTGAGCGCGACCAGCGGCTATGAGCCGAGTCCAAGCAAGCTGGTCCAGTCCACGACGTACGACGAAGTCGACGATGATGAGACTCACCCCGTCGACGATTCCCCCACCAAGCCCCGTTCCAAACCGCCCCGCTCGGTGGAACCCCCTCGGGAGGAGACCTTGGAGCCCGACGGTCCCGTCTTGTCAGACAGCGTGGGTAAGAAGCGGAAGCGGCTTGGCTCAGGTGAGGACGCGGGGGCGACGGAGGCCGACGACGAAGGTGGCCCCCCGCAGAAGCGACGCGGCTCTCTGAAGAGCGAGCTCAGCGATCCACCCGCCGACGACATAGTCCTGACGCCCGAACCCGTGGAAGAAGAACCGTCTAAGACGACTGCGGAGGAAGACAACATCCCGGCCGACAACGCCCCCGAATCGGATCTGCCGGCAGCGCCGGTCAAGGGCAAGAAGGGCAAGAAGGGGAAGCGTAAAGGCCGGAAGACGCGAGATGCCGATGAGGACGTTGACGGCGTCGGTGACACCGAAGGCGGCGCTGACGATCACACCGGCGATGACGACACGGCGGAGCGCGGCGAAGAAGCGGACGATGGCGAGGCGGCTGCCCGACTGGAGGAAGAAGGTAAGCGTTGTTGGACCCTCTCACGGTGCTTCTGGTGCTAATCCTTGGTAGCTGCGAAGCGGACGTCCGCCATGGAGTCTCTGGCCGGTCTAGAACGAGAATTTGCGACCCTGCGAGACAAGTAAGCAAGCATCACCTCTTGGCCAGGTCCACTACTAATCACGTTTGACAGGATATATGACGAACGGATATCGAAACTGAATAACGAGCTCGATATGCTCAAAGGCCCTAATCCCACACACCCCGACCTGTTACGACAGCTCGAGTGCCTGCAGCGATACCGGGATGACAAGATCCACTACGAGCACACCCTCTTCCAGTACCGTCTCAAATCCCTCCTCAACAAGAGCCTCGCGGAACGGGCCCAGGCACACAGCACGTACTTCCAGCGCATTCGGGACCTGCGGGAGAAGCACTCGACGAACACGAGCAAGCAATTCTACGCCATCCAACACGATCGGTTCAAGACCGACGAACTCAGCCCGCAGCAGTACATCCCGTTTCCCACGCGCCGGTCCCAGCAGATCGCGCAGCAGACGGCGTACAACCAGGAGGTGTCGGTCCTGGCGGGGGTGGCCAAATACGTGGGATTCCCGGCGGCGCCTTCGCTGTCGGCCGCGCGGCCGTCGGAACTGGAAGATGATCTGGAGAAGATGGGGGTATGTTTCACGTCTGGAGATCTGAGATGCCTTAGCTAACATGTTTTTTTCTTTTAGATCGTCATTGAACCCAAAGCTCCGGTCTCCCAGCCGCCGACCACCATGCCGCGGGGGCCCATGTCCGCCATGTCTTCTAACGTCTTCCGCACGGCTGCCGAGGAAGCGTTCCTGGAGCAGACTCCATGGGCCAATCCTCTGCACCCGGCGCATCAACAGCAGACTGGGTCGCAAAAGCTTCCGGGCCGAGCGCCGGAGGACCACCGTGCGCCCGCGTACACCACGCCAGCGGGGCAGAAGCGGGTCGTCGACGTCAATGCGCCCAACGGGTCCGCGTCCACCATCGCCGAGAACTCCTCCGCCAACAACACACCCTACGGGATGGAGCAAGACGCCGGGCCGTCAGGTCTCGCCCCGATGGGACACGTGGACTACGACGCGGCGCGCCGATCCGGATTCCGGTCCCTCAGCTCGTCCCCGCTGGACGTGCGAAAACCGCACCCGGCGGCGTACGGGGGGCACGACCACCGATCGCCGCCCGGGGCGGGGCAACACGCCGCGTACTCACCCCCTCCAGCTCGACTGGGCCTCTTCCACTCGGCGGCCTCTCGACGAGAATCATCACCCTCAATGTCATCCAAAGCAGTCAACTCCATGGGTGTGCTGGGCGGACCAGGGTCCAACCAGATGGCGGCGCGATAGGATCAACACCCGCGAGTCTTGCGCTGCACCTTCTTGCGTTTTTTCAAATATTGACGGACAAATAAATACCCATTCGCTTTTGCTTGTTTGTTTACTTTGACTTCATTCTGGGCATGATTGATTTGGGGTTGGATTGGATGGTTGTACATGGAATTGTATTCGGTGTTGTAGAGATGCTTTTGACTGACTTATGTGTATGGACTGGCATGTATGATGGACCATATTTTTTTTTTTTTTTCTTTTGGGGATGTGTCAATAGGGGCGAGCGAGTTGATTTTCTTTCTTTGTTTGCTTGCTTACTTGCTTGCTTGCTTTGTTACACTGATCCATCGGGGACGGAGTTTGCTTGATCTTGATTCTTTGAATGTATGGTTAATACATCTGGATCCACATCGGGACATCTGCATGATGAATAGAAGATTACATTATATTCGTGTTTACGTAGGCTGAATCTAGAACGGCTTGAGTATTGAACAAGCGAGACAAGCTACCGCTAACCACCTAGGTACCTACTAGTACCGACTGCCTAATAGGCAGAGCTCGCTTCCCAAGACCAAACAAGAAACGACAAGACCAGACAAGCAATCAAACCACCTACTCAGCCTCATCCCATCCCACACTAGGACTGGGCTGGCTAGGCTGGACCAGGCCAGACCGCGCGGTATTCAAGGTTGGGAAAATCAATAGTCGGACAGGGCTGGAACACCTCCAATGGTTGCCTGGGCTGGGCCCCGTTATCTCGAGACAATTTCCTGGATCCTGGTCAGACCTGGATGTCTATATATAATGCCTCTTTCTCTCCCTTCTTTCTGGGGTTGAGTCGTTGTCTTCGTTGTGCTCTTTATTCTGTCGTTACTAAGTACGGATACGCTGCCAGTCACTCTTTATTCTACATTCTTTTAGTGCAGTACTTATCTAAGGTATGTATGGTTCTGACAACACCTGACCCTACCCAGCCCTAACCATCCTACTATACATATACATACAGTATATCAACACCATCCATATCAAGAATAAAAGAAGACTAACCAATTTCTCCCCAGACCCCCTCCCCCCCAAAACCAACAAAACATTCAAAATGTCCCGCCTCCTAACCCTAACCACCCTCCTCACCACCCTCTCCCTCCTCACCCCCTCCCAAGCCCGCACCGACCTCAAAGGCTGCACCTCCACCGCAACCCGCAACCAATGGAACGAGGCCTCCGTCCTCTGGTACGTCCCCGGCACCGGCGAAATCTGCGACTTCCCGGACTGCGGCGGCGGTCGCGCCCCGCCCAAGTACGACAACCCCGCTTGCCCGGGTTATACGGGGTCGGCGAGTTACGAGCCGACCTTCCTTCCCGGGTTCGGGGAGGCTACTGCCACTGCTACCGCCACTGCTTCTGCCGGTGGGGACGCGGATGATGCGGCCCCTACTGAGGGTGCTTCTGCTACGGGTGGGACCAGACCTGGTGTGACTGGGGTTGTGTCTGCCACGGGCAAGAGCGTGGCTGGATCGGCTCCGGGCTCTGCCACTGCTGGTGGTGTCTCTTCGTCGGCGGCGGCGGTGGCTTCGCCGTCTGGATCTTCTAGGGCGGGTGTGACCAAGTTGGCGTCGACTAAGACTTCGTCGGTGTCGTCTTCTTCGACTGCCGGCTCGGTGCCGACTTTCAATGCTGCGGCGGGTGGATATGCTCGTATTGGTGGTGGTGGTGTTGTTGGGGTGGTTGTTGCTGCTGCTGTGCTGTTGTAAGGGGTGGGATGTTTGTATCTAATGTTGGATTGGCTGGTTGGAAGGGTAAGGGTGTGTTGTTGGTGTTTGGTAGGTGGTTGTTGGTAATTGTAGTTAGAAGTTAATGTGACTTTTGTCTACAGAAATCTTTGTATATGCTACATGTATATGAATCTGACAAGTCTATGTACAACAAAAAAGACAAGAAAGTTGTTATCTATTCGGGCTAGCGATGGTCACCTTTGAATTCTGTCTTGCTGTTCTATTAGAACACCGACTGATTGCGATGGAACACCGACCAAACCGCGCGAACCTGTTCAGTATACTCTCACTGTGTCGAGGCTGTTGAAGGCATCTGTATATTCAGGCTACGGTGTGTTCCACTCACCCAGCTCTAGTACCAACCCACCTTAATTCCATCCCGAACACTATGAAACCCATACACGACGTGGCAACAGTAAGTCAACGAGTTACATCGCCCTCGCAGGCGGCGGCCAGATTCCATCTTCACCAACGTAGTAAGATCCTTCGAGTACTGTGTAACGTGATGGAGCATCGGAAGATCAGAACCCAGTCGATAGGGCTCCCACGGCCAGACAAAAGGTCTGCGCGAGTCCCGCGACTGCTTGGGTTTGTGTATGTATGGCGCGAGAGGTCGCGGGGTTCTTTGATTCTCAAGGTCATACAGGGACACATGGCCCGAGGCACCTTAACTGGCTGGTAGAACGATTGTGTCCACTGTCACTGTGATGTAGTATGTGACTATGTCTGATAGGGCAAATCTATAGTCAGAGACCATTTAATCGCGATAGAGCGAATATGGGGCAATTTATAGAACCATTATAGAGCCATTTGCGGAATCATTCATATGCCACGTATGCAGACTATATGCTCTTGCATAACATGCACGCTATATTAATTCAATGCAGATTCCACTCTGCAAAATAGATATGCGTAAATCGACTGCTTTATAAAGTACAGGTATCATCGGTGCAATAAGAACAACTGCAGACTGACATCTACTAATCTCTTCCTTCCCCCTCCTAAATAACAACTATGACGCCGGAACAGAAGGTTCCCCAGCGGCCGTATTTACCCCCGACTCGGGCTCCGACTTGGCAGGCCGCGAAGCCAAAGGTTGGGATTGGGATGGTGATTGATTCGGAGGGTCTGCTTTGTGGGGCCGCCACCGCGCGAGAACCTTCCCTGCGACGGGTCGAGATTCCTCGTCTGGATTTGTAAGCTCGGTGGAATGGAGTATGACAGAGGTGAGGGGCCACTTACATGTGCGATAGACGTCTTCCACTGCGTTGAGACAGATCTCTCGTGCCGGTGGTCGGTACATGATTAGATACCTGCGCTTGCAGTTAGTGATTTGTGACCGCGGAGGAGAATGGAAGACATACAGGAATGACTGAACACAGAGATTGACGCGCTCCGGGTCCTTGGCTAGACTGGCCACCCGTTGCGTGATGGGGATCGTGATCTCCGGAATTTCACTGAGAAATCGGATGAAGATCTTGGTATCTCGCGAATCCAGATACGGCAGAAACCCGTCGAGCAGCCGAAGCGCCCACTGGTCGTAGTGCAGAGGGACCGTCGTCTCTTCGTCGTCCTCGCTCCGCTGGGACGCCGTGAACTTCATCTGGATCCGATCATTGTACCACTCTTCGTTTAGCCACATGATCCCGACGTTGACCCGGGCTCGGAAATCCTCTAGGATGTACCGGTAGAGGGTTTCGCGGATGGAGTCTGAAATCGCCGGGGCTTTTCGTGACCCATCTGTCCCTGCTTTCTTGTCCGCTGTCTCTAGGCCTGCCGGGGCCCGCGTTGCAAGCCGCGTTAGCAACGTCACCCAGGCATCCCGGTCGAATGTGCTCCCTGCTAGTCGGGAAAAGCCCAGATGTTGTTGGTTTTTGCCCTTGGCGGGTGTTGGCGCTGCGTCCGTTGTCCCTAACATGCTGAACACTCGGGCAACCGCACCGCGGCCGGTCTCCGCGGCCTCCTCTTCGCTCAGCGGGGGAGGCTGAGGCAGAACAAACGGCCCCAGGGACACCAGGTCCGGCTCCAGATCGGCTACCTCGGCCGACACGGCATCACCCTGTCCTGCTTCCGGCACGGGGAGATCCATCGGCTCGTACTCGGGCTCATAGTCGTCGTCCTCCTCTTCTGCAGCGGGTGATGGTACTTGCGGCTTCGGAAGGGACTTGTAGCGCATTCGAATGGCCTGTACGGGTGTCAGAAAAAGTCCTAATCGTAAGGGCGCTATTCACTTACATCGACAGCCTGGTTTAATGCGGACTGGTCAACACGGGTGAGGACTGGGACCAGGATCTTGACCAAAAGGTCGGCAGGAAGCTGTTTCACGTCAAAGGACGACAGCCCTGCGTCCTCGGTCAGCGTGTAGAGCTGCTGGAAGCTGATGGGTCCCGCCGGAAGAGGAGGGACCTTGATCAACGGCGCCTCGGCTTCAAGCCTCAACCGTTTGGCATTGTCCAGTCCATCCGTTGGCTCCGACGGTAAGCCACGCTTCCGAGTCGAGTCGTCGACCGGCTCCAGGCGCGATTGCATCAACCGCTCGATATAGTGCTGCATCTTTCCGGTGAGAGGATGATTGGGGTTCCTATGCCTTGGTATCAGCGTCCATTTCAGGCCCATTCTACACCGCGCGACATCCTACCTCTTCAAGATATTGATCATCAGGGCCTTCGCTGTCCGTTCCATAGACTTGACTCCAACACGTATTGTGGGCGTTATCGGAGAGCGCACTTGTTTTGCGGGGAAGAAGCTGATCACTGCGTTGATGATTTTGTTTCCGACGGACTGTCGGTTTCGGACGAGAACGGCCAAGCAGTTCAAGGTGGCATTGACGAGGAGAGGGTCACTGCAGAGGTCGCTACCGGTCAGTCCAGATCCAATTCGCCCGGGACGGGAAACGCCATCGCTTACCAGTCCTCTTCTTGGAACACGGACAAGAGCCGGTCCAGCAGGCCCGAGGCCTCGGCCTCTAGGTTCGGGAGCGAGAGTATGGGGTGGTTTCGAGGTACAATAGCCAGGGAAGTTTCGTTCTGGTCGGGGCGCTAGAAGACAGGTCAATCCGCCGTCTCTCGTTCTTTCGGACGGGTCAAGCCCGAAGAAGGACATACTCGAGGGTCCGCTATCGAGCCGTGGGTCTGCACCTGCACCACGCGCTGTACGAATTTGATGCAGCACAGTTTGACCGCAAATGGGAAGCCATCCCACCTCCGCAGGATATCTTGCTTAATGGCCGTCATATGCTCCCAGACGCTTGAATCATTTGGGCGATTGATGCTAAAATATTACCAGGAAGAGTTAGTCGCATGTTCGCCCCTCAAAAGCCTGCCACGCGCGGGATTCAAAACCTTCGCCAGGACCTACGAGACCTCATTCTCCAACACCCCGCGCGCGGGTTCAGACCAAACCAAGCAAGCATCGGTTACCTACATGCGTCTAAAAACCAGCGGGTACAAGCTGGCCGCAGCCTCCACGAGATTGCGCAATACCAATTGATCCGTTTCCGGAAGCTCCAACGTCTCCCGGATCGACTTCAGCGAGTCCGCAGCTAGCTGTTCCTTTTGTGAAGATCGTAGCGCCGGGCTGGCGAAGGTCTCGGCGAGGAAGTCGGAGCCCCATCGTCGCAGGTCCACGTGTGCGCGCGCGCCGATGATCGGGAGGACGCCATTGATGATCTGGGGGTAGAAGGCGGCATCACCTAAGACAAGATTACGGGCGGCATTGAGCTGGGAGATTTGTCCGGCGAGTTGGTCGGGCGGTTGAGCCATGGCGGCTCCGATGCGGGTGCGGGAGCCGGCCACGGAGAGGGAAAATCTAGGTTCTTAGACCGATCGACGGTTTCGAACGAACTAAGTGAAGAGATAGTTAAAGTCTACGTCGAACAGCTGGGAAAAAAAATGAGGCGGATTCCGTCAGACGAGAGGTGACGCGACAATTGGTGGAGGTTGAGCTAGGCGCCACGGTATAGAACGAGTCACGCGAGAGTCGAGACAGATGGGAAGTAGGAAAGGAGGGTCGGAGGGAGGATATCAACGGTTGTTACCGAAAAGAGAAGTCGAATATCCAAGGAATAGATCAATGAAGATGAAATGACGTCCGACCATTCGACAGGGATGGGATTGGATCACGATGGAAGAAACGACCGTTGACGCTGATTGTTTCGGAGCCTGGAGAGCCTGGCAACATTTAATGCCCGGTCTCTCGTTGCGCCGTTCCGGTACACCACCGTACGATACGGTGACAATACCGGGAATACCGCACACCATGCCAAGACTCCGCGGATCTGGGCTGATCTTCCGACTCTTCTTCCTCTTCCTCTCTGTCCACTTCACCCACATCAGTTCATTCATCTTACACCCTTCCACCCAGATCCTGTTCGCGGATACCAAACCTCCCAGTCATAATGGCCACGGGACTGTACGTCCAGCCCCATTCCCCTTGTCAACGACACCCGGTCCTTTCTGCAAGCGGTTATGGATATAGACTGACCCTGTCCTGAACCGCCAATAGCTTCAACTCCACCTACTACGGTAAAGACTACCGCGCCGGTGCGGCCTTGCTGCGCGCCCGTCGGCCCTACCTTTTCAAGAATGCCGCCACCGGTATGGCCCTGGTAGCCTTCACCATCAGCGTCTGTACGTGCATCGTCCGATCTCCGCACACCCCCGCGTCCGCATTGGAATGAGAAGAAAGGATGAAAGAATGGACAGATGGATGGATGAAGACTGACAAAACCCCCTCTTTAGACGCATACACCATCCGCGCCGTCGGCCAGGAAGAGTTCTCCGACGTCAAGGTCCCCGACGCCCCTGCGCAGCCGAAGCAGCAATAGATCCCTCGCACATCCCAGCCGATCCGACCCGATATTCCGTGCAGGTCAAATATGGTCTAACGGGGACGGTCCTTCGATGCCGAATCAATCGTTCAATCCCTGTCGGCACATTCCGTCGTTCATGTGCTTATCTTCGCCTCGTTGGGAAATTGGTGCGGACGGAGTCAAGGCCAGGTTGGGACGGAGACGGATTGGACCGTGGCGTGCCTCTCCCCTCCGCTTACTGCGACTGCCACCCGTGCGGGACATAATTAACAGACGGACGGAACCGGACTAACTGGATGGAGAAAATCCCTGACGAATTCTTCCTCTCTACTACGTTTGTACTTGTATATTTAGTTATAGTCATCTCGGAGTCATAAGATACCACCCTGCCAATTTTATACGCCTTACTCAATGGGATATTTTCAAGGTACACATGGTCATTCATACTTGACTATCATTGTGTCGCTGACATGAGGTGTGAATCATCCATTGAATCGGCTAGCTCTACATCTCAACCTAACTAAGACATTTTGAAAATACAAACGGAACCGAAGAATTCATGGACTTGTTACAAAAACACAAAACAAAGCAAACCAAAGACGCTATCAGGGAAATAGGGATAGACAGACCATCCCAAGAGGCAGAACAGAACAGAAATGCCAGACTCTGCTTTCCCCCTCCTTACTCGGTTCGCAGAACCCTCGGTCCCTTGCGCTTGGTCGCTCGCTTGCGCTTCTGGCCGCGGTCAAAGGCCACAGCGTTGTTGTGGGACCGTCCCAGGTTGTCCAGGTCCTTGACCTTGTAGATTCGGATGATCCAGTTCTCGCTCGTGTAGGCTTCTTCCAGTGTGGATAGCTGGGGTCCCTCGGCGGGGAGTCGGGAGCCGCGGACGCGGTCCATGGCTTGGCCGGGTTGGAAGAGGCTGTGGTAGTTGTGGTAGGACATTTTGTACCTGTTGGAATGGCATTAGCATAAGGTCTGAAAGTGGGAAGGGGGAAAAGAAAGGAAGGGAAGAGGCGTACATTAAGCTGTTACGCATGGCGGGCGCGGCTTCGTCGTCGACCCGATACTCGCCCCGCGCCGTGAAGAAATCCCGTTCCTTGACCTCGTCCGGCCAGATGCCTTCCGCAATCCGGACCATCCACAGGAACTTGTTGATGTCGTCGCCGGAGTAACCCAGCAGTCCGCCGAACACCACCAGCACGTAGTCCACGTCGTGCTGGCGGAGGATGGGATAGCTGACCTCCTCGGGCGAGCTCATCGCCTTGCCGACTGTAGCGATGTGAGTGTTGTTCCACGTGTTGTTGTCGACCAAGGTCGGGCGATCCGCCATGCCACCGATCTGGTAGCCGTAGTCCCACCAGGACATGATCTTCGCGTTCTCAGGCGTGTTCTGGCGAAGCCAGTAGTATGCCTCGCGGTAGTCATCGATAATGAACTGGCTTCCATCCGGCAAGCGGCTCGCCAGAACGACGGAGGGAGACGAGTATGCGTTCGAGGTGACCCAAGTGCAGTGTGCGACGAAGAGAAGGAGGTAGATCGCGACTGATACCGTGACGATGGCCTTCGACACATACGAGGTAATGCCAACGACCGGGCCCCGGGTCGAACGCAGCCCGTCCGAAGAGCTGTCCGCGCTGGACTTCGCACGGGGGAGGGGTCCGGGCGTGGTGAGGACGTAGGTATCGATGATGGTCGAGAGAGCCACAGCCGCGGCGACACAGACGATCGGAGTCAGGGTCAGCATGAGGCGAACCATGACACCGGCGAAGTAGCTTGCGAGGACGGAGTAGATGATGACGAACACGTGCTCGTCATGGAGTTCACGGAAGCACATGTAGACACCGGCAGGGAAGAGCCAGATCAGGAAGTTCAGATCGAAGAAAAAGGCGGGCCAGGCAGTCGGTTGGTGTTCGGATACGGACGCAATGATCGGGATATGGATCTTGGCGTAGCCTGTATCCCACAGGGAGTAGAAACGACCGCTCCACGGGGCGATAACGCCGGAGGCCGAGAGGACGACCAGGCCAAGGAAGGCGACGGCAGCAACGAGAATGATCATCGTCGTCAGCAGGCGCTGGAATTGCTTGCCGGGGATGAAGCCCCGGACAAAGTCGGCGAACGCAACGAGCTGAATCAAACCAAAGATACCCAAGGCAGACATGTGGTCACTGTTCCGGATCGGTAGGAATCCGACGAAAGGAATCTGCATGCTAGCCAATGTTCCTAGAGCATACCAGGTCGTGTAGCTGATATACAAACGAGAGCTGTATCGCCCCATGCAGAGAAGGACGAAGACGTGCAGGGGAATCAGGTTGGTGATGAAGACGTAACCGCCCCAGGCCGACACCATGTAGCCGTAGAACAGCGCGGTGAGCGCACCCCACATGATCGAGCCATTCTTGACAGCCTTGATCCACAGGTAGAAGGTAAAGACCAGCAGGAAAATGGCAATCGCCTCGTTGTCGTAGCTACCGGCGACGGACCGCGAGATGTAACCGGGGGTGATGCCCATAAACGCCGCAGCAAGAAGACCGGCGGAGGGCGAAACCGTCATCTCGCAGGTCAACAGATACATGGCGAATGCGGTCAGGCCCGAGAAAGCGGGCGCCAAAAGTACGCAGATGTTGCGAATGTCAACCGGAATCGTCAGGAACCGCAGGATGTGGTAGATAACACCGCTGGTCACCATCAGACCGGGGTACAGCGTACCACCCGTCACTCGTCCCAGCGGGTGCCATGTCCCTAGATGCAGCAATATCTCGTTAGATTCGAGTGTCTATAAATACCAAATGCCATGTTGTCATGACCGGGGCGACCTACGGTCATCGAACCAATCCCAAAAGCTATGGAAGCCATGTTGAACCAAGTACTTTGTTGCGCGAAAGTTGAACCACGGATCGACTGTACAATTGCGAGCGAGTCAGTAATGTGTCTCGGGGAACGATTCCAGAGGTGAGATAGGAATCAATGGATCTTGAGGCTGCTGGGTCTGGGTCGGTTGATGCCAACATACACTCGTGGATGATACTCTCGAAACCTGGGGAAATTCACGTCAGTCTCCAATCCAATTGATTACTCGCAAGCCGACCGTCCAGAAATCCAATACGTACGAATCACACTGAACAGACGGGAGGACACTGCGGCGGCGGCGATAATGGTCAAGATGATGATGCGCAGCATGCCGCGCGTGGTCCTGCCCGAGCTGCCCTTCAAAAGGGCATCAACAGGGGAGTCGGCCATAATGGCCCGGAGAGAAAGGAACGATGAAAACCAATGAAAGATTAAAAAGAAGGGATCATCTGAAGCGACATTCGATCGTCCCTGGTGAAGTTATACCGAGAGGCGGGAGGAAGTCAATGGGTTGATGGGAGGTTGACCGGTAAGTAGTATGTTTATCATGGTAGCTTCGCAAGGTGGTCACTTCGGGACGGCTTGGCAGGTACATCTCCGTATGTAAGTCCGAGCCGTCAACACTAACTATTCTATTCATCGGGTTATGGCGATCAATTCGCTTGGCATTATAAGGATTTAATCATGAAATATACATCTCAAAAATATACTCTTACCATTAATTGGTTAGAAATTCAATGGTGTCGTGGTGAGATCTGGTAAAGTATGGAACGTGTGTATGTAATGACCTGGTTGCCTGAGGCTTGCTCCGGAGTCTCCCCGCACTCAATCATCATCATCATCATCTTTCTTAGTATCTTCGCCATCACATCTCTCTACATTGAACATACATCCACACTATTGTCTCCTCTTCTTGAATACTATTCTTCTCTGTCTGAACTCTATCTATCCATCCTCCTAGTCTACACATCATGAATCAAACGTCACTCTCCCTCGAACAAATCTCCACGGCGCTCACAGAGGCAGCCAACCCCAGCGACCTATACGACACATTAGCCAAATATGAGAGTCCAGCATTATTTCTTTCAACAACAAACGACAAAGAATCAGAGGTCCTCAGCGTCTTCTACTCGACATTCTTCTTCTCCCACCTATTGACCGATCAAACGTGAGTTTGGAGTAGACGATCGCGGCCATGATTGGATGGGTATACTAAAATCAGACCGTCTTCCAACAGATACGAAGCGCGCGCGATGACCCAACGGATGCCGCAAGGCCTAGCACAGAAAGACCCCTCCCTGCAAAACTGTCTGACGCTATTGCGCGCCGTCTGGCAACAAAATCACGAGCAAGTATACCGGATCCTGCGGGACCTACCGTGGCCGGAATCTCTCAAGTCGGTGGTTCAAAGTTATGATAGTACGCGAACACCCCACCTTGCGCTGTGTCACACTTCGCTGTGGATCTTCCTAACGTGGTTTACTTTATAGCATACTTCCAAGAAAAGACGCTGAAGGAGGTCAGCCACGCCTACGAGGCTATCAAACCGGCTGCGGCTGCCGGCTACATGGGGCTGGACCAATCTGCCGCTGAAAAGGGCGATCCGGCTGTGCTGCAAAAATTCACCGCCTGCGGGTGGACGTGGGATGAACAGGCAGGCTTGTTGTATCCCAAACCGGCGGAAGAGGCGCCCCAGCAGGACGATGGGAAACTTTATCACGACGTGAGCCAAATATTGGCGATGTTGGGGAAGGGCGGGAGCCGATAAGGGACTTCGGGGTCTAGACAGACAGACACATACTACATATTGATCCTAGGGGATCCGCGGATGGCTGCACGGTCTAAGCGACGTCGCACCTCGGGAAATATCCTTTTAATGCCTTGACGATCTAAAGAGCAAGCGATAGAATACAATACGGACGAACAGCGCGCGAACTTTTCCGAGAGTGCACACACATCGGGACAAGGGATCCGCATCGCAACAAACGTCAATCTCGTGCTCTGGTCCAACTGTAGTGTACAGGAAGCACGACAGCCCAGGGTATGTACAAGTCTCGGAGAGGATTCTCTATGATAACCAAAAAAAAGGGAAGACGGTGGAAAAAAAGAAAGGAGGAAGAAAAAAAAGAAAACATCATTCCTTTCGCTCGCAATGACACGAATCTGGAAAATTAGACCAAACAATAGTACATAGTCGGGGTCGACCCCAACCGCGGTTCTGGCACCCGAGAAAAACGGCTATCGAACCGTATATCCGGACTGCCACTCATCCTTGACTCCTTTCCCTGGACTTCTTTTCACATCTAGAGCTCCCCAGCCTTCATCTTCAAGAAAGCCTCCAGGTCGAACCGGCTGTCTTCGGGATCCGTGATGACTGGAGTCAATGATTAGCAGTACATCCTCAATGGTTGGCGGTACAACCGACGGGATGGAAGTCCCAAGGGGGGGGGGGGGAAGGTTCGGAAGCACAGGGATCGCGAAATTCGCCAATCATACCTCCGCTGTTCTGTGCCTGGGTGTTCTGAGGTTGCGTCTTCTTCTGCCACTCGGCCTTGGCCTGCTGGATCAGGCGCTCCTGGCGGGCATATTCACGCTGGGTTTCGGCTTGCTTGGCGCTGGAGGAGATGGAGGACTGGTGGTAAACGCCGTAGACGAGACCGGCAACGAGAGCCGAGTAACGGAGGACCTATTGCGCGAGAAACGGGAATCAAGGGTCAGTATCGAGTGGTGAAGCGATATGAGGCCTCTCTATAAAGAGACGGGTGCGGTGGCCCTTGCGGGACACTCACGTTGACGCCTTGTGTGGAAGCCATTTCGATAAGACCCTAACGACCGGAGCGGCGATTCTAGAGCGAGTGGATGAATTCGAGGGAGAGAAAAAAGCCGGGAATGCGAACGACCGATTGAGAGGGTATCGAGAAGTCAATGGCAGGGCTACCGGGAGTGGAATGGGATGAGATGAGAAGAAGCTTGGGAGGAACTTTGCCCGTCGCGAGTTTTTCCGGTCCGGCTCGGGGAGAGTGTCTGCTTATGTCATCCACCCGAACAGACGCCATTGACATACTGTATGATAAGGTAAATAATCCCCTGGAGGTAGAACGTCTGCATGGGAGAATCTCCCCACTCATCATGTCATCCTCCATGCAACAACGAAAGGCTGAGATTCTGGCCAAACGCGCCAAACTTGCGGAACTGAAACGTCAGAGGGAGTTGCGCCAACATGAGTTCTCCCAGGGTAAAGTCAGTAGCGGCGACGGCTCAGAGGTACGATGCTCCCCTTTTGGGTAAACAAACACAGCTTTAACTAATGCCGATTTATTTCGGGTGTTTAGATTGTCTCGCCTGTTCCCAGTCGCTCCGATAGTAGAGCCGAGCTCGATGACTTGATCTCCCGTCTGGTGGACCGCCCCGGGTCGGCCTCCATGAGCCACGGGGCAGATGGCATCTCACGGAAAGGGAGCCGACCCAATTCCGTACTCAGTGCCAGCCAAATCAGTGGAAACGATCCCGAAATCCTCAGCGCGCCATCGCGACCCATCTCCCAGTCCATTGCTGTTCAGACCGTCGGCGCGGAGACGTACCCGGCACCGACTCCTGGAGCCCCACCGCCGGCGGAACCTCCAGTCGAAGTTGTCACATACAGTAAAGGGGTTCAAACGGATGACCTGAAGCAAGGGCTCGACTCGTCTGTCGACTCGGATGGGGAGGACTCGCAGGACCCGTCGGGCGCCGGCAGACCCCTGAGCAAGAAGGAGCGGGAGCGGGAGGAAGAGATCCGCAAGAAGCTCCGCAGAGAGATCGAGGAGGAAGTACAGGCGAGCCAACGGCAGGCGGAGAATGAAGCCGGGGAGGAGGCGGCCAGGTTGCGTTATCCCCTGCGGGCATTGGACGACGATGAGATGAAGGCCGTCACTTCGTCGGACGATTTTCTGGACTTCGTGGAGCGGTCGGCCAAGGTTATTGAGCGTGCGCTGGACGAGGAGTATGATGTGCTTGCAGACTACGAAATGGGGGGTGTGGATGGAGATTTGGAGGAAGACGAGGGCCTGGGCAAGAAGAGACGAAGCATCAGGGAGGTGTGCCAGTTTTACGACGAGAAGGCATCCAAGAAACGGATGATCAGCGATCTTAGCTTCTCCCCCAAGGTTTGTCACTACACGATCATCCCATGTATCATGAAGTATGTTCTCACCAAACTTGCAGTTCCCCGAGCTGGTTTTGGCGTCGTACACCAAGAATCCCTCGGCCCCCCACGAGCCCGATGGCCTGGTCCAGGTCTGGAACCAACACCTGCACTCGCGCCCCGAATACACCTTTCACTCCACATCGGACATCCTGGCAGCCCGGTTCTCCCCGTTCCATCCCAACCTCATTGTCGGCGGCTCCTACTCGGGCCAGGTCCTCCTATGGGACACCCGCTCGTCGCGCGCCGGAGGCGGTGCCCCCGTACAGAAGACCCCCCTGACCGGCTCGGGGCACACCCACCCGGTGTACAGTATCTCCATCATCGGCACCCAAAATGCGCACAACATCCTGACGGCATCGACCGACGGCGTGGTTTGCGGCTGGACTGTGGACATGCTGTCCCAGCCCCAAGAGTACCTCGAACTGTCGACCCCTCCCCCGTCCAAAACCGAAGACCTCGCCCCCACAACCATGTCCTTCCCGCAGTCCGACCCCACCTTCTTCGTCGTCGGCACCGAAGAAGGCGGCATCTACCCCTGCCACCGATACGACCGCGCGGGCGCCAAAGCCGGCACCGACCACCGCCTCGCCTACCGCGGCCACGCCGCGCCCATCATGTCCACGGCCTTCCACCCCGCCCGCGGGCCCGTCGACCTCGGCGACCTAATGCTGAGCTCCAGCCTCGACTGGACAGTGAAGCTATGGCGCGTTCGCCCGCCCGCCACAACAGCACCAACCTCGGCCGCCGACCCCGCCGCCCAAACCGTCTCCCCAATCCTCGATATCAACCGCGAAGACGTAGTCTACGACGCGCGCTGGTCGCCCCACCGACCGGGAGTCTTCTCGCTCGTCGACGGTGCCGGCAACCTCGAGGTGTGGGACCTCTACACAGACACCGAAGTCCCCGCCGTAAAGGCCACGCCGTCCCAAGGCCGCGGCGGCATCCTCACCCGCAGCCTCAACAAGGTCGCCTGGGAGGAGCGCGAAGGCCGCCGCATCGCCACCGGCGGATTGGACGGGGTGGTCACTGTATTCGAAGTCGGCAAGGGTCTCAGCGGGACGCCCGAGGATGTGCCGTCTGAGGAGTGGACAGGGATGAAGCGGCTTGTGGGCAAACTGGAGCAGAAAGACGGAATGAACTGACTGATCTGATCTAATGTGAAATATGGTTCAGGAGCCTTTGCAACATGTACATCACGTCCTTTTCTATTCTCCCTCCCTCCCTTGTACCGGCTTTATGCGGTTATGCGGTGCCTACTTAGCTTACTTATACCCCGGGTGCCCCAATCGATCAATCGATGTTGATAGCAGAAATATTACATTCAGCGAAGACCTTTACAGCGAGGGCGAGACAGAGATAGAACATTGAGTAAAGAGGGAGATTGCCATAATAACAACAATAATCACGCTATAACCAGTGAGTATCCACCGTCTAGAATTATCAATGTACACAAATGGAGTAAGATATTTATAATCTGATATTTCCAGTAAGAATACACCGTACTATTTAGGTACATGGTATCAAAGAAACCCCTATATTCAATTAATCTTATTTTTTAATTATCTCTGCGCATCTAAAACCAGAGAATCTCTTATTTGCAGTTTTGCTCAAGTCCATCACATGACTGACTGTCTCTCAGTGAATCAGAACGATCTATGCTAATCAGTAGGTGAATCGGAATCCGGGCTAAACAAGGGCCAAGTCAGTACGATCGCACAACACAAATATATATACTTGAGATTCAAAGTATGAGGCAAACCGACTTTATTCTGCAGAACCCGCAGGCCCTGCTTCTGCTGCTGATTGCACCGATAGAAGCATACTGTGAATATCCCCACGATGACGATCATTAGGATGTGGGATCTGTCATGGCCGAACCGTAGTAGTTAGCATGCCGTCTAATCTCCTAGCGATAAAAAAAGAAAGCAAGGGGGGATAAAACTCACCCCACAGCAACCCAAACAGCAGTTGGATACCGCGGCGCCTCAACCGACCGCACGATATAGCTCCCCGCAACACCTCCCAGGCCATTACAAGCTGAGACGGCAGCCGCGACGGTAGCGCGGCTCCACTGGCCGACGATGTTGTTAGCCATGAAGGCGTTGAGGGCGGCCCAGTTGGAGACGTAGGCCCCTGTCGCGAGGAAGGTCCCGATGTAGCGGACTGTGACCTGCGAGGGGAGACCCAGCATGAGGAAGCCGGCGACGAGGCAGAGGGCGTTGAAGGTGATGAGGGGACCTCGCACGCGGTAGGTGTCGCCGATGAAGGAGGTGAGGAGTGCTGGGATGACGGACCAGTAGTAGGGCTAGTAGGGTTAGATTTATTGGTGGATTGATATTTTAGGAGTGAGGAGGAAGAGGGATAAGGAAGAAACATACCGGGGTGGAAAGGAGAATAGACTGGTTGCTGGAGAAGCCCATCCCGGATTGGAGGATGATGGGGAGGAAGTAGTTCAAGGCCGTGGACACCAAGTTGAGGAGGAAGAACATGACGGCGAAGCCGTAGAGTTTGGGGTCGGCGAAGTTGACCAGCACTTTCTGCCAGGAGAACGGTTCCGGGGCGACGTCGTCGCGATCGGCTTGGATGCGCTGCGTGGCGATGCGGGCTTCGTCCTCGGAGAGGAAGTAAAAGCTGTGTTGCGCGCGCTCCGGAAAGTCGATCATCCACCAGTAGGTCACGACGCCGATGACGCAGGAGATGAGGCCTTGCACGAGGAACATCCAGCGCCAGCCGCGCAGGCCGGCTCGGCCGTCGAGTTGGTTGAGTCCGAAGTTGACGATGTTGCCCGTGGCCAGCACGGTCACCTCGCCGGACTGGAGGAAGGCAAAGCGCAGTTGCTGTTCGCGCCGCGTGTACCAGGTACTAACTAGATAGGTCAGCCCCGGGTAGATGCCTGACATCGCCATGCCGAGGAGCACGCGCAAGGCGATCATCTGGCGCCAGGTGTGGACAAAGGCCATGCATAGCGTGATCAAGCCGAAGCAGAACGTGATACCGGCGAACCAGATGCGCGGACCGACCCATCGCACGGCGATTGTGGAGGGAAGCTGAAAGACCACGCTGGAAATGGTGAAGATGAAGATGGAGACTGAGTATCGTGTGCCCTGGAGGTCAAGGTCCTGGAGCATGCTGGTGACGGACGCTGACGAGAGGATGCCGGAGTCCAGCAGGTTCAGACTGCACAGAATGCCTGCTAAGGTACAGAGGCGGATATCGGTCTTCCAGCGAACATGCTTCTCGAGCGACTTCAATTCCTCCGGACAGACATCATTGAGTGTTGACAGCCCAGGGGGCGTATCTTCTGGCCCATCTGCTTCTTCGACTGTGGTCGGGGACTTGGGCTTGGTGGACATATTTCCCACCTGTTCCGTCGCTGAGGAAGACATCCAGACCTCAGTACTTTTCCCACTCGCGATGATTCATGTCGTGGAGGCCGTAGTATTAACTTTTCATGTTGGGATGGGAATAGGGTGGGGCAAGAAGGTGGTAGTGATAGTGATGGCTTGCAAAATGCCGAGGTGCGGATCAGATTCGATTTTCTCCTCTGTCCGTTCCGCCCTCCCAATCAGCAAGCAGGGTGGCCCTCTGCTATACTTGCACGCAGGGTTGTAACACTCTAGTCTCGAGCTAGTCGGAGCTGAACAGCATAATCGAGTCGGATACGGCGTGATCCTTCAATCAGCTCCATGCAACACGAAGTAGGCGCGTCCTTCAGCCCTTCCACCCCTGGATCGACCCGCGGGAGATCATCGACCCTATCAGAGACCCTGGTTTGATTGAGAGTTCATTATTGATGGCTAGGGTGACCCTTTTATGTGTGCTTGACACGGGAGAACGTGGTTTGTCGAAAGCAGCAAGGGATATAGCGGAGAACCTGTTTTGAGGTATGGGTGGTGACCAGTCACCAGACTTCTGCAAATGTTTGATCCTCTGAGAGGTCATATCGCTCGCTTTGGAGTGCGAACGGTGTTGACCGATTGAAGATACCGCCGGAAAGATGCTGCATGGTTTGCTGATTGGATCCCTGGTCGATATACAAGGTTGAACGGAGATATCACCGCCATTAGAGGGATTACCAGGCAGAAAGCAGAGACTTAATTCAAGATGCAGATGGAGAGATGACCCCGCTATTTTGAATCGGAGCTGCAGGCAAACAATTGTCGAATCGGACTCGATTGAGACAGGTTGAACATTGCATTGTGATCAACAGCTTCCCACTATCTGGGCGCTGAATTATCTTTGTGTGAGAGGTAGCCATGATGACTCTCCCATAATAAGAATGATAATGAAAATAATTCTGGCGACTGTATACAAATATTAGAGCGGGGGGTCGTGCTATGGTATCTGCATGAAGCCAGGGAGAGAATGACAGGACATCCAGCCGTTCTTTGTCTGTACGAATAGAATAAATTATATAAAAAATATTGCAGGAAAGGTGGATCATATAAACTAGATTATATAAAGAGTAAACCATATAAACATAAATGATAGACAAATGAGCTCCAGGAAAAAAATATATTAATAAATATAGAAAATAATCCATATTACATGGAAAATAAACTGCAGAAAATCCAATGACAGTTGCTATCCACGAACCACTATCGATCAATTAGTCCTCCTGGATGAGTATAAATTATTAATTACATTTTTTCACTTCTTTACAAAATACTACACTGGTCTCTCCATGTTTCAACCGGACGAAAGGAGATGATATAAGACTATAAAAACCGGGTCCATCTCCGCTCTTATCGATTCCCCCACCTTGGGGAGTCTGGATGTGACTTGTACAACTACAACCTCCACTCTTTTGCTTCATTCTCTTTCCACCGACTCTCCTCTCTCGTATATTATTCTTGTCATTCTCTTACTTTTTATTTATATATCATCCCCCCCCTCTTCTATCCCCCACTAAACAGCTCACCCCGATACCATGGTCGACCTCATCTCTCCCCCCGACCCGCGTGCCTTACTCCCTCCGTTATTAGCTTGCCTCCCCACGGCGTTTGCTTCCCCCACCCCTCCTCCCGCTTTCCTCCCCCTCCTCTCGCCCATTCTACGCCAACGTGTTCAGTTCCTCGGCTCCGCTACCACGTCCCCGACCGAATCGTGGCTTCGACTGCTTTGCTGGGATGCGGGGAAGGCCGAGCACCTCCAGAGGGTCGTGGACGGCACTGAGTTCGAACCGCACCCGGTCTCGGGCGAGATCGAGATACACGGGGAGGTCCCCATCGTATATAAGCGGGTGGACGATGAAACGCTCCACTCGCGCATGGTTCTACCGGACTACGGGTTGATCGCGGTCTATCTCTGGTGCCCGAACGATCAGGATGGAGGGGGTCCCGGGTGGCGCCTGGCCGAGCTTCTGCCCGAGGAAGGCAGCGGGGGCGACAATGCCGACTGGTCGCTGTCGATCGGCGAAGCAAAGACCCGATCACAGGAACAGCTGGTGGAGGATGCATTGAGAGCTGCGGAGACACGCGAACCGAGTGCCCCGCCGGCCGCGGACGAACAAAAAGAGGAAGATGATGATGACGATTACTGGGCCCAATACGACGCCACACCGGGGAGGACCCCCGCCGTCAAGACACCCGCTCCCAACCCGGTCTCGTCGCTACAGCAGCAGAATGCCTCCGAGGCCTCCTACTTTTCTCGTTACGCCGACGTTCAGCCGGCTTTGGACAACCACGACCCCGAGGAAGAACAGCCTGAAGTCGGACCGTCGTCGCTGAATGGAGACATGCTGGCCAGTCTTCTACAGCGACAGATCAACGGCTCCGGGGACGACGGGCCTCCTCCCGTCGCGAACGGGGACAGCACGATGCCTTTGAACCACCCGCGACCGTCGTCGACGCCATCTATGAGCTCGGAGGCGGTCTCCAAGCTCGAACAGGAGGCGGAAAACCAATCATCTGGAGAGATTGCTGTCAAACAGCATATCAGCTCGAACCTCAAGAGTTTGTTCCGGTTGGCGAAAGCCACGGGGATTTCGCGGACCGATTTTCAGTCGCTGGTTCAGACGGAACTGGAATTATTGAATGTGTCCGATCATGATTGATGACTTGCATTTTATCTTATTCTTATCGTTATCATCTATTTTTGCGTTTTTTATTTTATTTTATTTTTTTTACTATTGGTCTGGTTATATTTTCTTGGGATATTGATCTTTTTGATGTGTCAAGTCCATCTGTTTATAATTGCATGGTGGCTGCGGCGTATTGCGGTACGTTTCTTCAACACTATATCGGCACATATAGATAATGCATGGGATCTTGGTTCTGGTCTGATTCGCATTGACCTGGCAATATCATTTACACATAGCCGAATACAATTATATATTCCAATATTTGCATTTTCCTCCAATATAACGATGGAGTAGTCGGTCCTTGGTGAGACTGAGGGTCTGTTATGGCGCAGTCGGACCCACAGCTTGATCCGATCCGCCCATGTTTGTTGAAGACACGCAATCCGTCTTCAGCGTTGACTTCATCCTCTTCCAAACTCCATCTTTCTTTTCATTTTCTTTCTTCTTCTTCTTCTTCTTCTTTTATTGTCTGTTATTCAATTGATTGATCTTTCTACTTGGTCATGCTCTGTTCATGATCAAGTCCTTTTTTTTCAATAGTAGGTCGTTGTCCCCCTGGGTCGTTGTCCCTGCTGACAGGTCTCACCGTTTAGTAATTTAGACCCCCTCACTCATTCCTGAACCTTTCTTTCCTTGTTTTCTTTTTTCTCTCGACAAATTCAGCATCATGTCTTCTCCCTCCCCCTCTCTCCGCAAGAGAGTTGGGAAGACGGAGACCACTCCGGTCCCCGAGGCCTCGCCGGGCAAAAGGGGGGCGAGCTCTCCGCGCAAGTCAGAATGGGATTATCGGCTGGCCATAACCATTATGACCGTCTTGGCGTTCCTCACTCGTTTCTACCGGATCTCGTACCCTGACCAGGTGGTTTTTGACGAGGTGCACTTCGGAAAGGTAAGCGGCTCGATCGATTGCACGCGCGGGAGGAACCTCCTGACTGACGCGGAACCCGGTGGGATTCGATAGTTTGCCTCCTATTATCTGCAACGCACATACTTCTTTGATGTCCACCCTCCGTTCGGAAAGCTCCTCTTTGCCCTGATGGGCTGGATGGTGGGCTATGACGGCCACTTCCTGTTTGACAACATCGGCGATTCGTACATCGACAACAAGGTCCCCTATGTCGCGCTCCGCGCCATGCCCGCGACGCTGGGCGCCCTCACCATTCCGGTGGTCTTCCTGATCATGTGGGAGTCGGGTTACTCGCTGCCCGCCTGCGTGCTGGCCTCGGGACTCATGCTGTTTGACAATGCGCACATCGGAGAGGATCGGTTGATCCTCCTCGACGCCTCCTTGGTCCTCACCATGGCCCTCAGCATCCTCTGCTACATTCGATTCTACAAGCTGCGCCACCAGCCCTTTGGGCGCAAGTGGTGGAAGTGGTTGCTGCTGACGGGCGTGTCGATGAGTTGTGTCATCTCCACCAAGTACGTCGGTGTCTTTACCTTCGTCACCATCGGCGCCGCGGTCTGTGTCGACTTGTGGAACCTGCTGGATATCCGACGTGCGTCGGGGGCCCTGACGATGGTCGGCTGGACCAAGCACTTTGTCGCCCGCGGCTTCGCCCTCATCGTCGTGCCTTTCCTCTTCTACCTCTTCTGGTTCCAGGTGCATTTCGCCATTCTCACGCGCTCCGGCCCCGGTGACGACTTCATGACGCCGGAATTCCAAGAGACCCTCAGCGATAACGCCATGTCCGCCCAGTCCGTTGGGATCCAGTACAACGACGTGATCACGATGCGCCACAAGGACACCAAGGTTCTCCTGCACAGCCACTTCGACAAATATCCGTTGCGCTACGACGACGGCCGCATCTCGAGTCAGGGCCAGCAGGTCACCGGGTACCCCTTCAACGACACCAACAACCACTGGCAGATCCTTCCCACGGTCCCGCTGCCCCACGAAGAGACCGAGGGACACAAGGTGCGCAATGGCGACGTGGTCCAGCTGCGTCACCTGGGCACCAATTCCTACCTCTTGACCCACGATGTCGCCTCGCCCTCTCAACCGACCAACCAGGAGTTCACCACCGTGCCCCCGGAGCTGGCCGAGGGCGACCGCCACAACGACACCCTGTTCGAGATCAAAATCGAGCATGCAAAGAACAGACAGGAGTTCCGGTCGCTGTCGAGCCACTTCAAACTGATCCATGTGCCCACCCGGGTCGCCATGTGGACCCACACCACGCCGTTGCCCGAATGGGGCTTCAAGCAGGCCGAGATCAACGGCAACAAGAATCTCCTCCAAAACAGTAACCTGTGGGTGGTGGACTCGGTCGAAGGGGTGCCCGCGGATAGCCCGCGTCTGGTGAAGGAGGAGCGCAAGGTCAAGCACCTCCCGTTCCTGCGAAAGTACCTGGAGCTCCAGCGGGCCATGTTCCACCACAACAACGCCCTGACCAGCAGCCACCCGTACGCCAGCGAGCCCTTCCAGTGGCCCTTCCTGCTGCGCGGCGTCAGCTTCTGGACCAAGAGTGACACCCGCGAGCAGATCTACTTCTTGGGCAATCCGGTCGGGTGGTGGATCGCTAGCAGCCTGCTGGCGGTGTTTGCCGGAATCGTCGGTGCCGACCAGTTGTCTCTCCGCCGCGGCGTGGATGCCGTGGAAGATAGTGAGTTGTCCTTCTTTCCTTTCGTATAGGCTGCCTTTGCTGACCTGCCATTAGTTTGGGGACCGGGTGCCCGTTCGCGTCTGTACAACAGCACCGGCTTCTTGTTCCTCTGCTGGGCCGCGCATTACTTCCCCTTCTGGCTGATGGGTCGCCAGCGTTTCCTGCACCACTACCTCCCCGCACACCTGGCATCCTGCCTGGTGACGGGCGCGCTGGTGGAGTTCATCTTTAACATCCAGCCCATCGTGGTGGAGGCGCCCAGCTCTGACGAGGATCCCGCGGGCAAGGCTAAGGCGCATCGTCGCGTGGGGCATTTCGTCACGGCCAAGGAGCGCATGAGCGGCAAGTCCCTTGCGGCGGGCTGGTTGGCGACCTTGGTCATCCTGGGAGCGACCTTCTGGGGATTCTGTTTCTTCGCGCCGCTGACCTACGGCACCCCCGGGTTGGACGTGCAGGGCGTCAATGCCCGCAGGTGGCTCGGCTACGACCTGCACTTTGCCAAATAGTCGACCATTTGCCTGGACGGGCTTGTTTGTTGATGGCAACCAACCAATCCATCCTTGCCCCTCTCATCTATATGCCTCTTCTCTACTCTCTTCTGCACCTGTCCCATCCAAACTTTAATCCAAAATGTACTATGATCCGCGCGAGGACGTACCGAATACCCTTTGTTGGCGGTAGTTATGGATACATCTTTATGATCTTGCATTGCTCGTTCGCGTAAGCTGATTCCTTGTCTCGATACAATAATATGAAATATGAAAAGAAACTCTTCATGTCGAACGTCTACCCGATCGGATTGGCAGTCAAGATACATTGTTCACCAATTTAAAAAAACGCCGGAATAAGAATACATATCAACTATCTGAAACCAAACAATCAAAATACATATAATCAAAAGCAATCAAGTCATCCTCTTCCCAATCTCACTCTCCCAATTGCGCGACTTCTCAAACCCATTCGACGCCGTCTGATAATCCATCATCGCCTGATAAACCTCCTCCTGACTCGTCAGCACAAACGGCCCATACTGCACAACCTTCTGGTCCAGCGGCTGGCCGGCAACAAGAATAAACCTCGCCTCAGCGCGCGCATTCTCCGGCACCGACACCTCCACAAACTCACCCCCCTGTTCAAAAACAACATTGTGAAACTCCTTCACCACCCGCGTCTCATCCCCGGACCCAAACACCGCCGACCCACCCAGCACATAAGCAAACGCATTCCACCCCACCGGCAACGGCTGCGCAATACGCCCGCCCGGCCTAACCGTAACATCCAGCAGCCACACAGGCGTATACGCCAAATCGCGCACACTATCCACCCCATGCGACTGGCCCGAAATCACCTTCACCTCCACCCTCCCGCCGTCAACATCAGCCCGCGGGATCTCCGCCGCGCGCAGATCGCGATACCGCGGCTCGCACATCTTCAGCTGCTTCGGCAGGTCCACCCACAGCTGCATGCCGACGTTGGGGCTGCCGTCGGCGTTCTCGTGCGGCATCTCCGCGTGCATGATGCCCTTGCCGGCCGTCATGAACTGGAGATCGCCGGCGCCGATCGTGCCCTTGTTGCCGGCGAAGTCTTCGTGGTCGACGCCGCCGTGGAGGAGGTAGGTGATCGTTTCTTGGCCTCGGTGCGGGTGGTCTGGGAAGCCCGCGCCTTTGCCGATTGTGAAGTGGTCCAGCATGAGGAAGGGGCTGAAGTGTCGGAGCTTGGAGGTGCCGATTGAGCGGCGGACGCGTGCGCCGGCGCCTTCGGCTTGCTCGATGGCGAGGAAGACTGTGCGGATTGTGCGGGGGATGGACATTTTGGTGTAGGTTTTGGTGGTTGTTGTATTAGGTGGTGTTGGTATAGTTGTTGTAGTGTTGTGGTTTTTGAGGAAGGTGGGTAAATGAGATTGTATAGACGTAGTGATCTCCTTGATGTGATCAAAGTATAATGTAAAGACAATTGCAATGCTGGCAATGAAAAACGACAGAAACAGTCTCATCGAGGTGGGCGGGCTCCTCTTTATAGCTGTGGGGGTCTCCGCTGGGGAAGGGAGTCGAAGGTTGAAGATACTTCAAAGGTCAGTTAGTCAATGTTATGATATTTTGAATAAGCATGGTATGTGAAAGGGAGGATTTATAGATAATCAAATAGCTACTGGGGACCGTCATTCTTTGAAAGAATTGGACAGAATTTATAATTCTATAGATCAGTCATGGATGATTGATGCTGATGCGATGAGTGATGACTGATCGCTGATTGAGATGATTGTCAGCACGCTAGGCCGTTTGCGGTTAGTCTATCTAAACCAGACCAGGCTAGCCTGATTGGGACAGACACGTGTGATAAGAGATGATGTAATTATGCCCTGCTTTCTTATCCTGCTTATATAACAGATGCAATAATACCAGATGGTTAGATTACGGTAATTCACCCCACAATACTGCGCTTGTTGGTCTTTACTCTTTCCAACTGTCATGATCGGATCCATCCATGGGTCCGCTATCTATCCATATCCCATTCCGACTCACGAATATCATCATGCTACGAGCATAGCTCCATACTGTCATTCTCCTCTTTCTCAATGCCACTGCTAGATTGAATCTTCTCCCTGCCTAGACTCGTTCATCCACCGATTGAATCATTGGACCCTCCTACCGCGCAGCTTCCCCCAACAGGCCAGATAGTCGCTTCTGACCGCACCAGGAGCACAATCGATCGACACCCGGCAGGGTCTGCCAGATGCAGACATGGGTCGACCCAGCTGGACAATAGCCTCGTGGCTGGCACTGCTCTGCGCGACTCCCTCCGCCTGGGCCAGCAAGAAGGTGTTCAACATCAATGATGATCTACTCGCCTCCCCTCAGGTATTTCCGTTTCCAATGGTTTCCTGTATCGAGATCAATGCGCTGATGTGATCGCGCGTCTAGTTCCAAATCTTCTTCCCGAACGAATACATCCCCGCCACGGAGGCTGAGGACTTACTGCAGTCCCAACACCGCCCGGCCACCTCAGCCGTGAGCGGCCTTCAACAGAACCGCGCCCAAGTGCACCTGAGTAATGATGCGCATGATCGCCAACCACGCGCCCATGCGAACGAAGACGAAGCAGAACCAGGCCCCGCCTACGAGGATATGATTCTGGGCGGGTCCCGCTATCTCTGTCGGATCCCGCATGTCGAGCCCGAAGACTTCAGCCACCCGAATGGCTCGGCGGAGGAGAGCGAGGCGGAGCAGCAGAAGGAGCTGGCAAGGGCCACAGACCGAGGCATGGAACTTCTACGCGAGATGGAGGGCAAGTGCTTGTACTACGTGTCCGGGTGGTGGTCTTACTCCTTCTGCTACCAGAAGCAGGTGAAGCAGTTCCATGCTCTCCCTTCGGGGAGTGGTGTTCCCAGCTATCCCCCCATGGAGGACCCCACGACGCTCTCGTTTATCCTGGGCCGGTTTCCCCGGCCGGACGACGACGGCGATGATACGGAGCCGGAGCGCAAGAGGAAGAAGAAGACGACGGCAGATGTCGCCAGGCTGCAGACGAAAGGGGGCTCGCGGTATCTGGTGCAGCGGCTCGAGGGCGGGACCCAATGCGATCTGACCGGGAAGCCGCGCAAGGTCGAGGTGCAATTCCACTGCCACCCGCAGTCCACCGACCGGATCGGCTGGATCAAGGAAATCACCACGTGCTCGTACCTGATGGTTATCTACACGCCGCGTCTCTGCAACGATGTCGCCTTTCTGCCGCCCGAGCAGGACGAGGTGCATCCGATCGATTGCCGGGAGGTCCTCGAGGCGGACGAGATCCCCGAGTGGGAATCCCGACGGGACACGCACCTGGCGCAGCAGCTGCTTGACGCCACCGAGCAGCCTGAGTTTGCTACCGTCGGGGACATCGAGGTCGGTGCGCAGAAGCTGGTCGGATCGGAGGGCAAGAAGATCGAGAAGGGTCGTGTTGCGTCGGTGGGCGAAGAACGGGTCGAGATCGTGGCTAAGCGCGAGGGCGGCGAGGTACAGCAGCTGTCCCGGGAGCACTTGAAGAAGTACGATCTGGACCAGGAAAAGCTGGAGACGCTGAAGAAGCGACTGGAGGATCTGGCGCAGGGCAAGGATTGGACGTTGGAGGTAGTCACGGCTAATGGAGAGCGCGGACTCCGGGGGATTGTGGATACGGACGAGGATGAGGAGGTGGAGGAGGAGGAAGAATCCAAGGGAAAGCCTTATCACGAGGCCGAGAAGGCTGGCAGTCATAAGCCAGCCCCGCCAGAGAAGGAGGGTCATGGCCAGGTCCCGGTCGAGGAGAAGGGCCATAGCAAGGACAAGGCCCCGGTCGAGGAGAAGACTCGGGACAGCCCTGGGGACCCTCTCCCCGACTCTGGGTCATCGGAGGAGAAAGAAACGGCAGAACCGGGCAGTGAGGAAGAGTTCAAACAGGATCAGCGGAAGAAGATTAAGGATGAGCTCTAAGCTGTTGATTTTTGGTCCATTTACAGTTATGGTTATCTATCATTTGTTCCATCGTTCTATATCCGGGTTGGTTGTGGATGGTTCTGCATGAATTGTATATTAGTTTAGGAAGAAACGTCCAAAGTTCCTTTGACCTTTCTTTCTCTATTTCTCTATTTCTCTATTTCTCTACTTCTCTATTTCTCTACCTATCTATCTATTTATATATATAAATATCTGATACTATTCGAATCGACGGTGGTATATCTTATATAGACTGACCGCCTTCGGGCCCCGCTCTCCATGATTCGACCAGATTTGCCCGACGATCTCTCTCCCTCCTTTCTCTCTCTTCACTTCCACTTCCACTACTTCTCTCGCTCTCTCTCTCTCTCTCTCGCTTCTCTCCTTCATCTCATTCTCCTCAATTACCCACCTCTCTCCCCCCTCCCCTCCCTCTTTCCTCTCTATCTCCCCTTGAAGTGGCGAGTGTTCCCTTCCTCGTCATAGTTCTACCACCAACTAGCACGGACGACTGACGCTGCCAAGACGGTTGGTGTCCTCCACATCCAATCCAGTCCAACCCACGAACTTATCGAACCCACCGAACGACCAACTTCACCCATCTTCTCCCTACCACCGTCTCCCCGCCCCCTCTATTAAACCGGCTGGGTCGTCTTATCGAGGAAAACCTTCCTCCGTCTGTCAATCTCCCCTTCCGATTATCCCGTTACGCTCCGCCGCTGGCCTGACAGCACCTCAATATGGGTTTCGTCGGTGTCTACTCGGCCATCTACGACTACCAACCCCAGGGACAGGGGGAATTGGAGTTGCGCGAAGGTGATCTGCTATATGTTCTGGAGAAAAGTGCCGACGACGATTGGTGGAAGGCTAAGAAGAAGGCGGATCGTGACGATGAGGATGAACCGGAGGGTTTGGTGCCGAACAACTATGTGGAAGAGGTAAGGCTGGATCGCGATGCAACCCCCTCTCCTCTCTCCCCTCATTCTGAAGCGGGCAATCCTGGTTATTGGAATCCTGGCGTCGGTTGAGCTACCCCAGCCGTGACTATTCCCAGCGACCGATGCGAGCTTCATTTGATTTCCATTTTATTTCTATTTTGGCAAAAGTATCGACTTGCTGACGCGGCCTCCTAATGCACAGGCTCAACCAACCCACACTGCAAAAGCCCTCTACGACTACACACGCCAAACGGACGAAGAGGTATCTTTCTCCGAGGATGCCGAGCTGCTGGTGTACGACACCGAGGACCCCGATTGGACCCTCGTTGGGGTGAATTCGGATTATGGGTTCGCCCCCGCCAACTATATTCAAATCATCGACCAGTCGGCAGCGTCGGTTCCTTCGCCTCCATCGCCTGAGCCGGCTCCCCCTTCACTCCCGCAACGACCGGCCGCCCCCCCGGCGGACGAGTCCCCTGCGTCCGCCGCCAGCCCTGCCATTGACTCCGCCCAGAATCCCGCCGCGGCGGCCATCGCAGACATCATCCACAAACAGCATGCGGTCGATTCCGAACCCCCCCGCTCCGTTCCCCCGCCACCCCAGCCCTCGTACGAACCCGAAGACAGCTACCGCGAACCGTCGCCGCCACCTCCGGTGCTTCCGCAGCGCCCTCCGTCGGGGCAGATTTCGTCCCCGGTCATTCGCGAGCCGCCGCCCCAGCCCTCTCCACCCGCACGCACGCACCTCTCAGGCGTCCGACGCGGGGATCAGGAACATGTCAAAGAGTCTCCCCCCTATCCCCGATTTGGACAGCCCGCCCCACGGTCTCCCTCCGGCTATCACATGTACAATATCAACGAGATGGTGGAAGTCATGGGCAAACGGAAGAAGATGCCGACGACCCTGGGCATCAATGCGGCCACCGGAACGATCTTTATCTCCCCGGAGGATGACGGCGACTTGCAGGAGTGGACGGCGGACAAGCTCACGCACTACGCCGTGGAAGGGAAGCACGTGTTCATCGATTTAGTCCGGCCAAGCAAAAGCGTCGACTTCCACGCCGGTGCCAAGGACACGGCCCGAGAGATTGTCGGTGCCCTGGGGGAGATTGCGGGCATCTACCGCGCAGAGGGTCTCAAGGAAGTGGTGGCCGCGGGGGTGGGCGGTGCGCAGAAGACGGGTCAGATCCTGTATGAATTCATGGCCCAGGGGGACGATGAAGTGACGGTGGCCGTGGGTGACGAGGTCATCATTCTTGACGAGACCAAGTCGGACGAGTGGTGGATGGTCCGGCGCCTGAAGAACGGCAAGGAGGGTGTTGTCCCGAGCAGCTATATCGAGATCACCGGCACGGTGCCCAAGGCGCCTGCTGGTGTCGAGTCGGGGCTGTCGACCGTCGAAAAGAACCGCCTGGAAGAGTCGCGTCTGGCCAAGGAAGCGTTACACAAGTCGAAGACGGAGGACTCGCTCGACTCTCCCAGCCCGGAGGTAGGCCGTTTTCTTTTTTTTTTTTTTTTTTCCCTTGCATCACCCAACAGCCACGAACCCATGAACTGACTGGAAACCTTTTTCCTCTTGCAGCGAAAACGTGACAGCAAGAGCAGCCACAAAGCGAGTAAGTTCTCCTGCTCCGTCCCCCTTGCCTCGTGCCGGTGTGTTGATAAAAAGGCTCTGTAGAACCGGACCCGACCAAGACGAGACAATGGACCGACCGTACCAAAACCTTTACCGTGGATGCTCAGTTCATCGGTCTGCAGGATGGTAAGATCCACTTGCATAAGATGAACGGAGTCAAGATCGCGGTCCCCATCGCCAAGATGTCCGCCCAGGATCTGGAGTACGTTGAGCGCGCCACCGGTGTGTCGCTGGATGAGGACAAGCCGCTGTCGGACATTCGCAACCGTTCTCAGGCAGATGGCAAACGAGCCGGGGCGTCTTTCCAACAGTCCGACTACGACTGGTTCGATTTCTTCCTGAAGGCCGGCGTGGGTCCGCACCAATGTGAGCGATATGCGCAGAACTTCGTCAGAGACTCCATGGACGATAGCATTCTCCCTGATATCACGCCCGAGGTCTTGCGCACCCTTGGTTTGAAGGAAGGGGACGTCCTGCGGGTGATGCGCTACCTGGACACCTTATTCATCCGTGGCAAGCCACGAGGACGCAATGTGAGTTTCGGCGGGGAGGAAGTGATCGGCAACGGGGAAGACGCCGGGGGTCTGTTTTCGGGCCCTGGGGGCGCGTTGCGCAACAACACCCGCAAGGGCCGGCCTGCGCCAGCGGTCCAGGCTGGCGATGTCGTGGACCCCAAGGCTTTCGAGCAGAAAGACTCGTCCCAACCAACCGAGCGGAAAGATTCGCCGCCGCCGTCGACGCCGGCTGAGCAGCCAGTGAAGAAGGGCTTCGATGATGACGCCTGGGAAGTCAAACAACCCAAGCCGACCGTTTCGGCCTCGGCTGCGACAACCGCCTCGCCCACAGCCACGGCGTCTCCCACCACCAGCAGCCAGCCTATCACCCAGAAACAGCTCACGGGGGCCCTGGCCGATCTTTCCGTCCTTCACCCTCCGCTTCAACCGGCCCAGACCCAAAACGCACCCGTGACCGCGTCTCCCCCGGTCATTCAACCCCAGGTGACCGCAGCCCCAGTGCAGCCGCAGCCGACCGGTGCGACGCCCGGCTTCTTCAACCAGCTGGGCCAGGCGCAAGGGTTCAGTCCCCAGGCGACTGGCCTGCAAGCGGCGGCCCGACCCCGCCCACAGGCTCCTCAAACCATGGGCCAGAGCTCTCTCCTCCCTCCTCCCCCACCCCGACCTCTGTCGGCGCCGCAGAACTTCACCCAACCGCCGAACTCCTTTGGCGCTGCTCCCCTGCAACCCCAACTGACCGGCATCCCGCAAGCGGGGCCCCCGGTCGCTCCCCCCGGACAGAGCCTGGCCGAACTGAACCAGCAGCGCTTCCAGCCACAAGTAACCGGCTTCGCGCCCCAGAATCAGTTCCAAAATGGACTGGCCCCGCAACCGACGGGATTCCAGCCCCAATCTCAATTTGGCATCCAGCAGCAACAGCAACAACAGCCGGGTTTCCAGGGTCTCGCGCCGCAGCCGACAGGCTTTGGCGGTTTCTCCGCGCCCCCGCAGCAGCCTATGCAGACCGGCATCAACTCCACTCTCCCGCCTGCCTTGCAACCCCAGCCTACAGCCATGAATGGCATGCCGTACAGTGTATCTTCACCCCCGCCCGTGCCGCCAATCCCCCAGCAGCCAACCGCTGCGCCCTTGCAGCCGCATAAGACCGGGCCGCCCCCGCCCGTTCGCTTCGGAGTCAAGCCCGAGGCGAAGAAACTTGCGCCACAGCCGACCGGCATGAAAGCCAATCTTTCACAAGCCAGTAAGCCCCTTGCCCTTCTCTCCAGATATTCTCGTCTAGTGGAACGACTCTAACGCATGATTGCACCAGCTCCCGCCAACCCATTTGGCTTCTAAACTGCGAACAACGTGTATATAATTTTTTTTTCTTCCCCCACTATCTACCGGCACATGACCTTTCCAGCCTATACATTTGAATTCCCTTTCTTTTTTGCTCTCCATGGAGACGGACGGGGTTGCGCACATACCGTAGATGATGCTGTCTGTAATGTGAAAAAATTCTCTTCTGGACACCGCGAGTTTTGATTGAGACAATTATACATACAGGAAGAATCTCGGAGTGTCTTGTTTGTCACGCAGCGCTTCAGCGACTTGGCTTTCCTTCTTTCCTTCTTCTTTTTTCTTTGAATCTACCTACCTCTGTTATTTCCTTTGTCTTTCCTTTCCTTAATTTTTCTTTCCTTTTCTTACCTTTTTCTTTTTGTTGATTTTCTTTTCTTGTTGACCCAGACTTTTTTTTGACCTGTGAAGAACTGACCCAATACTGTGTATGTAATGTTGATATTTAGACTTTTTAATTCTTTTTCTTATTGTTGTGTTTTACTCAGATCTCTTACTTGGCTGTGGCCATCGTCGAGCTTCTTCGATTAAACTATATAGTGTACCTTGGGTGTCTACTTATCGCTGATACGTGTGTTTAGCTCTTTCCTTATTTTCCTGGCGTGTCTATCTTCTTTTCGATCTTGTATAACCCCCTCGGATATACCGACTGTAGTCGAGCTATTTTCAACTTGTGTTTCAATCTCAACTACTTACCTACCACCGACTTAATTATGCACCTAGGTAGTAACACCCTATATCGGTCTGTCATGTGTGTTGTATCTGGGAATGAGCTCAAGGGGTATTAGTGTAGTAAACATGTTTTCCGTACATACAATATGTCACAGGTAGTGGGTACACTGGTGTGGTGGTGCAGGGTATAGAGCGTTTGCGTTGTGTCAACAGAGAGAAGGCATCCCTATGTATCTATGTATATATGGATATGTATGTACACATCCACTCTATTGCGTGGTCTATTGATGATCATTTTATGATATACTATACAGATGTTGAATTCCACCAGGCAGAAGGGAGAAGAGGGAGGATCAATCAATTCTCCCCCCACAGTCCAAAAACATGCACATCCTCCGCAGAGTAAAACAGCCCATTGTCAGACAGGATCATATCTGAGAGAGGCGTCTGGCTGGTTCGTTCTACTGCGCCCGCGCCTGCTGGATTGGTACCATCCTCTGGGAAACACCCCACGGGAATACCCGTCGTTGTTAGTGTGGAGATTGCCGCGTCGTAGGGCAGAGTGGTGGGATCGCCGCTGCTGTATAGAGTGCTCCAGATGTCGTGCTCGGGTGGGTTCGTGGGTGCGCTGGGGGTGGGTGTCATTGTGGTGTTTGGGTCCCCTGGTTGTGTTGGGGCGCCGCTGAGGATTTTCCCGGGGGATGATAGTGGGGTTGGGACGGAGGGGTCGATCGCTGTCCCAGCCGCCGGAGACTTGTCCTTGACGGGACCGACCTGGCCGAAGAGCTGGTCGACTTGTCTGCTGCGGCGCTCCATCCATTGGCGGTTACGCCGACGGACGTACTCTGTGACTGCGGCGCGCAGGTACGTTACGATCTGGAAGAAGCGGCAAGCGTGCGGATCGTGGGGCACGAACAGGTCCAGGAATCGCTCGGCTTTGTTCATCCCGTCTTCCAGCGGGAGGAGGTTGTCGTAGTCTGCGAAGAAGGCGGCGCCGAGGACGACGGCTGAGTTGAAGACGGAGTTGATGAGGAAGGGGAGGCGTCGTGGGAGAGAGGTATGTTGGGAGTGAAGGCCGTCGACGAGGTCGAGGCAGCGGAGGGCGGAGTACACGCATGCGTCTGCGAATAGGGCTATGCGGGAGGTGCTGTTGCTTTGGGAGTCGGCGGTGCCTGTTGATTCGCGATTGCGGTGGACGTGGTGGGAGATGCGATAGATGAGGAATGGTCTTGTTAGTAGGATAATGGACCAGTAGTATGTGCCGAGGATATGGGCCGCCGCGAGTGTGCTTCTCTCGGTTTGTGTGTCGTCTTGCCGCTGCGTCTCGGGCTGGAGGAAGCTGGGGAGGTTCCGGACCCAGGTCCGGTGTTGATTGGAGATAGCGTCTGCGACGCGGAGCGAGACTACTTGTTTCATGTAGACCTCCGTTAGGATGCGTTCGAAGATGTGGCATAAGGAGACGACCGTCGTGGAGAGCTGTTCTTCCGGAGAGAGCAGTGGGGTCCCTGCGGCGGTCGCGGCATCGTAGTCGAAATCCGACGTGGCGGGCGGACGACCGAGGGAGGAGCTGAGGAAGAGGTCCATCATCCGCAAGCTTCTCCATACGTGCTCGCGGGCCTGTCGCTCGCGCGCGCAGAAGAGCGCGTTCGCATCTCTCCGGTGGATTCCTACCGCATAGGCGGCCCGCAGGGCGATTCCTAGGTTCATGAAGGCTCCGTTACGACGGCAAGCCCCGAGCATGTACATCGAGATCAACACGTACGACTGGATAGTGTAGATACTCGGGGTCTCGGTGAAGGCGGAGAATGCCAATTGGCGGCCACTGATAAAGTACTGCTCGGCGGAGGTCTGGTCAATGTCGGATGCTTGCGCCCCGATAGCCATGACTAGGTAGAAGATCGAGCTGACGGTGTCCTCATCTCCCGACGGGTCGTCTACCCAACCGACCAGCCGGGAATAGAACTCGTCAAGATCAAAGAGGTCGAGCAGCGGGCTGGTCGCAAGCACGTACTGGTTGGCCAGTCGCTGCGCCTCATCTTGACACGGAGGAGGGACCAATGAGCCGGTTTGCGGCGTGGAACTGTTCTGAAAAGCTTCCAGCATCGAGTGACGCGAGTTGTCCTCCGTGAACTCGCATCTCCCAATAGACGCTGACACGATGCGCCGGACGCTCTGCAGAAATGACAAGCTGGCTGAATCCCCGATATACATGAATTTCCCCTGCCCGTCCTGTAGAAGTCTCGCCACCTTGGGTACTGGCGCCATACCGTCCCTGTCATCCACCGCCTGCTGCTCCGTGGTGCCGCTGTGATCCTCGAGCGAGTTCAGTAACCGATCCATGGCTGGCTCCCGCTGCGGGGTAGGCAGTATGTGCTCGCTCAACAACATAGTGTCTGTGGCGCTCGTATTCGGCTTCAGCAGGCGGGCCGGCTTGTCGGAGAAATGGCATTCGGAATCTTTATTTCGTTGGATACATATCGTACATGGTTGCTCGCCGTTGCATTTCTGTTTCCGTCGCTTACAGCTGTCGCATGCACGGCGACAGCGGAGTCGGGCTCCGGAGGGCAGACTGGCCCGCGGCATCACGATCACTGCCCAGACGGAGACTGTGGGCTGGAATTGAGGAATTCGGTAGATACCGTTGGGAGTGAAAGAGGAATTGGCGTGTTTCAATCTCCGTAGTACACCCCGCGATGCCGTCCGAACCTAACCCCACTGGTAGTCATCTCTCGCGACGGCATTCAGATGGAAGACTTTGCTTTCCCCTCAAGGGAGGTCGAGTAGAGTTGAAAAAGAAGCATGGAAACTGGTGAATTGGAAAAAATTGAGGTCAGGGGGCATGCCATGGATTTGGCAACCAAAGAGGGGAAAAAGTGAAAATCTCGGGATGATCGACCGGGATTAAGACGATTTATATGTTTATCCCCGGATTCTGTATGTGGGGCTTACTAACTGCACTATAATAACTACCTTCATCTCCAGCTATATATTTGTTAAGCCTTCATATTCGGACACTCATTGATTACAACTTCATTACCACATTAAATACATCATTCATCCCCCTTAAGGTCGGAAAGACACGATCTTCCCCCAGGTGTCAGCAGTACCCCAAATACCCTGGCGCAGACACGACAGCTGCACGATCTGGCTATGGTCGACGAAGACGTTAACATCAACGCCAAACTCCCGAATATACCAGTTAAACACCTTAGGGTCAGCAGCTTCGAACATCACCCGCTCCGACGGCAGCTCCTTCATGATCGTTGAGACCACGTCGGTGCGCCACGAGCGCACGTTCTCCGTGATGCCCTCGGACTCGATCATGAGACGCTCCACGCCGGCGTCCAGGAATCGCCGTCCCAGGTTGACCAGCTTGGATGGGTCCGACGTGCCGATGGCTTCAAGGTCTGCCTCTGAGGTGTCTCCTCCCGCGCCGAACTGGATGCCCAGCTCGGGCTTCGCTTTCAGCTTGTAGGAGTGGACTTTGTCTACCAGGCGCAGCCAGTCGTCTTCGGGGAATGAGAGGAATCCGGATGAGAGTTCGATGACGTCGAATCTGATACCGGGGTTAGACCGATCGTGCTTCCACATCCGAAACTGGGGAGAATGACGTACCCTAGGTCTTTGCATTTGGTGAGGTATCTGTCGAAGACGGTGTTCGGATCAGGGTGTGTCAGAAGATGCTCGGCCCAGCCGCCCTGGTTATATTAGCGGAGATCCCCCAAATTTCCCGTGTTGGTGAAGCGAACCGTAGACACATAGGACCCATTCTCGTGGGCCAAGTCAATTAGCTCGCGCAGACGGTTCTCCTGGAAGAGGGAGAAGGAGCCCCCGGAGAATTTCAACCCATCCACATGCTCGCCCATTCTGATATGGCCGTTAGGAGAGGTATTGTCTATCAATTGCTTCCGTCTACTTACGTCTCGAGCACATCGGATAAGTATCGCTTACCCATAACCTGTCGTACGCCCATGGGTTAGCTTCGGAATATGTCATAGGCATCCAAGGGGTGATGGGAGGTATGACATACCGAATAGTATGGCCCTCTAATCTCGGTGACACCCTTGGACCGGGGCTTTGGGGGTCTGGGGTTAGATCGGGCGAAGCCAAACCCATTCTCCTTGTCTTGTAGTAAAGATACGCCATTGTGAACAGGTGCCGTGGTCGAGAGGCCCTGTGAAGCAGCGGGGATCTGGCGCGAAGCCAGGCTGAGGATGTTCCTCGAGGAGGGAGCGATGCGAGGCACGGAAAACATTGTGTTGTGTTGTGTTGTTCAAATCAATTGGTTTGAATTGAGTCTGTACACTAAGTGAGAACAGCTACCTATAAATGGCGTCGTCAGGATATCTGATATGCACCAAAGCCTTCCAGATTTGGGATTGTGCTAGTTCACTCGGTCTTCGGATAGGTTTGTCGTCCGGGTGGTATGAACATACCTTGATGTAAATCACCGTTCTGTTCGTGGGGAACCCCGATACCGGTGCTACAGATGATAGGTGCCTCTCTCCATTCTATTTAGGCTTCAATCCATGGGTTTGCACATCTCGTCAAGCTTGAAGTAGTTGCCCGTTCGGAAGGTGCGCGATGAAGTCAGCATAACGACATGGTGGACAGGTCATGACGTCATGTCTGGAGGAGTGAAATTCCAGGCCACGATCATTGTTAGTGATTGATTGTCAGTTGTCCGATTCACGGAAATAACTTCCAATGGCTCAATATCTTCTCTAGACTGATTCTAGCAGTCATTCGTTGCATTATGCTTTTTCTGAGTTCATCGATGGTGGATGATATAGGGCTGCTTAGGGTTTCAAATGGCCCGCCTTAACCCTCCGTCCCTATATCGTCTCCGGTCCAGCTGCCTCATCCTTTCCCATGATACTGGGCGTCTATCGAATTCATGAAAAGTTCAAGATTATGTATGATACGCATTTGGTCCGCTATTAGGTGGTGTCGTCGTCTCCCAACATGACCTGGCAGACGGACCTTACCGGAACACCTCAACCAATAGCCGATCTGGTTGTCCCTGTATGTCCCATAAGACTGGGCCAGATGGGAAGACGTAGCACGGATGCTGTCATGCTTGACCATCTGTTTGGTTCAAGTTTCCCATGAGCAGTTGCATTGACGATGGTCTAGCCATGTTTGGGTGGTTGTACCGAACTATAGCCACTCGTAGTCGGCCCCGACAATCGCCGTCGTAGTACAGAGATGCAGTTAATTACACGCCAGTCCATGTTGGAATATCCAGCGGTTGGCTGCTTGATAGTTCAGTTGGTAATCACCGGGCTTGAGCTTGAAATGGTAAAAGAGAAAGAGAGAGGCATGAGGTGCTGGTAGCCTGAGTGTCCTCTGTCCATACCGGTGGCGCGATGTGGTGTTAAAAATGGGAGTAATTCTCGACAAAGAACAATTTGGCCGTCTGAAAACATGACTCAGATGATTTCCATTCTGACCGAATTTTTTGATTTTTTTTTTTTTTTTTTTCTTCATCCAGTTTAGTTTCGTTCTTCCACTTCAGTTCTTAAAAAAGGGCCCAGCCACCGGGATGATGCTATTCGGGAAACACGGTAGGACAGCCAGGTCACACAGTCCCATCAGCATCATCATCGACAGACCGCAAAGCAATCTAATTCACGAATGCCAAGAGTAGAGATGGGACTGCTCATTCGTTCAACCCAGATCCTTTGTATAGATTCAAGTGACTTTTCTATGTTCTGTCCCGAGGGCCAAAGAGATGGTTCCTCCCGGCCCAGGATCCCATCCACTGGTCGTTGGTCATGAGACACGAAAAACCACGGAAAAAAAAGGAGTGTCCAATGTATCTGCAACTTGATCTGATATGAGCTTGCATGTAGTCTTTATGCAGGTATGCATGGCTGGATGGGAAGAGAATTGGCAGAGTTCCTGCCTGTTTCACGGCTAATGGTAGTCTTTTTATCACCCTCTTTGACTTCGCTTCTCTCTTTTCCTCTTTTCTTCGCTTCTCACTTCTGACGTACCTTTTATCTTTGGCCTGGAATAACATGTCTAGTTGTCTTCCTGTACCACTGCGCCTTCTCCCTGATGACCCAGCCGTGAGTGTCTGAAGCTCACCCTGCAGGTCTCGTCCTCTCTTTCTATACATTAATATTTCCGCCCTACCTTTTACCACTCCACTCGTACATCATTATCACTGACCTCACATTGCCCTTATTTTCCTGACCCACGCTCACCATGGGTGCGGGGGCGGTTTTAGAACCGCTGGTCGTGATAGTCCTTCTCTTTGGGGGGACCTGGATCAACCGTACCATGGGCAGGACGTGGGGATCTGGATCCACCGATCTTGAATCTGGCAGTTCCACCCCGACAACCTCCATCAAAGATAGCTTATTGTTAGATGGGCAACCAGCATCGCCCAGGTCTTCTAGATCATCCAGGCCCCCTTCTCTCCGGCCCCTGGAGGGTCGATGGCGCCAGAGACAGATTGGGCTCTTTCACTCCACCTTCACCGTGACGACCCCCAACACCGCCGTCTATCAAGATCGCCTGTTAAGCCGGTTACTCCAAAAGTTTCCGTTTCTCGTCGAATGCTGGTATTGGGCTTTGGTCTATTGGGTGTGTTCGTCCACAGTTGGTGCTGGGTTGCGACTAGGCTGGAAGAAGCTAACTCACTTGATGCATGTGTCTAGACATACCAACTAGGTCGGGCGTTCACGGCAGTCACCCTCCAAGAAGGGACCGTCGACGTCGCGAGGCGGCATGCGCTACAGTTGATCCGCTTTGAGAAGGCGATTGGGCTGTTTCGGGAGGTTCCGATTCAGCAGGCTTTTCTTCGACATCCCAGTGTGATGAAATATGTTAATTGGACATATTCCTTCATCCATATTCCCGGCACCATTGCCTTCCTGGTTGGACTTTACTACTACACCACCACCCGGAACCGATGCGACGAGTCTCAACCTGGGACACCTAGATGCGTGATCGGCATGTCCGCGGCCGGTCCGCGCCTCTATCAAGCCCGGCGACGAACCCTGGCCATGTGCAATTTGCTCGCATTTGTAGTCTTTACGCTCTGGCCCTGCATGCCTCCCCGCCTGTTGAGCGATCCGAACGTCGAGGGCCCCGAAGGCGAACTAGGACGCAGCTATGGTTTTGTGGATACCGTGCATGGAGCCAATGGGACGGGGAGCGTTTGGACACAGAATCGGTTCTGTAATCAGTATGGTATGCGAGATTGAACCCGGGCCAGAGAGCCACGATGTAAGGGACGAGTGCTAATTGCCGCATTTGATAGCCGCGATGCCCTCTCTGCACTTTGGCTATTCGCTCATGATCGGGCTCACAATCATGGCTATTCCATTGCCGTCGCATCATCGACAACCAATAGGCCGCTCCCGTTGGTGCATTCGCTATCTAGGGATACCGATGCCCTCGTGGCGTCGCCTTGCCTGTCTGGTGGTGGGATCCGCTTATCCCCTGCTGATTCTGCTGGCCATTGTTGCCACGGCCAATCATTTCATTGTGGACGCCGTGGCTGGGGCCCTGGTGTGTGTACTGGGGAGGAGATTCAACCACCTCCTTCTGAGCCTGTTGCCGCTGGAAGATTACTTCCTCGCCCTGGTTCGAATCCACAAACCCGAGCCCACGGCCGTAGACGCCTTGGGAGAGTTGGACGGGTGGATCGACGACGACGACGAGCTGGGGGGACAGCTTCTTCCCCGATGATCCTAAAAGAAGGCACCCTTCGCCTCCATATCGTCCTCGCCCCCACGTCGTTGTGTAATTCTGATGATACCTTATGGCTGCAGCCCCTTGGGGGGTGAGGTTGAGGTTGTCTCTTGTCTACTATCCTTACCATCTGCTTCTTATAGAACCTCATTCTGGATATAGCGGCTATTAATATGCATTCATTTTTATTCATTGATGTCTTGTCTTGTCTTGTTCCTGTTTTTCACATAAAGAGGATCTATGAGTAGAGCACTGAGCAGTGTGTATCGTGTTTCTTGGATGATTTTCTGGATGATTGATATCAAGCGTGGCCCCTTGCTAATCACCTTTTGGTTCTTGTTTTCATCTTATTCTATTGCATATTTTCTTTATCAAAATAAGTTCCCCATGGTAGTATACCTTGTAGTATAATTTCTTCAGAGTCAAGAGATCAAGGTAAATTTGGTTGAAAGAACGGTAACTTTGATACCAGATCGAGAGGGGATCGCGTAACGGGGCGGTACGGGCCGTAATGAATCCACCGGTGACTGCAGTGCTTGCTTCATCCTCCTCATTCCTTCTCATTCACTCTTCGACTCATTCTCTTGTCTTCTTTCTCTCCACTGGGCCATTTCTGCTGTGTGCTGGAGTATAAAGTTCCACTGACACCCATTACATTTTTCTTCTGAATATATTCTCTTGGTTGGACCTGTGATTGTATCTTCGGACGGACCTTGGATATCCCTACTACTACACAGTACATACTCAACTACGAGGTTGGTCGCATATACCTTCAAGCCACTGGCTAGATCATCGCGCTGATACGTCTTTTAGTTATTTTGCTCTGGTGCCTTCCAGCATCTCTCTTACTGTTAAAACGATCAGTTAGGTCGTGGATGGATCCTGGTTCACCCCTCGATTAGCTTCGTCTTGTCGCAGATTGTGGCGCATCCCCAGTTGACACTGGTTTGTGAGAGCGTGCCAGTCAGCTGTTCTGTATCTCCAACGGACCTCTCCGGTTTCAAGTTGTCGTGATTTGGTCTGGTCGTGGTATTCGCCGTGACCTTGCGCTGTGAGGGGAGCTGACCGACCTTGGCTGTTCATTTCGCCTCAGTCTCTCTACCTTACACTGTCACCCCACCGCTATCGCGGGTGGTGTGGATATTGATATCTACCATCTGTGTGCCGGTTTGACCACAGGCTTCTTGTGGACATTCATTGACACCTGTGATACCGTCAAAGAGCTGTGAACGCGTTGTCTCCGATCCGGTCGCATCGTTGAAACACCCAACTGCGACGACACCCAACTGCGACGGAACCCCGATAGTTATTTACCGGGGAATTGCGAGCAATTGGACCATCTCCACCTATTAAGAAACATCAGGTACGAATTGTCATGAATTTTGTTGGATTTTAACTAATTTCCTTTTGTTTGGGGAGGTCTGCAGCGGGAGCAAAACCGTTGCGTCATTTGCGGACTGGGGGAGCAACCGCCGTTCCCTTTTTTTTACGCGTTGTTCCATCTTCCCGCCTCCCGTCGCGACCTTCTCCACCACCATCTCTCTCTCTCTCTCTTCCCCCCAGTTCTCACCTTCCCTCTTCATCCTTTTCCCACTCCAACCCATCTCCGACTTTTCCACCACCACCCCCTGATTGGAAAGCTAAAGCTTCTCCTCTCATTCTCCATCCCTTCTTCCTCCGTTTACGTGTTTGTGAGCTCTGTCGCGCATCATGGCTGAGGACACGCCCACCGCCGCTGCGCCCGCTGCTGAGCCGGAGCGCGCTCCTGCAGACTCTAAGGCCGGCCCCGAGGAGTCCACTCCCGAGGTTCCCAAGGAGAAAGAAGCTGAGGCGACCAATGGGTCCGACAAGAAGCCCTCCGGTAAGTCATCCGCAATTAATCCCTTCTCCTCCCCCCTTGATGGACAACCCCGACAGGGTGTGACAAGGTGGCGTGGCTAACGGTTTCCGGCTTGTTTACGACAGAGGACGCGACCGCCACGGAAGACAAGAAAGAATCGACGGATGCTTCCGCCGAACAACCTCCTGCCCCCACGACCGACGCGAAGGAGCAGTCTGAGGAGAAGGCTGCGCCTGCCGAGTCGGAGGCCGCGCCCGCTGCGGACGTCTCCGCGACTCCCGCGTCCGCCAAGAAGTCGGGAGGATCCAAGCGCAAGTCTACCGGCGGCGCGTCGGACAGGAAGTCGCTAAGCCGGAAGAAGTCGATGTCTCGCGTCACCCACCTGCACGCGCAGCCGGGCGAGTACTACCTGGCGCGTCTCCGCAGCTTCCCGCCGTGGCCCTCCATCGTCTGCGATGAGGAGATTCTCCCCGAGTCTCTCCTCGAAACGCGTCCGGTGTCGGCCAAGCGCACCGATGGAACTTACCGCGAGGACTACGCCGACAGCGGCAAGCGGGCTCACGAGCGCACCTTCCCCGTGATGTTCTTGGAGACGAATGAATTGTGAGTCCCATCGCGTCGTACGATCCTATTTGCGATCTTCAATTTACATATCTATCTCATCTATTGTTGAGTTTTTTTATCTTTCCGTTGCTTCCGACTTTTCCTGCACCTTTCACCGCCAGAGACTAATCGTTGGTTATAGCGCGTGGATCCCGAATATGGACCTGTCTCCGCTGGATCCCGAGTCCTGCAAAAATGTGTCGCCCAAGAGCAAGGGCAAGCTGCTCCTGGCTGCCTACGCGGTCGCGTCCGAGGCGCATGATCTACAGTATTTCAAGACCCTGCTCGCCGACCACCAGCGCGCGCTCGAACAGGAGATCGAGGAGAAGGAAGCCCAGGCGGCCGCCAAAGCCGAGGCCAAGGCCGAGCGTGATGCGAAGAAAAACAAGCGGAAGAGCATGGAGATCGTCGACGATGAAGACGTCGATATGGAGGATGCGAATGCGGAATCCAAAAAGTCCAAGAGCTCGAAGAAGCGCAAGAAGGATGCGGAGACCGAGGACGACAAGGTTCGTGCCAGCCCCAGACAGACCCCGAAACCGACGGTTTTTCTTCTCCCCTGTGAACTAACATATTCTCTACGCACAGCCGGCGAAGACCCCCAAGACCAGCACGAAGCTGAAGTTGACGACCCCCAAGACCCCGGCCAGCGAAACGAAGAAGACCCCCTCCAAGAGCAAGCAGGCGGGCGGCAGCAAGAAGGCCGGCAAGGCTAGCGCCAGTGAAGCCGAAGAGGAGGCCGCGCCAGCCAAGGGATCGGCGAAGCCGGTTAACCCGGAGGAGGCCAAGGCGAAGCGGGAGAAAGAAAGTATGGCCACCCTCCTGAATCTCAAATGTGATCCAGAAACTGACGGTTTTGTTGCAGTTCTTTTCGTCCGTCATAAGCTCCAGAAGGGGTTCATTTCTCGCGATCAACCGCCCAAGGAAGAGGAGATGAACGCCATGTCCACCTACTTCACCAAGCTCGAGAACTACGAGGATCTGGAGGTGTCGGTGATTCGTGCCACCAAGATCAACAAGGTCCTGAAGATGATCGTGAAGTTGAACACGATCCCGCGCGACGAGGAGTTCCGATTCCGCGAACGCGCCATGAACATCCTGACCAAGTGGAAGAACGTCCTGGACACCGATGTCGGCACCCCGGTCGCCGAGGAGAAGGAGAAGGACGAGAAGCCCAAGGCCAACGGCGTGCAGAAGGAGGACAGCGTGGACACCCCGGCGAAGGAGACCGACGGCGAGAAGGAGAAGGAGGATGAGTCTAAGGCTGAGAAGACCGAGGCCGCCGACGAGCCGATGCCCGATGCGGACGCCGAGGATAAGAAGGCGTCAGCTGACGAGCCTGCCGCAGAGGAGACCGACAAGACGGCTCCCAAGGTGGATGAGGAGGCCAACAAGGAGAAGACCGCGGAGGAGGAGAAGACCGAGGAGAAGACTGCTGCAGCGGACTCATGAGGACGAGGAAACAACACTAGAGCACAAATGACTTGAACCATATTCTTTCTTATCTCTTTTTTTTTGCTGTTGTTTCCTGCCCCAACAACTAACTTCATTATGTCTCCTACTTTTGCTGCTTCCCTGGTCTTGATCCGGCTGATAGCGTTACTCGCATTGGTTTTATTTCATCGTTCCTACTTTCTTCGACTTTTGTTTTTTATTCACCCTGTCTGTTGTATGCTGCTTTTTATCTCGCTTTCCATCTGCTTGTTTGTAATCAATCATGCTGCTTATTTACTTTACTTTACTCTTATTCCGTGGCACTTTCTATTATTGGGATTGAATCAAATTCATAACGGAGAAACATTGCGAAAATCCAGAGATTGAACATGAAACGACGAGCAAAAGGTAAAAGGAAACAGACAAGAATAAAAAAAAAGAGGGAGAAGAATAGTCAAATGTTAGTTTCTCGCCTGTGTGTTGTACGGCCCTCCTTCCGTTCACTCAACTCAGCTGTACGTGCGTACGTCCCTTGTCCCGATCGATCTTCTCAACGCTGCGAATAGGACAAAAAGAAAGAAGGGAGGAAGGAGATATTGGGTCTGGAAGAGGCTGTGGGGATTATGGATGGAGGGGAGGTTGGTAGGTCAGTTAGCAATGATAAAATTCTTACTATATATAGTTTGCGACGCGGTCTCGCGAGCTAAATAGATCGTAAGATCTGGTTGACATTCTGCAAGAATGATCCCGATACATGATATAAGTGATGACAGAAGTAGAAAAGAGACAGATTCTGAACCAGCAGGATCCAAACATGTTTGGTCGCTGTTACGTTGACGATACATCGGCTTTAAGTAGTAGTGTGGATGCTTTTCTTAAAGAACAGATACGATTGGATCATATTGAATTCCTTCATAGTTGTCTTTTTGATAGCATGGCCTGCCTTTCACGCTTACTGTGAGAGTATACCTTACAAACGGAATAACACTGCTACTGTACATAGGTAGATCTTTCAGGAGAATTGGCGGCATCAACGGTTCTGAACTTGTTAAGTTGGCTTCACTTTTATGCATCATCTGTGGACCAAGGCCAAATTCTCTCTACCGTTATTTCTTTACCCTACAAGTTTTTTTTTTTTTTTTTTTGAACCGCATGTAGCTTGTCGTAACGAGAACCACCCCGAAAATATCCAAGACAGATTGATATTCCAGTCTTCCCGGTCAAAGCAGATTGTACAGTGAAAATAGGCATCAATATCATATCATGTATACCGCAAGCACAGGTTTCACATTCAAGGACACACACACAGCTATTCTTGCGGGAACGATCTATGGTACATTCGCAGCAGATAACATACCTTTTTTTCAGATGAGCCTAAGCAAATTGGACAGTGAGAAGAGTCTTGTATAACAGATTTTCTCTTAGCCGTATGTCAAGTTCTCGTCCCTGGCAGGCCCCCGTTTCAAAGACATCAAAGTTCAAATAGGCGATGCACGTTTGCCCAATTTCGGCATGGGTATTCGGAAACCAATCAGTCCATGTCTGCTCGGAATATTGCTGGGTTGTATAGTGGACTAATCAAATAGTACTCTGCAGTCCAGCTAACATGCCAACCGATTGCAGACACTTCCACGGTCAATAAATCGTTAGGGTCAATAGATCGTTAGGTGTCTATCTACTCATTTATCTAGTGTAGTTCTTTCTGAATCTTATGAACAGTGGATGATAGGGTATGGTATTATCAATCTGTGGGTGTGAAGACAGAATAATTGTGGTCAAGTGAAAAAAATATCTAGCACATGAAGGATGTGCGTCGCGATTCTATCTCGTCTAGCTGGTAATTCGAGTAAAAGTAATCAATCCAATCCAATCCAATCCGTAATGACACCACATGTTATAAAACAGATAAAACCCACGCCTGATGCGGTTCCCCGTCCCTGTCCTTGTTTCTATGTATATGCTAGACCGTGTCTCTATATAGCAGTGTTTGATCATGGACCAATGAAAAGAAAAGAACGCAACCAGTCATGCAGATCACCCAACCGAGACATAAATGGAAAGAAAAGATTATATAATGATTGTTCATCAGCGGAGACGCCAGGAATGTTGATATCTCCAGAAATATTGGTATCGAAGAGGACAGAAGAAAGATAAAGTGTCATGAACAAGTTCAAAGACGGGATTCACGAGCCCCTGCCTTCGGTCCCGTCTGGGACTCATCCACAGCGACGATGGCGATGACGCAGATGTCGTCGATCTTGCCGCCGCGGTAGTAGTCGCCCGGGTAGTAGCGTTGGGCTTCCTTGGCGAAGGGCCCATCCCGGCGGATATCCACGCTGGCCAGTTTGGCCTCGCCAGCGATGCTGGAGGCGAGGAATGACTGTAGCGTGTAGGGCTGGTCACCCATGGGGCTGGGTGCACCGGCCGGCAGCAGCGAGCTGAGCCCAACCGGCCCCGTCAGCTGGTCGAGTTGGTCGGAGGGCCGGATGCCCATTTCCGGGGTGGCATCCCAGGCCCCCGTCAGCACCATGCGGCTGGTGACCAGCTTCAGGATGTCCTGGTTGTTGAGGTTGTCGTAGACGCCGTCCGTGGCCAGCATCAGCACATCGCCGTGCTGCATCTGTAGCGAGGTGACGGCGGCGTCGCGCGGGAAGTCCTCGAGGAAGGCGCCACCGAAGATGGAGGCCTGGGCCCGCATACGCGGCGGGATGATGCTGAGCTGGTAAGGAGTGTTAAAACCGTGCGTCTGCGGTGCCGAGTAGTGGTGGACGGCCGCCAAACGTAGCAGCACGGAGCCCGAATCGCCTAGGTTGGCTAGCTCCACCCGGCCGTCCTCTAGGCCCACGCCGACGGAGGCCGTGCTGCCCCCCGCGCGGACGGTCTTGTCGGCGACGACCCGATCGTAACCGGCCTGGAGTAACTGCTTTGCGCGCAACTGCTCGACAGGAGCATCCCATTCCAGCGCTGACTCGGCCATGTAGTTGCACAAGGCGTGCGAGAAATCGGCCGGATCGACGCGGGACTCGGACCACCCCCCGACACCATCCGCCACGGCGAAGGCCACGGCCCCCTGATTCTCGGGGGTGTGTCCGACACGGCTGACGAAGAAGGCATCCTCACCACTGTCCGGTCGCCGTTTCCGTCGCAGAGCCGGGTCCGTCACATCCGGCGCCACTCCCAGCGCATCCTGGCGATCGGGGAAGAAGTTATATGCATTCTTGGCGGGGACGAAGGGACGGCCCTTGCCGGAGGAGGACGCCGCGACCCGGTAAGAGATCCGCGAGGGGGCAGACGAGTCACGCGACGGAGTAGAATGAAAGGCGCGGTGGGACGAAGTCGAAGAGGATGTCGAGAGCAGGAACCGGCGTCGAGCGGAAGAGACGGAGGGGCGACAAGGGGACGATCCTAAGAAAAACCCGGATAACTCGCCCACCAGGGAAGAGACGCTACTGCCGGCATGACCGCAGGCTCTGGAAGGGGGCGCCAGGTTGATCATCAGCAGGACGAGCGAGATTGTGTCGTGGTTGCGTGGAAATCGCGGTGGCCGTCTCGAACCGATCCTTATCTGATCGCCCTCGAACCGACAAGATAGGAATAGAGGAGGAGGAAGGTAACAGGAAGACAATCCCAGCAACCAATTGTGAGTTGAGAGAAAGGAAGAGAAGACAGACTGAGAGGAAGAGAAGGAGAAGAAGGGAAAGAAGGGTGAGTGAGGGAGGAGAGGAAGAAGAAAAGAATGAGACAAGAGAGATAGAAAGATGAGGAAAAAAAGGATCGGAGCGACTGACCGCCTTGGGTTATCAATCACTTTATCGAGATTTTCTTCCTTTTCATTCCAATCGATGGAAAGATGGGAAGAAATTCATTTCTATTTATATACTTGTAATTAATTATTGATTGATTATCTATCAATAAATCGAACAAAACGCACTGTCCGTGGGGAGTCTATACAGTGCTTCTCTCCTCCGGAGCTTTATCAGGATCAACTTCCGCTCAACGGATCTCTTCCTTCGTTTTCTCCCTCCACGAATTCATCCCACTCCATCTCCTTCCAACCCCAAGAACCCCCCAGTATTGACCTTCTTTGGATTGACCCTTTGATTGCTTCGAGTCTCGCCACCAGTGCGCTCATTAATCACCTAATTTTCCGTCTTCTCCCCCTGCGAGGGGCGTGATTCGCCATTATGATGCACCCCGCGAGGCAGGCCTATGTCGAGGAGGCTGAGGTATGCTGACCTTCTCGCATCATTGATTTGATCGCATCCCCAAAAGACACCGTCTAGTGCTTATGCATCCCTCAACTGACCTCGTATGCGGCGATTACTCTAGGACACCGACATGGGAATTGATCTAGCCAATATACGTAAGCAAACCCATCCGCGGGAATGATCTTGAAGTACACTCCATTCTGACGACTCCTCCCTTTCAGCCGTCGATCATGATTATGACCTTCCTTCTTCCGCCGCCGGCATCCCCGCCGCGAGGGCCTCGGCCATCCTGTCCCAGTTCGAGCGCAAACGACGAGCCGCCGCCATGGCGGTGCCCACAGACGATAGCCGAGTGCGAGCCCGCCTGCGCGAGCTCGGGGAACCCATCACGTTGTTCGGAGAAGGCCCTGGAGACCGAAGAGACCGACTACGCGAGCTCTTGACCGATCTGGCAGAACGACAGGACGCGGCGGATGCCGATGTCGAGATGCGCGAATCGACCACCGAGCTGGGCGCGGAGGAAGAGGATGAAGGCGAGCAGCAGGAGGAGTTTTACACGGAGGGATCCGATGCTCTTCTCAACGCTCGGAAAGAGATCGCGCGTTTCTCTCTTCCGCGCGCAAAGGCCCGCGTGGCCCGCCAACGCGAGGAATCCACGATCCCTCTCCGCACCCACATCAAGCATCGCAAGGCCATCAAAGAGAAGCTGCAGGGTTTCGACCTTTACGGGTCCCAGATCGCCGGCGATCGCCCCGTCAGTATCTGCCGATTCGCACCCGACGGCCAGACCATCGCTACGGGCAACTGGGGCGGTGGTATCAGCCTGCTCACCGTGCCCAACCTCGAGGAGAAGCGGTCCTTCAAAGGCCACTCAGATCGCGTGGGGGGTCTGGCGTGGTACCCCGGGGCCACACTTCCCACCTCCACCGTGTCAGAGTCGTCGGTCAACTTGGTGTCCGGCGGCGGCGAGGGGAACGTGGCCCTGTGGTCGCTGGACCAGGACCAGCCGTTGGCGACGCTCCCCGGGCACAGCGGCCGGGTGTGCCGCACCGAGTTCCACCCGTCGGGTCGCTATCTCGCGTCCGCCTCATACGACACCACCTGGCGGTTATGGGATGTCGAGACGTCGCGCGAGTTGCAGCTCCAGGAAGGTCACTCGCGCGAGGTCTACACGGTGGCGTTCAACGAAGACGGGTCGCTCCTGGCGAGTGGCGGCCTGGACAGTATTGGGCGCATCTGGGACCTGCGCACCGGCCGCACCGTCATGATCCTCGAGGGCCATATCCGGGAGATCTACGGTCTCGACTGGGGGGTGGACGGCTACCGCGTGCTGACCGGGTCCGGCGACGGCTGGGTCAAGTGCTGGGACCTGCGGCAGGTGCGGAACACGGGGGGCATCGGTGCCCACAAGAGCGTCGTATCCGACCTGCGATGGTACAAGGGCGGGGAATCGTCATTCCTGCCGGCGGCCGAGGGCGCGGCCGGCCAGATGGAGGTCGACGGCGGCGCGGGTGACCCCCCGGCTGCTCCTGTGCAACCGAAGAAGTCGGGCACGTTCTTCGTGAGCAGTGGATTCGACAAGAATGTCAACGTTTTCAGTGCGGATGACTGGTCGCTCGTGAAGACCCTCAGTGGGCATTCGGGCAACGTGCTCAGTACAGATATCAGCAGTGATGCCCAGTGGATTGCGAGCTGCGGTCATGACCGGACAGTCAAGCTCTGGGGGATTGAATAATTGGCGAGTTGTCAGAACAATATAATATCCGATCCTCGACTGTTTTTACCAAAATTAAACTGGAAGCCTGTGGTCTTGACAGGCTGGGCGTACAACGCGCGGTACCGCTTACACGTGCAGGTACCTCTCTAGCTCTTGATGACTGGGACGAAGGCTACTGTCGATACATGAATCCCAATGGCTAAGACCGACCCCAACAAATAGATGAAGCATGGATGTACGATTCAGAACGCCGCCTTGAAGATGCATGAATTGAGTGTCTATCCACCGTCAATGATGAGCTATACAATAATTAACATGCCATATACAAGTGTGCCTGTAGAGCTTTCCTTCGCTATGAGTGCCATCAGTCTTTGCCTTGTGTATTTCGATTTACTTGAAAATGACGTCACAGGCGTGGACTGCTGACTCATTACACGTGATTTCTCCGGTATCTTTTATCGTTCATCTTCGCCTTCATCTCCCTCACCATCTGACTGTATTTACGACTAGCATTGCATATCCACGGAGACCTCGTCTGAAAAACTACATTTTACGAATTCTGTTTTGTATACAAATCTGCCATATTCCCGACTCCTCCACACACCCGACATGAGCTCTTCCATGCGCGCCCCGAGACTGCTCCAGCGGCTGTCTGTCCCGCGCCCAGCAGCCGGTTCTTCGCGGCCATTGCTATCCAGAGCATCCCCAGCTCGCCAGACATGCTGTACACTCTGCCAGTTCCGATCGCAGACCTCTCCTCGCCACTATGCAACGATGTACCAACAAACGCGCCGTCTAACCACCACCGCACCCGCCGCATCCCCCGCAAACAACAGCACCGCCACCAACACCAAAGAAGACATCAACGCAACCACATCCACCCCCACCCCCGACATAACAAACTACTACACAATGTTCCCGAACACCATCCCAGCCGGCCCACCCCCAGCGTCCCCCTTCGCGATCCCCATCGCCGACCTCCGCCGCGAATTCCTCAGCCTCCAAAACGTAATCCACCCCGACAAATACCCGCAAGGCGCCGAGAAGCAGCGCGCAGAGGCCCTCTCAGCGCGCACAAACGAAGCCTTCCGCACGCTGGCGGACCCGCTCTCGCGCGCGCAGTACCTCCTGCGCGAGATGCACGGCATTGACGTCACTGCTGAGGATGGCGCGTCGAAGCATGCGCTTGATCCTGAGACGCTGATGGAGGTGATGGAGGTGCAGGAAACGATTGAGGAGGTGGGGACGGCGCCTGATGCGGAAGGGACGATCGTGCAGATGAAGAAAGAGAATGATGAGCGGGTGAGGGATTGTGTGGAGGCGCTTGGGGAGGCTTTTGATCGGGGCGATGTTGAAACTGCTAGGAAGGAGTGTGTGCGGTTGCGGTTTTGGTATAGTGTTGGGCAGGGATTGCATGAGTGGGAGCCGGGGATGACGGAGATTAGACTTGTTCATTAGGTTTCGATCTGGTTGTCTAGATGCATTTTTATAGATTAGTTGTTGGATTGTCTATGTATGTATGACTTCTTTCTCTCACACTATAGTCAATATAGGGCGCAGTCATTATACCGTCGTCCTTGGCAGGTCGTTATAGTTCCAGCTCTCTTACTCACCTACAGTTACCTAACATCTAGCACTTCATATACTACTCCCCAATCGTCAAACCCAGTCATGAGACACTCCATGTGTTGGAGGAACTCACTCCCAATATATCAAAACGAACCCTTTCCTCCCATAAAATCATTCCCAGATTCTAAAACATCATATCAATCTTACCCAGCGCAGTATAAAAATTGGAACAACCTAGTATAAAGCTCAATATCTAGTCACTCACGTGACCTGACAGCAAGGTGAGCATTGATTGGCCCCGCTCGGACACGGCGGGCAGATCGGTGGGGCATCATTCCTCAGGCTCTCTATCTATATCCTCGGTGTATATAACCATCCTGTTGCAAGAGAACGAGATAGGCCGTTTACAAAGTGCAAAGTGTCATCATATATGTCATTGGAGTAGCTATACTACTGTTCATACACTACGTAATCTAATACTCTCAATTTTCAGATGTTCATTCCATTAAGATCTAGATATAGGTACACACGCGGGGTCTGCCAGGCACTCTACAGCCGACGCCATGCGCATACATACCTACCTAATTAGTAGGGAAGCGCCCAAAGACTAGCCGTAAAGGGGGCTACAGAACAAGTATGACATCTTCTTTATAGTTACATGAACTAGCTGGTTCATAGCTGACCCCGTCCATGTATTAAGATTAGGACGGTTGGGGGATAAACAGCCACGTGGGATGGCTCTATAGATGTTTTTTTGAGGGTAATTTCTAACAATTTTATCAAATTACAGTAATCGTTTGACTTGCTCTGTTTATGGTTTATTTGGTTATCTTCCTTCTTGGGAATATGGGATCGGGAACACCTTGTATCAATGGGGCAGGGCTATATTTACTGTGTAGGGTTTGTGGGTATCTATATATATAATGTTGTTTGGTTTGATGGCTATTATTGCTTGACAGTAGAGATTACTGGTAAACTGGTGGCTATACTAGGATTTGATTATTATTATTTCGATTATATACACATATATTGAAGTAGCACTACTTGATATAGATTATATATATCATGGTAGTATTAGGTTGAATGATGGAATCATCATACCCTAGAGATACTACCATATGCAGGGGTTGACAGTTCTTCACCCACGCTACCTCGAACCGACTCAACGTGGACTCATTTCCTATCCATTAGCATTATTATCATGTTTGAGCAAACAGACCGCTCCGTCCACCGATAGGACAAGACTGTTGGGTTGGCAAAGAAGGCGGGAATAAAATCCATCGGGCAACAATCCCAGCAGCCACCTATAGGGTTGGGCAGTACAGTGGAGACCCCTGACCCAACCGCCCTAACAAACAGAAAAAGTAAAAGAAAGCTGCACCTTTGATCCCCGCAGTCGCTCGCTCGCGTGAGGGAGCTTTGCATCTTGGCTGGTTGATGATGAGCTGTTCAGTGAGTGGCATGGCCTATGGTATGTTTTTTGGAGGGGACATCCTGCCCCGGCCCCACTAAACATCTGCCAGCACTTCCCTTGAATGTTTCCCCCAAGTTTGGTCTGTCGACCTTCTATCGACTCTGCAGTTGCACATACATGCGTTGAATAAGAAAAAACCCATCAATCAAAGAAATTGCACGGATCGTTGATCGAGGCAATCTCCGAGGTCACCCGGTGGCTGGGGTTGCTGTTTTCTTTCTTTCATGCTCTTTGGGTGAGGGTGATAAGCACGACCAACCTGTTGGCATCGTCACAAAAAAAGCTAGCGGTCAACTCGCTTCAACCCCATCATGGATGCACACGTAGCACACTATCGTGACCCCATTAGGGGGTCGGCTTTCGCGCTTGGAATAGCTAAGGCTCGGTCCGTCATTCCAGGAAGGGGGATAAGAGGACACTGCGCTGTGCTTGACCTCCAGGGGGTGGGGTCGCAAGATTGATGTTTAGAAGATATAATCCTAACTCTCAGTATATCAGTACATAGTAGACATTCTCTAGTTTTGATTATTTTGCGAATCCTCGCTTTTGTCTTCCTTTTCTTCAACATACCTTGGGCGATAGCCTAAGGCGAGCACAGTGACCGCCAATGGCGACCGGTCGAGACTACCGAAGGTGAGCTTTTTCTTTCTCTATTATTATAATTCTTCTCAGATTTTTTCGGTCTTATTTTTCTGCCTTCTTTTTTTTTTTTTTCTTTTTCTTTTTCTTTTTCTTTTCTCTTTTTTCCTTTTGACTAGCTGGCGGCTGTGGTTGTCGCGGTTATCGTGGCTTTGAGACTGTGCCCGCGACATCCATTGCACTGCAGTCGAATCAAAATCATAATACCGACCTCAACGGTGTTGTCACTGACGCATCGAATGAAACAGCATCGTCTATTCGCCGCCATTTACCTTCTTGGTCGGTCCCCAACACACTAAACTCACAGTCCAGTCGGGTCTCGCCCAGCATGTCTCCCAACCATTGGATCATTTGATGAATGGTCAGACCCGCGAGTCAAAACACCATATTGCCGTCCTGGAGGAGGAGGATGTCGAGACCTTTGTGGCTTTTTGCGAGTACGCCTACACGGGCGACTATACTGTGCCGCCACCCGGGTCTCGTGAGGAGGAGCTGGAGATCCCTGTGGTCAGCAACTCCTTCGACAGTCACACGGGTGTGCCTCCCTTTGTGCCGTCGCCCCCGAACTCGGGCGGCTTCTCCGACAGAGGAGGGGATGACTGGGCCGGTGAAGAGTTTGATCCTGGCCAATACCCGTCGCAGACCGTTGAGGCAGAGGCAACAACAGGCCAGTATGACCTGACGACCGAAAACCCTGAACCGACAGGCGAGGCGCCAGAAGACCCGGCGACTGCGACAGTAGAGTCTGCCGAGCAGCAACACCCAACTGCAGAGAGTGACCCGCAGGACAAGAATGACGATGCGCGGGGCCCCCAAAACCAGGTCAAGACAAGCAAAAAGAACAAGAAAAACAAGAAGAAGCAGAAGGGTGGTGCATCAGCGGAAGATCCCGGCTCGAATTTGACGCCCCCCACCACGCCGCCCCCCGAGAAACCGAAGGAGGGATTTGAGGGCCAACCCCCCACTGCTGAAACCGCCGAAGTATCAGACGAATGGGAACGATTAACGGGGGCACCTGGTGCCGCTGATCCCGAAGAATCTGCACAGCCCACCGACGTAGCTGAACCGGAGGACCTCGAGCAGTCGGCACCCATACCGCCAGAAGACGACACCGCTGCGCACCCCCAACAAGAGGGGGATGAAGGTGAGTGGAATGAGCAGACTCAAGAGGAGACAGGTAGGGATGTGAAGGGGCCCACCAGACCCCCAACGAGGTCCTTCATCGACTCGTCTTTCGTCAGACAAGATTTCTCCAACCGGCACGAGACGGGAATCAGCCTCTGGGATGAGTTTGCAACCATCGACTACGTTGATCCTCGCAAGTTCAGCACTAGACCGCCGAGCTCGTTCTCTGGTCACCTCCAGCCGAGCGGATCAGACCTCCCATATCTCTTGTTTCACGCCAAACTCTACGTGTTTGCAACCCGATATCTGATCCCCGCACTGGCGCAGTTGTGCCTCCGGAAGCTGCATCGAGACCTTGTGTACCTCGGATTCCCCGAATCTGCCACCGACAGGTCCGACCCGGAGCAGATGATCCTGACCAACACCAAGGCTCGCATGGTGCTCGACCTCCTCCACTATGCATACACCAAGACGACCCGCCTCGAGCCGATATCACCCACTTCGGCCACTCAGCTGCGGGACAACGAGCTGCGAAGGTTGGTCATTCATTATGCAGCCTGTAAAGTGCGGGACCTTGCGGAGTTTTGTCCTCCGCTGGAAAGAGAAATGGGATACACGTGGACTGGCTTCGAAAAGCCCTCGGCGCGGGGCCTACGTGGGCTCCTGGACACCACGACGGAGCTGGCGTCAGATTTGGTGTACCGGATGATGTGAATGGCTTGTTGGTTTCTCGCCGCTTCTTTGTCTTTTTCCCTTTTCTCATTTCTCCATGTCTTAATTTTCTTTTCTTTTCTTTTTTTTCCCCCCTCATCGATTCTTTTCTCTCCCAATTTTTGCTGTTCTTCTCTTTTCTCATTGTTTCTCATCGGGCGATTTTTCTTCCGTGACGGTTTTGATACTTCCGCCCCCTGCATGTATATTCAACCTCGTACAGAGCGATCACATAGCACCCGCATATATATGCATGGCCAGGTGTACGGAGTAAATAAAAACATGGCTTACAGGATATCAGAAGCATGTAATCTTACTCAAGCATAGGAGACTTGTGGCGGATGGAAGGGTAGACGATCCTCGGGTATGCCTGCGGCTGATTTTCTTGCGTGATCCAATTTGAAACTCTGATTTGCCAAAGGAGCACCGTGGGGGAATCTTAAAATGTTAGTGCTTTGCAATAAAACCTGGCAGGACCAATTGAACTTTCCCTCATGCGCAGTGTGACATGGATTAAGTTGGCCTAGGAGACGATCGTCTCGGTTCTGAAGATTTCGAACTTTTTCACCCGCCCCACGTCTGCATGCAAAACTCGTTTAATCTCCCATAGAGACACCTTCCTGAATAGGGTGATGTTGTTGTAGCTCTTGTAGCTGAGACTGGGCCGCCTGTAGAATGATCCCATGTTGGATACGATCATCACGTAGAGTTCTTCGTCGCTCATGCGACCGCCTTCTAGACCCACAGACCAGCCAATGACGCTGTGATTCCCCGCAATAACCGCGAAAGCCGGTCTCTCCACCTAGCCGGCATGGGTTTGGGGAAAGCGAAGCGAGAATGAGGTTAGGTCTAAAAGCCATTCGCAACAGGGGTGATTGCAAGTTGTCATCCCAGCTTGCCGATGTCTAGAACTTGCTCGATGCATTCATTATGAGAGGACGTGGGATGTCGAGAGGAGAAAGCGCGAGAAAATTTGTGATGAAACCATTGGCCATACCCTAATTTCCGACTCAACTCGGGTTCACATGCACATGATCCCTTGTTCAAACCAAGTTTGATTTACAAGGTGAGAACGGGCCTTAAACTGTTGTTGTAGTGTTCCGTCCGATCCATTGACCATCCTGCCGGAGATGAAGCAAAAAAGACATGCCCAGATAGGACACAGCCGTGCGATTTCGCCAAGACAGATCACATCATTGACAAGGAACAGAAACAGGGTGGGTATGGGTAGGTTTTGAGATAGGACCTGGGGGAGGGAATGACGAGGTCGAATCTTCCGTGATTCGGAGCCAAGAGAGACTCTTGGCCTTGGCATATGTATACCTGTGGGACGGAAGCTATTCATAGATGGATTGGTGGCAAGGGCATGATAAGAACTGCAGGTCAGTGGAATGGCGGTATGAAGAAGTGGCGAAGTGCAGAGTGGCAGAGTAAACAGAGAGAGCTAGGCATGAGATCGTAAGTTATTCATGATGCCTAGATTAAGGGCTGTTGGAGTGAGAAGTGATGCCATCCGCAAGCCACCCGTGATCCACAAATTACTAGTATGGATGACCCTGGGGTGAAATGGAGCACGATAAGGCTCTTGGAATGGAGGTGCCTGGAACTTTGAATGCGAATTAGAATCAGTGAAGTCGCCCGGGCGAGAAAATGGAGATCCTAAAAGTCTTGGAAGTCTGGGAAGACATGGTGTTGTTGATTTTGGGCTGCAATGTAGAGAACGTCGATCCACTATCACCTCACACAGCCCATCTTGGCAGACGTTTTATATATAGATCAGATCACATTCGGCGATGAACTTCCAACATTGGCGATTGAGTCAGTAGGCAACCCATGTAGAGAGTCGGGCGCGTATCCCAACAAATGAGAGAGTGAGGTTTACGAAAAGTGGAGAGCAAAAGGAGGAAAAGGGGACGAGAAGAAGAGACAAAGAGAAGAGCTGAGATAAGAAAATAATTATGTCACACATTGTGCATCCATTATCCATCATGGATAATTCCATCTTTTTTCCATCTGTCTTTTTTTTAAACTTCATCTTCAACCTCAACTTCATCATCATCTTATTCTCTCCTTCCTTTCCGTCACTTCCGTCTCTTCCATCTGATCCATCTCTTCCGTTTTTTCCGTTTCTTCGAATCCCCTCACCTCCTTTTCCTTCCCATCACCCCTTTTACTTTTTCTCCTTATCAGTAAACAATCACAGCCACTCGCCGGAAAGCTTGGCAGTGGACCTTCCCGTGGATGATGCGTCGTCGATCTCCCTCTTGGCGGACTGTTGTTGGATTAAACGGCATGGGCTTTTCCACGCACGTTGCACGTCCTCCGACTGGCTCGTACCTGATTAGCCTTTTAGAGCCTAACCCTGCTCCCGTGGACCCACACGGCTGACCCATCATCAACCCGGCATTTCTTGTCCTTCGTTCCTTTTAAAACCAAGACTTCGGGCCGATATGGGTGCCCGCCGACTTCCGCCCTTTCAAAGGGGCCCGGCCTGGTGGTTCTTGGCGATGGCGATAGTGCCGGCTGGGAAGGATTTGGGCTAAAGTCTGGAAGGAAAACATGATTCCCAACTTGAGGTGTTCCCGAAATGCATTAAACTTGGTGATATGGGAGGACCAGTTTCGATCTGGCTGATCGGACTGGTCAGTGAGTCGATGACTGGAAGACCCTCGGGAAAATTTTCTGACAGCATCGTAGCCATAGGGTTCTTAGGGCAACCCAATCACTTTTCCCCTAATGATCACGCTGAATCCTGTGCAAGGCATCTGGACTACAGTGGATGATAGCTGTCGTGGTTCCGACCCACCACAGGCTCCAGAATTACCATCCATGGCTTGGCAGATGTTGTCTGGCGTCGCCATCGTGAAGATCATGAACTATCTCGACTCTGTCCGAGGGTTGCCCCTAGGCATCGTCACCTCACTAACGACTGCCGAGAAATGATCCACCGCATCCTCTCACCCCCCGTGGATCCCTGGTCTCTGATGTGTTCCTAATGTTCCCGTCCCCTGTGGGATTTTTGACCCTCTTCAGCGATAATCAGAGTTTCGTATGCATGTCGCACAATGTCTAAGCCAACCATGGCTGATGTGTGGCTCTTGGCGCGCCCACTAGAATCTCGACTAGTGACGATTGATATCAAGGAAGAGGACAGGCTCCTGTGCAATATTTGCCCCCTACACTTTGATCCATGCGCGTGGGGGTTTGTGTCAGAGTGCATATATGGACGATGCCCACCACCCTGCAACTATTCTCTAGTTGATAGATCTCAATTGAATACCATTGGCTTCATCTGTTCTCGACCCGCCTCGACTGTCTGGTCTTGCTTTGCTTCTCATCCTCTCATAGTTTCACGTTTGTCACGTTGACTGCTGCCCTACATTCGTGTTGCCCACTTTTCATTTGACTTTCGTTTAATTCCTTATCAATACTCTGCTACCTGGTTTCAAATTGATCGAGCTGCAGGAGATCCGTCGCTTATCGATTTCTTGTTTTGTTTTGGCACACCGTTTTGCATCCACTTCGGAGGTATACGGTTCTGATCATTTTTGTCCAGTGGTGGATCGTTTCTTCTGACACCACACACTCCATCTTCAGCGGTCTCACCGGATTGTCATTCGTTGATATATATTGTCCTTCCTTCGTTCATCATGTTCTATTCTCACCAAACCCCCCAGCCGAGTCCCTTACCAAGTCCTATACCAAGCCCTTGTCCCAGTCCTACTCCAACCATACGTTGCAGCCCAGCTACCAGCCCTCACAACGCCATGTTCCCTCACAACACCATGTTGGAAAGCCAACAGGTTCCTCCTATGTCTTCCCATTCAAATGCCAGCATGCTTGATCATGGCCTGGAGAAGAAGCCCATGCATGTGGACTTCCGGGAGCGGCTGCGGCATTTCACTTGGGCCTGGTACACCCTCACAATGAGCGGCGGTGGGTTGGCTGTGCTTCTGGCCGCCCAGCCCAATACGTTCCCAGGGTTGCGGGAGATTGGACTGGCTGTCTTCATCATCAACCTCTTCTTCTTCGTTGTACTTTGTTCGGCAATGGTCGCCCGATTCGTCATCCACGGCAACCTCCTCGACTCTCTCCGCCACGAACGCGAAGGGCTCTTCTTCGGTCCATTCTGGCTCTCAGTCGCCACCATCATCTGCGGACTATACCGGTACTTTGGAGAGGACGCTGGAGAATCCTTCACTCTCTTCCTCCAGGTCCTCTTCTGGCTCTACTGCGCTTGCACATTGCTCACGGCCATCATCCAATATTCGTTTGTCTTCTCCTCCCACCGCTACCGCCTCCAAACCATGATGCCCTCGTGGGTTCTACCGGCCTTCCCTATCATGCTGAGCGGCACCATCGCCTCCGTCATCGCCGAGAACCAGCCCCCGAGCTCCGCCATCACTATAATCGTCGCGGGGATTACCTTCCAGGGCCTCGGATTCTCTATCTCCTTCATGATGTACGCCCACTACATCGGCCGGCTGATGGAGTCGGGCCTCCCCTGCAGGGAGCACCGACCGGCCATGTTCATCTGCGCCGGGCCCCCGGCCTTCACGGCGCTCGCTCTCGTCGGCATGGCCCAGGGTCTGCCGGAGAACTTCCGCCTGCTGGGCGACGAGAATGCCCTTGTCGAGGGTCACGTCCTCGAGCTGCTGGCCATCGCCTCAGGCGTCTTCCTCTGGGCCCTGAGCCTCTGGTTCTTCTGCATTGCTCTGATCGCCATCGTCCGCAGCCCACCCACGGCCTTCCATCTCAGCTGGTGGGCCATGGTCTTCCCCAACACAGGATTCACTTTGGCTACCATCACCCTGGGCAAGGCGTTGAACAGCCAGGCGGTCCTGGGCGTCTCCTCCGCCATGTCCGTCTGCATCGTGTGCATGTACCTCTTTGTGCTTTTCTGCAACGTCCGCGCTGTCATCCGCAAGGAGATTATGTGGCCTGGCAAGGATGAGGACGTTTCTGATTAACTTACCACGTTTCCCGTTAGGAGGCCATGTTGCCTCCAACCCCCCATTCTCCCTCCTTTACACCTTTCTCCTCGATTATATACCACTGCGCTCACTTGCCCCTTTCTTTTTGTTCTGCGTTGCGTTGTTTGATTTGACATGACGTTTTGTTCGGCTCTATAGATTGATTGTTTGGGTGCACACTGGCACGGCGTTCGGGATACCATACAGCGTTCGAACATCGGCACTCTGCTTGTTATTATGTGTGTTCTTTGCTGTTGTTTTTTCATCTCAACTTGCATCTCACTGTTACTTGGCCTTGGCATACCCCTAATTGTTTTCTTTGTCTTGTCTTTGTTCTCTTTTGCATCGCATCCATCCAGACTGGCATATTGTTCTGAGAGTACTACGTTAAAAGTGTTTTTTATTTTTATCCAATTGTTAGCATATTCGGTTTTCCACAATGTTCCTATTTAAAACGTAGATTATAAACGTATCTTGAGAAAAAAAAATCACCACACGGCTACAAAAGATATCGTGACACTTGTGCTTCGTGAGTAACCAACTATACATTGAGACATCATATGAACAATACCAACCGTCTACAATTCATCATACTCTACACTACTACGGAGTACTTCTACTACGAAATAGAAATACATAATAGATATAAACAAAGAATAGATAAGGAAACAAAAGCACTACCCAACTAGCGCCCCCTTCCCTCCCCCCTTTTTTACCCCAGGCCCATCAGATCTACTACCCAGTGGGCCAGTCCGAGTACGAAGTACGGAGTACACTCTAGAAAAGAACAATATCCAACAAGCCAAGATAGGCATCCCCCTTGTAGATCAGATCGCAGACCCATCCTATTTTCCTGGGTGATAGATGATAGACGCAGCGGAATCACGCCAAGAAGCCAAGAAGCCAAGAAGCCAAGAAGCCAAGAATTACGTCTCCGTTCCGTCTTTCCTTCTTTTGTTTGCTTCTTATCTATGCCGCTGGGAAGTGGAGACTGGGGAGAGGAGCGGGCTTCGTTTGAACAGGGTGGGTGGATCCGTCCCGCTCGCTATTTGTTTTAGATCTTGGTGAGATCCTTGTTTTGTTTCTTTCTTCTTTCTTCTTTCTTCTTTCTTTCTTTTTTGGAGTGATTGGAGGGGGTTGGTTGTTGACTACTAACCAAGTACGGATACTTTAGTATGGTTTGGCTGTTCAGGTTGGTGAAGTTACTCCGTACTTGGAGTATTTTATGTTTTTATCCATAGATTGTTATGCTATTCCTTTGGGTTGTTCTAGTGTCCTTACCCTCTTTCTTTCTTTCTTTCCCTCTCTTATGGATGATTGATACCTTTTAACCACCAAGAACGAAGTCCTATCAATGGAAAAGTACGGGGTCAATAAGTTTACGGATAGAGCCTGGGGTACCGAGCAAGGCAACCGTACCAAGTCAAATAGAATAGTTAGGTTAAATTAGCGCATCTACTACGCACACACTATCAGTATCCATATCCATATCCACCCAGATCGGCAATCGTCCGCCGTTTCTGGTTCTGGGTCTCTGGGGTTTCTGAATTTGTCATGCGTTACGCACGCACGCTCGTAGCCCACATCGACGATAGTATGAGATCATGCCCGTGGGGAACACGGGACTGGGGTGGAGTGGGCTATCATTCTTGTGTATTGATAGATAGTAGGTAGCTTGTATCCACTGTGTTCCCGTTCCCCACGGGCCGTCTTCTCCCCGCAGCGGCACGATGTGTGTACCGCATGGTGGATAGTTGGTGTTGGTTGGCATTACCGTGCCCTAGACGACGGACCACCTCGTCTCGTCTCGTCTCCTCGACGAAGACGTAGGTATTTATTCTCGCGGAGTTGTGCACCCTCTGGTGTTCTGTTAGACACCATCTATCTTTTCTTTCATGTTGACAATGGGATGGGGAGCTTACGTGTTTGTCCCGTTGCTGATGCAGGAAATTTGTTTTTAGCCAGCCTAGAAACGGATCATTTGGTTAGTTCGGCAAGGTAGAGAGGGATTGGATGACCCTACAGGCTCTGTCGCACTACTGGGCTGTTCACTGCACAGCTATGGTGGTTTTCGGGAATGGTTTACATAGGGTGTCTGTTGATTCATTGTATTAGTATTAGTTTGTTTGATTCGGGAGGAGGGGCCAATTGAACTTACGTTCCCAATGAATATCTCCCACATTGCTGCACGGATGTGGCCTTTTTGTTTTTAGCCAGCCTGTTCAGATGAAGTCAGATGTTGTGTCATGTCTATATTGATAGAGGGATATACTTACAAGCTCTGTCACTTACTGGGCTGGCCACGCTGCAGCTGCTTGAACAGGGCTCTTGTGTGGTAAGATTTAAGGAACCTTGTTCTGGGAGTGGGATGCGAGGTGTCCGTCGTCTAGGGCTGTACATGCCAAGCAATGGTGGTTTTTGAGTGGACGAAGGTGTAGCAAAGAATCACAGCAAGAGCACGTCCTAAGAGGACTAGCCGGCGGACGGGCAGTCATTCTTTATCCAGTCTGGTATGGTTGGTTAGCACGTGCTAGGGCTATCAAGGGACCAGTGTGGCTTACAAGCTCTGTCACTTACTGGGCCGGCCCGCGGTGCCTGGCAGATGCTCTTGCTGGAAAAAAAAAGTAAGAAGTATAAGTCTAGCCAAGATCATAGAGATCAAGCAAGTCTAGGTCTGATGGGCCCGCTGGAAGATGAAGTCTGCACCGTCGTCCTAACCAGCGGATTAGGACAACGATGGAGGGTAGACATAATCTACCCATCGATGTATGAACACTTCCTCATGAGATATTATCACCTGCGGACCAGACCACCTGTTAGTCGGTTCTAAGACAGGGGAAGACTTACCGTTTGGGGGAAGTCTACGGAGTGTCGTGTTCGGCCGATGGAGTCGATCTGTTGGGTGATCATCATCAGCGCATCGTGGTGATTTCAGATAGAGCTTACAAGAACGCAGTCCCGGGAGATATACATAGAGGATCGAGAAAGAGAAACAGGGACACCGGATGCAAATCAACCGACAGGGGATTGCGAGTAGACGAAAGAAGCGGCCAGAGGGGGTGAAGCGTACATTCTTGAGTAAGACGAGATGGATCGAGCAGGGGGGGTATACTTTCAGCGGACAGATGGTCAATTAGGTTCACTCGAGGGATTGACTGGACTGACACTGGGTCCATGGTCCATATCGAGGTCATCACCATTACATCGGGGACACGACTACTACTTAGCAAACGGACAGCATTTCTCCTTTGCGGGTCAAGCGATTGAATGGGAAGAGAAAGAAGAAGAAGAGAAGAAAGAAAGAAGAGGGGAACTCCCTTTGTATCATTCCATTCATGTAGACCCGTCGAATGCTGCAAGGGAAGAGAGACATACGTCCCAAGCTGGCGGCGGTATCATATCCTGCAGCAATCAACGGCCACCACGCTGGGAGTTACCAGAGATCTCTGGGTAGTACTCTTCAGTCTCACCCACCGTGTTGACTCCATCTCGGAATCAAGGGTAGCTGACAGCTGAACGACCGATCGATCGCATCTTGGGACTTGCGACGATATCAAATCTCCGGATAGGAAGGCAGTTCAGACCGATGGATGAAACGGAGACGAAGAAAAGCGGACATAGGAAGTAGGCAAGGTAGACAAAAACAGAGAGAGGAACGGAAGGAACTGTACTGGTTACATTTCTGGCGAATTTTATATACATCGAAAAAAGAGAGAAAGAGAGAGAAAATAAGATCAAACCTGGAGAAGGGGGGTAGACTGTAATATTAATTTGATGGATATTTAGACGGTGTGTTGGAGGATCATGATTGTGTGAAGATGAAGATGAGAAGAAGAAGAAGAAGAGAAAGAAAAAGAGGAGAGAGAAAAAGAGAAGCCATTGAAAGAGGGGTGACAACTCAACCGATTCCCCATAGGGCGATCCTAGCGGTGAACAGGACTGAGTCAGTCTATGTTTTGATAATAATTATAAGGATGATAATTTGAAACAAGTGAATTTAACGCCAATAATCCTAAGATACATATAGACAAGGTGGGTATCATTTATTCAGCATTTCCCAATCAAGCTGATTTATATGGCTTCAACTCCAAGAGAAACTGGGAATCCCCTTCTCATTCCCCTCATTCCTTTCCAGGATCCACGCAAGGATGGAAATCAACAGAATCATAATGAGAATGAGGAGTATGCAAGTTGGCGCTTGGCAGCCACGTGTGGGACCCAATCACGACCACCAGTTGGCGGTCAATGTGGTCCCAAATGCATCGGGCATCCACGCTGGGAATCTCTCCATCTCCAACCCATAAAAAGAACTGACGTGGTGTCGTACTCGTCCAGCGCGACCCATGCCTTCATGGTCTTCTCCCAAGGATCTCTGCCACGTGCACGGTGGTGTGGGTGTTTCAACAACCTGAAACAATTCTGTGACCCTCCTTCAAATCTCCTGAAACAACCCATGAGAAATGGTTCCTGATGGCTGAGCTGAGCTGTCGCGGGCCGGAGAGTTGTAGATCGGTTTCCTTCCATCCATCCATCCTTCGCCCAGTATCAAACTAAGCCACCTTACGCCCAACGTTGCCAATACCGCGCCCGACCACACTGACGATGACGTCGCTCGTAGTGTTGTCGTCGCTGGCATCGCGAAGACCCCAGCCGGGACACCCGAACTTGGTCAGGTCGCGCGCCAACTGGATGACGCTCTCGTCGCCCACCACCTCTCGCCCCAGCTGCAGGCGACCGACATCTTCCGTCCCCATCGTCATGAGTCCCAGCATCGTCGGCGCGGCGGCGGGCGCCACACACCCGCCCTTGGAGATGGTCTCCAGCAGCTGGTACGCACACTGCTTGCCGATATCCTCGGGCGGCTGACCGCCCGACGGCGGGCACGCGACGTCCGCCGAGTACAGACAGCCGGTCGATGACTCGGCGACCAGCGATAGCCCGAATCCCAGACCAATCTTCTTCTTGGCTGCAGCGCTGGTCTTGTCGGGGGCGTCGACGAGCGGCGCGGACGACATGTCTGAAAAGACGTAGGTATCCGGCGACAGCGGGTTAAGGATGCCACGGGCGGTTTCGATCATCCGGGCATTGTTTGATCCCGACGTGCCGACCGAGTAGGCCACACCGCGGATGCGCTTAATCCGACCGGCATTCAACATGTGTAGTGTCTTCGCGAGACGGACCTGGTGCCCAAAGACCAGCTGCACCTCGCCACCACCGCCCTTGCCGTTCGGGCCGGGGTTAGACCGCCGTAGCACGCGGAGCTCAATGTTGTTGAAGATGCCGAATTGGTTGTAGAGCGGGAGGATGGCGGTCCGCACGCTGTCGACGGACATGTCGCCCGTCGGGGTGGACGAGGTGATGACGCCCGGACCGCTGAAGAGGACTCGGATGGGCGCCTTGGAGAACGGAGCGAGGAGACAGAGCGGGACGAGGAAGTAGCTGACGCCGCGCGAGCAGTTCGGCGGGAGCTGGTGGTGGATGACGCCGCCGCTGGCGCCATTTCCGGGCGCGCTGCCCGTGATCAGACCGGGTTTGAAGACAAGAATCGTACCGGTATACGAGATCTCCATCTGCGAGCCATTGGTCACGCTCTCGATCAGACGGAGGAAGGAAATCTCATGCGGGGCCAGACCGGGATTGGTGGACGACGGGCGAATCTGGGAAATCTGGATGGTGCGGCCGGTCAAGACGGAAAACACCAGTCGCCAGACGAAATTCTTGTGCGAAGTGAACCGGACGGGGGGTTGGGAGGTCGCCATGGTGCGATTCTCAATCGGAGTCGTGCAAATGGTGGTGAAACTGAGCAAGAACAAGATCCAACTTCCGACGGAGAAAAGAGAAAAAAAAAAAGTAGATCGAGAAAATCAACCGGGGCGGTGGATGATCCGCTCCGATGGTGGTCCGCGCTTAAGCCCGGCGTATCTCCGGGTATGGGCCTGAGGAACCAACGATTAGAAGTAAATCATGAAGCATGAATCATCTCGATCATTATCAATCTCCTTGATCTTATCCATCCCTTCTTGATACTTACCTGTGCTATCTTCTTACTGCCCTCAGAATCATAACTAACTCAATTACCCCCGAGACAACATGCTTCCCCCAGCATTAAACATCCCCAAATGGTACATCCCACCCCAGCATACCTTACCCCTCCCCCACTACATGACTTACATACTGTCTATCACCACCTCACCACCGCAATATCACCACCACACCTCAACCAACAAACCCAACAACTAACCCCTCCCAATCAACAGGCTCGAATCCAACTCCCACCTCCTCCAACCCCCCGTAAACAACCACTGCATCTACCACCCGTCCTCCCCAACAACCCCCGGCTACACAGTAATGATAGTCGGCGGCCCGAACGCACGCACCGACTTCCACATCAACCCAACCCCGGAATTTTTTTACCAATACCGGGGATCCATGCTTCTCAAAACCGTCGACACCTCGGCATCAACCCCCGTCTTCCAGGACGTGCCTATCCACGAGGGCTCGCTGTTCCTGCTGCCAGCGAACACGCCGCACTGTCCGGTGCGGTTTAAGGATAGTGTGGGGGTTGTTGTGGAGATGCCGAGGGGGGGCGAGGGGGTGATGGATGCCATGCGGTGGTATTGTGCTGGGGAGGGGTGTGGTGAGGTTGTGTGGGAGAAGAGGTTTGTGTGTGTGGATTTGGGGACGCAGGTCAAGGAGGTAGTGGAGGAGTTTGGGGCGGATGAGGGAAAGAGGACTTGTGGGGGGTGTGGGAGGGTGGCGAAGACGAGGTTTGAGGAGGGGGAGGTGGTGCAGCCACCACGGTTTCCGGAGTAGCGTGTTGTATCTTGCTTGTTGGGCTGTTTTATTGTGTTGTATTCATATCTATTTTACCCTACAGCAATGGTCATATTTTGAACAAAGGACTCTGTATCCTTGTCAATTGTATTAAGTGCACGCGGCCTATATATAGTGATTAAATGCATCAGGTCCAAACGCTCGAAGGATGTAAGCCGGCGAGTGTATCAACGAGGAATATAAAAAAAGAAAAAAAGAGAAGAGAAGAGAATGAGAAACAAAGAAGGAGGGGAAGGTGAACAGAAGAAAAGGGAAAAACGTCCAAACAGACTCAAATAGCTGAACGGAGCATGAAGCTATTAACACATGGACCAAGCGGCCCTGGAATAATAAACAACCCTGGCAATCTAAGGCGTCTGCCACCGATAAAGAGTATAGTCAAGCATCAAGACACTAGCCAACAGGATGGAAGAAGAGTGAAGAGATAGAAAAAAGGGAAGACCAAGATCAATGGATATACCGATGTTGAAACAAGCAAAGGGTGATTAAACAAAATAGGCAAAACAGACCCGGCACGCTGTACCATGAGCACATCTCACATTACACAGTGGAGGAGCGTTGAAGGTCGCAAAAAAAATAAAAAATAGATAGGAGTGAAAGAACATATCTAGGTGCCCGTCACCATGAAATTCATGTCGATATGCAGCCCCATTTAATCGTCAAACGGGCAATCGATGCTCTCGTGGCCGTCTCTCTCGCAGAGCGCACACCACTTTGTTTCATCAATCACACCGCTCGCTTTCCCAGCCACCGGGGCCATGGAGGTTGTTGACATGGACGACGACATGGCCATGCCGACTCCTTTCAGTCCCTCTGCCACCACATCGCGGCCGGTCTTCTGGGGGGTTGTGCTCTCACTTTGGCTCGAAGGAGTCGCGTCCCCAGCCGCCGAGCTCTCCGAGGTCGGCTTGTCTTCCGTCGCGGTCTCATACTGGGAAGGCCCCTTGGACGGTGCGTCTTTGTTCTTGTTCTGCGCACCGAACATGTTGGAGCAACTCAGAATATCATGATTCCCGGTTTCGCAGATCTCACACCACATGGAATTGCCGTCGTCCGAGCGGCTGTCGGACTCGGGCATTGTCTCGAGGCGACGGTGCGAGGCATCCGGGGCCGTGCGTTGGGGAGGATAGGGTTGGTAATCGTCATCCGGCTCGGGAGCATCGTGCCAGTCACTAGGGACCACGGTGCGATCCGACAGGCGATGCGAGTGGTTGCTAGTAAGGTGGTTGCTAGCCTTCGACGTGGACCCGGTCTTTTGGTGGTGGGGGGCCGCAACAGTGACTGTCGAGCTGCGGGTCCGACTGTTACCGTTGGTCTGGGACTGTTGCAGCTCCCGCTCCAGCTCCTCGATCCGGTAGGTCTTCTGTTCAGTCAGGCGTTCGAGCTCTTGGACCTGTTGCTCCAAGTCGGCCAGGTGCTGAGGGTCGTGGTCGCCCTGGGACTTGAGCCCATTCTGCTGAAGCGCATGGATGTCAGGATCTCCCCGACTCAAAGAATGGATGATGGCCTTCAACCCGCGGATCTCGTCGTCCTTCTGATCCAGCTCCCGAGATTGACGGGGCCCACCCGTGCTGGATCGAGGGCCTGCAGAGTTCTCTCGCTCTCGCTGTAGCTCGAGCTTGGTCCTCTCCACTTCGCCTCGAAGGAATTCCACTTCCGCCCGAGCCTCGGCCTCTCCACGGCGGGCATCCTCGAGACCTTCCTCGAGCTCCGACACGAGCTCTTCGAGCTGCTTTAGCTGCCGGGCCACCTCCTCGACATCCTCCCCGCGATCTTGCAGTTCCCGGTTGTGCTGCATCACCTCCTCGAGCCGCTGTTCGTATACCCGCTCAGTTTCCGACGCGGCGATTTCCAAGGTGTCGAGAGTACTGCGGAAGTCGGCTCGGTGCAGATCGAACTCGGCCATCAACTGCGCGATCCTGTCGTTCTTCTCCCGCAGCTGGGCCCGGACCGAGAGGGCATCGGAGCCCTCGAGCTCCTCCAGCAGATGCTGGAATTCGGATAGCGCCCCGGCCTGTTCGCCCAGCTGTTGGTCGCGATCCGACAGCTGTTGCTCGAGGTTCGACACACGGTCTTTCAAGCCTTGTATCTCGGCCACATTGGACGTGCGGATGGGGAAATCCGAGGTTCTGGTCGACACGGCGTCATCCTCCAGGCTCACTCGCGAGGGCGGACGATCGGAGGCCCGAGACGGAGCCTTGACGGGGCTTCCTTTCACGGGACTCCGCGGATAACCGTTCGAGCTCGGAGCAGAACGGGCGGCGGCGGACGGGGTGCGTAGTCCGGCCAGGCTGAGTTTGGAGGGAGGCGGACCCCGGGGGGATTCTGGTCGCGGTAATGAGGGCCGTCTCACTCGCGGGGGCCGCACGGCGGGACTCGTACCGGGGCCCACGGACTTGCTGAAGTTGACCGGTCGGGAGGGGGTGGGCGGGTTGGCGGACGGGCCCATGGAGGACGACCCGGACGACCGTTTGCAGACATATTTGTTGTTGTTCATGGGCACGAAGATGCCCGACCCGGCGATGGACGTCGCAAAGTACTTCTTCCCATCCACGTCACCACTGTTCTTCCCGCGTCTGGCATGCTCCGCCGCCAATTCAATCCCAGCGAACTTCCCCGGCTTTCCGGCGACAGTCCCGAGATATCGGACCGTTCCGTACATGCTACCGGGAACATTCACCAGGTCTCCGACCTGGACCTCGTCGAGGGGCGCCATTGGAATGTTGGTATGGTGCGGGGAGGGGGCAGACGGTGGAGAGAAGCGTTGTCGGCCGTCCTCGTCGAGGATTTTTCAGAGGACGGGAAAGTAGGAAAATTTAGCAGAAGGGGGGGACGAGGACGCAGGGAGAGTCGGAGCAAGAGGCGGTCGCAAGGGACGGTCAGCAGGGAGTGAAAGGGGTGGAGCGAGAGCGACTCGGAGTGAAACGTCGAGGCAGCACAATGGATGAAGGTGAGCAAATTGAGTGAGACCGGTCACAGACCAGCAATAATCATGGCGTATTTGAAGGACTATCGACACTAGAGAAGCCGGGTGAGGCCGTCGGAGGATTTTCTAGGATTCTAGGACGGTCGAACGAGTAGGAGCCGGTCTCTAGAAATCAACAACCCCAGTCTGGACCCAGTTCCAGCTGTTGGGCAGCTACCGAGGGGTCTTGTTTATTATTATTCCCAGGGGGAAAACAAACCCAAAGTGAAACCCCACCGTGGTGGATAATCTCGTGGGAAGTTTGGGTTTGGACCTTATTCTGAAGTGTCGATAGCAAGAGTCAACACTGGATTAGGGACCACGGTCCAGGGGTTCAAACGGGGAGCCACCAGAAGCCGCGACTAGTCCGTTAGACGGGGATCAACTGAGTTAGAAGCTTATCCGAGAATAGACAGTCTCCTGTCAACAATGGGCAAGGAGAGGAGAGAGGCGAAGTGATCCCAGACGAACCATGGATGGGGTTCTATCTCCACTGCGGCGAGAGATGACCAGTCACATCAGGGTGGATTACGTCAGTGGTGAGTAATTATCCACGTGAACTAGACTGCATATGCTTAGATTAGTCATTGATGTAGAGCTTTGCTTACTACGGTATTACATAAGAGGTACATGTATGCAACTTGTACGGCGTATAATTCAATCCTCTAATCTGACCAGTTGCAGGATTCTGGTCATCTTTATAATCATTCCTTGGTTTTCTACAGTATCTGAATACACTCTTTCATTTTCTGACGTTCTGTTCTGGCCACTTGTCCCCTGTCCTTCCAAACAGCCTTCGCGGAAGTGGAGTTCCAGCCGCCCTGATCCACCCATCATCATCCAGTTCAGCCTTAGTTGGAGCTGCACGTTACATCTTCCAACCCTCCACTCCATCCCTTCCTCACTGCCGTCTCCCCCGTCGTATACACCCAACCAGGAAAAAGAAAAAGAAAAACAAGAACCGTCAGAATGGCGCAGTATTTCTTCGATCTGCTATATAATTTCACGGATTGCATGTGCTGCTTTCCCAGCACGCCGCAACTGAAGATCAACAATCGCAGCTTTAAAATGCTGCGACTCCTAGGTGAAGTATGATCATCCGTCGTCCCTTTTCCTTGTTATTGGTATCCCAATGTCGCGTTCGGGTGGAGCTGACCGATTGATTCGAGTAGGGTGGCTTCTCATACGTTTATCTTGTTCAAGACAAATCAACCTCCGAACTCTTTGCGCTGAAGAAGATCCGTTGTCCATTCGGTCAGGAGTCCGTCTCGCAGGCCCTAAAGGAAGTGGAGGCATACAACCTGTTTGCGAACCAGTCCAACATCATCCATTCGATCGATCACAGCGTTGCGACCGAACCGGGGTCCAAGTTTCGCGCCGACGGGGGCGATGCTGGCTCCAAGACCGTCTACATTCTCCTGCCGTATTACCAACGCGGGAACCTCCAGGATGCGATCAACGCCAATCTAGTCAACCACACCCGCTTCCCCGAAAAGCGTCTAATGGTGCTGATCCTGGGAGTCGCCCAGGCTCTCCGCGCCATGCACCAGTACCGGGTGAAGAGCGGTTCCGGAACCACGCGCAAGGCCAAGGCGGTTCGGCGGGAGGGCGCAGAGGCCGACGCGGAGAGGACGATGACCATGAAGCCCCAGCGAAGGGCCAGCCAAAAGGTTGCGGACGACGAGGAGGACGAGGAAAACGAGCCGTTGATGGATGACGAGGTCACCCAGAGTCAGCAAGGAATTGCGGATGGCCAGCTACGCCCCTATTCCCACCGAGACATCAAGCCTGGTATGTTGTAATGCAAGTTATCGTTGGGACAATCGCTGACCGCTACAGGCAACGTAATGATCGATGACGACGGTCGGAGCCCGATCCTCATGGATCTGGGGTCCCTGGCGCCTAGTCCCATTGCCATCACGTCGCGGTCGTTGGCCATCGCCGTCCAGGATACCGCAGCCGAGCATAGTACCATGCCGTATCGCGCCCCCGAACTGTTCGATGTCCAGACGGGCTCGGTAATCGACACCAAGGTCGATATCTGGTCGTTGGGATGCACGCTCTATGCCTGTCTGGTAGGCAAGAGTCCCTTTGAAGCGCGAAGCGAGGAGACCGGCGGGAGTCTGAGTATGTGTATCATGGGTGGCGATTGGCGATTCCCCGACGAAAAGTCGGGCGCAAACAAGGGCAAGTCCAAGACGGGAGGCGGAGACGCCCAGCAGGCCGATCCCGCGACCATCAGCGACCCCGTCAAAGATGTTGTCCGGAAGTGCTTGCAGGTGGAACCTGCCGACCGACCAGACATCGATGAACTCATCCAGCTCATCGAAAACGCCATCAAGGATCTTCCGGACGACGATGGGATCTCAGGTAGCTCCCGTTAGACCTGAGCGGATTCTCTGTCCTTGGTCGTTGATCCATGGGCGACGTGGTCTAAACTACATATGTACCATATGAGCCGATTTGCTTGCACATACATGTCCCTCTTCTCTGCTGTCCGTGGCTGCGATTATGCCATCTGCCGGTTTGATCCTGCGCTTTGTTGATTTATAATTCTCGAGTTTGATACCACAATTACATTGGCTGCAAGCGGGTTTTGCAGGAGCTTTGACTGACTTGATTTCGAGCGGACTCAAGTCCGATCTTACCGTAGGACGAGTGGGATGGACAAATACCTTCAAGGTCTCGTAGAAGGGGACTGATAGGCGTAGACCAACCATCTACCTGGTTGGTATTGATAAAGTGATTGGCTATCTCATTGGAGACTTTAGCTTCTCCTTGGTAACCGACAAAGAGCTGCCCTTCTCCCCGCTTTCTCCTCCCCAACTATCTTTCCCCCCGAGGAGAATAACCCAACATTGGACCTTCTCCTCACCAGACACGAGAATAACCGGACTGTCATCTCTCTCACCTCCGCACCAAGTGGATCACACACGATACCCCCATCCTCCACAAGGGGTCGCGGAATGGTTTCCGGTACCCCTGCTTATCGCCACTGGTCCCCGATCCTGGGGGGAACAGATAAGTGGCTGGAAAGGGCGATGATATTCCCTCGATGGGGTTTAGGGTGATGCAGGTATCTGATATCAGAGGCCGGACGGCAAAAACGCTGCAAAGATACTCCAATCAGTGCAGATCGTGATTCGATGGTCGAAGCGGCATTCCTGATAAAGTGTTCTGGGCTGCCGGTGTTTATATTCCGAGGTTACGCCCACATGGGCAATTGTCTCTTTCGCTGTGGGGTTCTTACTAGACCACTGCACCGTGATATAACGACTGATGGCGCCTCTGATCGACACAAATGCCATTCCTGGCACTTTCACACTGGTGGACTCGGACCATGTGGTGGCCCGTCGCCATCTAGATGGGGGCAAATCGGACATTGTTCTCGTCCCTGAACCGTCTAATGATCCTGACGATCCGCTCAATTGGTCGCCTCGACGGAAGCTGTTATCGACTATTTGCGTCAGCACGTAGGTTGTCCTCATCCATGTCCTGAAACGTTTTTAACAGAAGTAGGTATACGCTCTTTGCCGGGATCGGGACCTCGGTCGTCTATTCGGTGCTCACTCCCCTCTCGGAGGTTACTGGGCTTTCAATACACACGCTGAATGAGGGTACTGGTTTTTTTTTCTTGCTTGCGGGTTGGGGACTGCTATTTTGGCAGCCGTTTGCACTGCAGTATGGGAAGCGGTTGACGTTTCTGGTTTCATTGATTGGGGTTATAGTAAGTCTATGATGTATACACTTTATATACAGGGCTGACTCAATGGTGCATGAAGGGGACACTGATATGGGGGTGAGTGAACCACTGCACGCAGGGGTACAGCATACTGACGAACAGGCCATTTGTGCAAAATAATGGACAGTGGATAGGACGAAGCATACTGGCGGGCTTCTTTACAGCCCCAATTGAAGCCCTCCCAGAGGTCGCCGTGACCGACGTGGTATGTCTACTTTGGAATCGGCGAGGAGGCGACTAACGCGTGCAGTACTTCACGCACGAGCGCGGGACCTATATGGGTCTTTATGCCTTTTTCCTAGCCGGAAGCAACTACTTTGCGCCTGTGATCTGTGGCTTCATCGCCGAGCACCATGGGTGGGAATGGGTCTTTTACTGGCCGGCAATTTTCTGTGGCTTTGCGTTTGTGTTTCTGTTCTTCTTCATGGAGGAGACCAACTATGTGCGCCAGATGGAAGTACCCGAGGAAACCCCCGATGAATCTCCAGCTCTACCAGAGCCGACTGAGAAGGAGAAACCTGTTCCTGTTGACACGACGCAGGGCGATGCGGAACGAGGAGTAGTGTATAATAAGAGAAGCTACCGTGAGAAGCTCTCCGTGATAGGGGCCCGACAGCCGAGAAACAACATGTTTCGACGGTTCTACCAGACGCTGTATTACTTGAGTTGGCCAGTGGTTTTCTACGCGGGGTTAGACGCTTCATGCTTCTGAAAGATGAATACTGACTCCAATAGATTTTCTTACGGCTCTTATTTGATCTGGTTCAACGTGCTCAATGCGACTGCCTCGATCGTTCTTGGGGGGGAGCCGTACAATTTCGGGTATGCGCTCCTACTATAAACTATTGCACCCATATAAACTAATTGTACAGATCATCGATGGTCGGTCTTAGTTACGTTGCGTGTTGCTTGGGGGTCATATTAGGGTACGTACCTCAATACCACAGTATCTGCAAGCACAAGCTAAGAAGTTAGATCCCTCTTCACCGGCCGCTTCAGCGACTGGCTCACCATCCGCCTGGCTCGACGCAACAACGGAATCATGGAAGCAGAGCACCGTCTTTGGCCTTTTGCAGCCTGTCTACTACTCGTTCCTGGATCCTTACTTCTGTGGGGCGTAGGAGCAGCACACGAAGTGCACTGGTTTGGGCTATTGGTGGCTATGTGTGTATTGGCACTGACCAACACGTGTGGCGTGACTCTGAGCGTGAACTATCTGGTGGACAGCTACCGGGAGCTCAGTGGTGACGCCATGTCGAGTATTATCTTGGTTCGCAATACGATGTCGTTTGCTGTTGGCTATGGGTATCTACACCTTCCGTTTCGTTCTCTACATGTTTTCCGCTTCGCCTACAGTCTAACACTATGATAGGATCACACCGTGGATCGAAAACCTCGGGTACCAGGATTGTTTCATATCGGCTGCGTTTGTCGGCCTGGCCTGTTCGGCTGTCTTCCTCGTCATGATCAAATGGGGCAAAGGGTGTCGTATTCGCAGCCGCGAGAAATACTGGGCTATCGTACAAGAGAACCAAGCGAAAGGGATGGGCCATTGACTTTCAACACTATGTACCAGACATACATACACATCTATATACTCAATCCAAATCAAACACACAAAAAACGAGAAAGATCAAACCAAATGAATATCCCCCTTCTCATCATACCCAATCTCCCTCATCCTCACACTCCTCAAATGATCCACCCCCTTCGACAACTCACAATCATGATAAAACAACCACCACCGTCCCTGAAACTCCACAATAGAATGATGCGTCGTCCACCCAAGCACCGGCTCCAGAATCCGTCCCCGATACGTGAACGGCCCCCAAGGATTATCCCCAACAGCATACACCAAAAAGTGCGTATCGCCCGTCGAGTACGAGAAATAGTACTTCCCCTGATACTTGTGCATCCACGCCGCCTCGAAAAACCTCCTCTCGTGATCGTCCGCCGCAATGGGCTCGCCCGTCTCCGGAGCCAAGATCGTCACCTCCTCAACATCGGTATCAAACTGCAACATATCATCCGTGAGACGCGCCACGCGCGGGAAAAGCGCACGCACGCCCTCGCCCTTCGGCTCCTGAGGCCCGGTCTTGCTCGCGTCGAACACCCACTTCCCTGCATCGTCCCGAGACCAACACTGCAACTGTCCACCCCAGATACCCCCAAAATACATATACGCCTGCCCGTCATCGTCCACAAACGACGCAGGATCAATACTGTAACTGCCCTTCATGAAGTCCTTCTCCGCAGTGAACGGGCCCTCGGGCTTATCCGCCACCGCAACACCCATCCGGAACAGGCCATCTGGTGCCCTAGCGGGAAAGTACAAGTAGTATTTGCCATTCTTGGTCGCCGCGTCGGGAGCCCACAGCTGCTTTGCGGCCCAGGGGACGTCTTTGTCGGCCAGGACGACGCCGTGGTCGGTTACGGCTGGGGCGCTGCTGGTGGTTGCGTCTGCGGATGCTGGCGGGGGGGCACTGTCCATGGAGTAAACGTGGTAATCGACCATGTCATATTGGTCGCCATTGTCGTTGAACTGGATGTCTGTCTCGCGGTCGTGAGAGGGGTAGATGTAGATTTTGTTGTTGAAGACGTGGGCGGAGGGGTCCGCTGTGTAGATGTGTTTGACGAGGGGGGGGGTTGGGGGGGCCATTTTTCTTTCGTTTTTCTAGTATACGATACTAGTGTTGTGGTTATGATGGTAGTGATTGAGTTGTGATTGCAACGATTGAACTGGAATGGCTATGTTAGTACAGTATAGATCTGGCATAGGGTGGCGCTTTATAGGTATAAAGTAGGTATATTAACCGATCAGCCTAAACATCCCACAGGATTCATCCAGTATAACCCCGCAAACTACTCCGTCCTCCGTCCTCCGTACCGGAGTACTTATCTACGTATACAGCCGGCTAAATGACAGGGGTCTGAAACGGTTCGAGTTTCCATCCTCGGTCTAACGCTCAATCTTTCTCTATTGCTATGCTCATGATAATGCGGATCTAATGCTGAATGAATGACGCAATGCATGGATAAAGGAGAACATCATTGAGTCCTGCTCCGGAGAAGGGTTAAAAAGGAAGAAAAAGGAAGAGAAAAAAAAAAAAAAGAAGAAGAAGGGGGGAAAGACAAAACTAATTAAAGTGTCCAAACTTCATCCTCATCGCCACCTCCGAATCCTCCCTCGACCGCAAAAGACACTCGTCCCACTCGCGCTCCATCCTCGCCAACATTTCCGCCGCCGACTCAGGCTCCGATTCCGCTTTTGCCTTGGCCTTCTTAGAAGACGACCAAGCGGTCTCCGGGGCCTTGTCCCGCACAGGCGACTCACACCCGCGCAGACCGATAAACCGGCCGAATCGTCGGCGCTTGGTGCTCAGGTCTACCTGACCTTCGCCGTCTGAGCCTAGCCACGCCTGTACCGTGACTGGGTAGGAGGTTGTCGCGGGGAGAGGGGGCCAGACTTGGTGGAAGTGGCGGGCGAGGTTGTCGAGCTGGGCGGAGGTCAGCAGGTGGAAGGAGAGGAGGTTCTTTGGGAAGTCGGGGTGTTGGAGGCCTGTTGTGCTAGAGACGAGGGGGCACAACGGGGTTCGGAGATGGCGGAGGACGGGGTGGAATGAGGGATGTGCTCGTGAGAAACACTCTTCTGTGCGGGGGGACATGGGCGATGAGCTCATCCCTGAGGAGGACTGTGGTGATGGGGGTTCGACCACGATGCGCGGAGGAGAGAACGGATGGTTGTTGTCTAACATGTTGCAATCTTGCAGTGTGTCGCTTTGAAGAGAGCCTTGAGAGATCAGCGTCGATGGTCTTGTGGTGGAGAGTCTCAGGCCGCACGAGACGAGACTGCCGTCAGTCGGTCGTGGCAACAGCTCTCTCTATATAGGAAGCAGTCCAGAACCTTGTACAATGAACCAGGGAAACCTCTAAAACATGAAACTCTGCAGAATCGGGACAGCATTGTTCTCATCGTCCACTCATCTTTCATCCCGTTGTCTTTCATCCCATTCCAGGCTTCTATGCTGTGAACAACAACTTGGTAACGAATACGCTTTGTTCTTAATTTAGCAACAATGAAAACCAAAGAGACCCTCATTCATAACATCGTGAACAATAGATTGAGAGCTATGTAAACTGAATCATTGACAAACGATCGCTTTCAAGTGCAGAAATCAATGACATTGACAGAATTCGTACCCTAGTTCATGGCCAACTTGGCCACATCCCGATCTATCGTGCCCCGATTATTCGACACGGGCACACTATTCGGGTCCATCGCAGGAGGCAGCCCAACATGTCGGTTGATGAAGTTGAAGATGGTGTGATGCCACATCAGCGCATTCTCCGGATTCAAAACCCAGTGGTTTTCGTCCGGGAAGGTCAAGAACTCGCTGTCAATGCCCTTTGTCTGCAACACGTTGAATGCAGAAAGACCCTCCGCGATGGTCAGACGATAGTCCAATTCATTGTGAATGACAAGGTGCGGGGTCTGCCAATGCGCGGTATGCCGGGACGGATCCCATTGTTCCCAGTTCTCGGGAACCTTCCACAAAGGACCCTGCAGATCGTGAAACGGGAAGTAAAGCTCTTCGGTTGCAAGGAGTGCCGTGCAGCTGAACACCCCATCATGGGTCACGAGCGCTTTGAACCGTCGACCGAGGGGGTGACCCTGCATCCAGTTGACCATGTAACCGCCGTAGGACGCTCCCAGGGCAACAGCCCGCGATGTGTCGACATAACCCATGTTCTTTTCGATATACTCGAACCCCTTCTCGAGGTCGATATAGGGACTTCCACCCCAGTTCCCGCGAATCGCATCCGTGAAGGGCTGGCCATATCCCGTGCTCCCAGTAGGGTTGGGCGTGACGACGACGTATCCTTGCTCCGCGAACACTGCGGGATTCCACCGGGTGCTCCACTGGTCATTCCAGGCACCTTGCGGACCACCATGGATCAAATATGCCAGCGGATATCGGTGTTCCGGGTTGAAGGTCGACGGCTTCACCACCCATGCGTGAACGAAGTGGTCATCCGCCCCGGGGAACCATATTTCATCGACCTGTGCAGAGGATAGCCCGAAAGTCGCGCCATCGCGGCCAATAGAAGAAATGACCTGGGCATCCTCAGGGGATGCCGGGTCGATGATGGACCACTGACTGTTGTCCACCATGCTGTTGCTCGACACCAATAGCTTGGACGAGCCCGCACTTGCCGGTAGCACATCAGTCACATAACCCGAGTGGGTCAGCTTCTTCAGTACATCGGGTTTGGAATGGCGGATGTTGTCGAGCGGGAATTGGTACAAAACGCCCCGGCCGTTCTCCTCTACCGACACAAATAAGGACTTGTCGTCTTCAGCAAAAGACAGACTTGACGGGCTCAGACGCCAAAGACCCTCCCCGTCCGACGAGGCAAACGCCTCGATCATCTCGCCGTTCCACGGGTTCGGAACATATAAGATCCTGTTCTTATCGGACTCGTAGCCATCATGGCTCATTGCCAGCAGAGCGATGGAGCTACCGTCGGATGATAGAACGGGACTGGACATCGCCCCCTCCAGACCCTTCGCTACACACACCTTCGACTCCAAAGCATTCATACCCGTCCACGAGAACATCGGACAATAGTAACAAGAGCACGATGTGTGAGTGGCAGGATTGAGACTGGGATCTTTGGCAACGAAAACAATCGCAGACGGGCTAATATCAAAGTCCCCTGCGCCGCCAAACGGCGGGATAGGCGACTCCACGCCAGGGAGCCCACTGACGGCGATGAGGTTCGTGAGGCCCGATATCGTATACTTGCCCGACTGTCGGGTAGCCGGACTGAGAGGCGTCTGCTGGAGCAAGCCATACCAGATGGAATTCCGCTGGGGCTCAATATACGAGTCCCAGTGTCTCACAAATAGCGACGTGTAGTGTCGGCCCGTACTTAGCGGCTTCTTAACATCATGGGGATTGAACAGCGAGCCATCCTGGTTAGCCTTGCCCGTAACAGCAAACCCGATCTTCCCCGGCTCCACGACCGTAACTTTCAAATCCGAGACAGGGCCCGGCACGGTTCCCGCCGTGTATGTCTGGTCCGCGTGCCGCGCATCCCCGATAATGAAGGTAGTGTTGCCATTTGCCTTGGTCTTCAACCAGATCAGCTGATCCGTGTTGCCCAGCCATTGCGCCGAGCTGGCGCCGGGGTCGTTGGTGATCAGCGCGGATAGGCCGGTGGGGATGTCCAGCACACGGATCTCATTCGTTTTCGAGTGGGAATCGAACGAGTACGTGGTTTGGGTGTATATGGCGAGGGTGCCGGATGAATTGGGCACGGCGCCCGAGCGGCGGGGGGCTCCCAGAAGGACCCTGAGGGGTTAGCACCACACAAACTCTCGAGGCAGTAGGAAGCAATGGGCTCCAGGATTGAGTAGAAAATTCTCTTACTCCGGGGTGAACTTCATTGATCTGATGGTCATATCAATGTCCCTTGATCCGCCGATTGACTAATTAACGGTGAGATAAGATAAAGATCAGACCAGCTATCAGAGTGGAGCCCAAGATAAGAGATTAGGAGTTGCCAAGACAGGAACAGAAATTGAGAAAACCAACGAGGGAGACAAATAGAGAGGGAAAGAGAGAGAGAGAAGAAGAATGGAAAGAAGACAGAATTAGAAGAGAAAATGAAGAAGAGGGAGGAGAGACAGAGCGGGGAGCAGGACGAAGAATGTATCCCAACCGTGGCTGGACAGCCAAAAGGTACCCGCCCATGTGACCTTTTCACCCCTTCACCGACTACCGTGTACGTCATGGTCGAAAAAAATGATCAACGTGGCAAGCTTGCAGATAGATACTAGTATAATGTACATCAATTCCAAATGTGAATAGTACCAATCCAATGGGGGGTTCCATTCCCCACAATTCCCTTTCCCTTTCCCTTTTCCAGTAATTATTTATTCCTCGTCTTCCTCCTCGCTCTCGTCGTCCTCTTCCATCCCCTCCGCGGCAGTGACCTTGAATGTAGGCGCCTGGTCGACACCCACGTAGCTGTCGCTCATCAGGTACAGAGTCAGCTCGTGCTCGCCAGGCGATGGCACGATGTACTCCAGCCGCAGATCGAGCGTCCGGCCGATAGTCACGCGCTTGATGGCGAGCAGGCTCTTGGTCTTCTCGTCGCCGACCACCAGCCACCAGTTCTCCATCTTCTTGTTGGGGTAGAAGGGCGCGTGCACAGTCGTGTCGGGCTCCTCGTCTTCTTCCACCTCGCGCTCGATCTTGACCTTGAGGTAGGCCGGTTCGCCAGAGGTGACGTTCTCCGGGTCCTCGACCTGGAAGTCCAGGTCGATGTTGGGATACTTCTCGTTGGTGAACGCCGCAGCCTGCGCCAGCTGCTTGTTGTCGAGGCCAAGTCGCTTCACCAGCGTAGCGTAGTTCTTGTTCTCGGACGGGTCCATGGCCTCCATGAACTCGAAGATGTCGTTGATTCTGGGACGCAAGTTAGCACCGTGCGGGGAAAAATTCAGTAGATATACATACTCGTACTCGTTGGCCACCTGGATGACCTCCGGGCCGAAGTGCGGGATCTGTTTCAGGGGACTGTCGCGGTCCCACATAGCCTGGACCACCATCTGCGACATCTCCATGGCGTTCATAGCGTTGAGGTGGCCTTCCGACGACAGCACATCCACACACGCGCTGAGCAGATTCAGCACCTTGCTGACGATCTCCTCCTGGTCCTTGGCGAGATCAATCGGTAGCTGCATGCGCGAGAAGTGCGCCTGCAGCAGCACAAAGGCCTTGAAGTGCGGCGACTCGTACGCCGACTCGGACATCTTGACGGGCACGCGGTCGTACACGCGGCGCAGAATGTGCTCCTCATGACGACGCATCTGGATCGACTCGAACTCAGTGGCAGACGTGACGATCTCCAGGATACCCTTGAGCTTGGTCCGTGCCGACAGCGACAGGAGGAAGGTCTGCATGGTGATGAACGAGATGTTGTAGTAGGCGCCGATCATGGCGGCGTTCAGCGGCGACACGCTGTCGTCCTCCTCGTCGAGGTCGATGATCTTGGCCTCGCTCAGTTCCTTCAGCGTGTTCTCAACCATCTCCGATAGGAACGTGCTCAGTCCCTCGTGGCTGACGTCGCTGAGCCCGTAGAAACTCGGGTTCGCCAGCAGACGCCGATAGAAGTAGGTGTACGTCATCCAGTCCACGGCATCCTGGGTGGACCCGATGGTCCGCGTGCTCACCTCCGTCACGAACGCATCGTGCATGTAAGCCTGCAGATGGGATTCAACCGGCAGCGCTTCGTTGAGGAACTTCTTATAGTATTCACGCTTGACGGAGGGAACCATGAGTACGCCGCGGCCGATCTGGTCCTGGCCCGGGCGAGAAGCCTTGCCGAACATCTGCAGGATCTCGCTGATCGGGTAATCGATGTACCGATGTTCTCTACCCTCGAAGAACTGGGTCCCCATGACAACGACCAGATGTGCCGTAACATCCAGCTCCCAGCAGACCTCCCGCGAGGCCAGAAGCACCTGGATGGCCCCGATCGAGAACAGATGGGAGACAATTCGCTTGTCGGTGGAGCTCAGCGCCTCGTGGTAGTAACCGATTCCGTGAGAGAGCGACTCGGCCAACGTCCGCTCGTTAATACGACTGAGAAGGGGCGCCATCTCGCTCACCTCGGCGTTGAGGAAACGGTCTTCGTCATCATCCACGGCACATGCAGCCAACAGATCCATGGCCGAAGATCGGGTCTGTTTGCGGTTGGGCACAAAGATAAGAGACGGCTTGTCCGGAGACAGCTGCAAGATGGACATATAGGCGGGCCGGGCCATAGCGAGCATCAGTGACGGGAAATGGGGAATGCTGAAGGACTGGATATGGAGTTCCAGGGGAACGGGGCGAGCATGGGGGCTGAAGTTGTAGATTGTGTGCTTGTTGGCCCCAATCCACTCGCCGATATCACGGGCGTTGGCGAGAGGCACGCTCAACCCGACGATACGCATGCCGTTCTCCAGCTGCAGCGCGATAGAGTGCATGCGGGAGACCACGACTTCGTAGATGTAGCCACCGTAACCTCCGAGCATGTGGAGCTCATCCGCGATGAACAGCTGCACGGATTGCACGTTCTTGCGCCGTTGCCATTGTCGGGACAGGACGTCCCACTGCGTAGGCGTAGCGAGAACCAAATCGGCCCGCTCCAGGAGCTTCAGATCGGCAGTGGTTTCGCCAGTGAGCTTCACGATGTTCTTGCCCCCACCGACCTTGCTCAGCCGCTTGCCCCAATCGGCAAGTTTCTGATCAACAAGCTCCTGGAAAGGAGCAACATAAACCGCCCGGCCACTGTCTCCCTGAGCCCAATTGCGGAGCAAGGCAAGTTCTGCGCAGATGGACTTGCCGCTACCAGTAGGAGCGCCGACAAAGACATTCTCGTCCGAGTCGTAGAGGGACTTGAACGTCTGGGTCTGGATCTTGTTGAAGTACTGCCAGTCTGGATACAGCTTCTGGTAGTCGTCGCGCTTCAAGGCCTTGACGGGAGCCCGCTGCATGTCCAGCAGGGGCGTGTGAGGGGGGAAGCGTTCCGGCAGAATCAGCTTCTGGAAAGACACAGCAACCTTGGTCTCGGAATGCATCCAGCGGTCGGAAACAAGGGTGATGAAGTAATTGGGCGGCATCGGTTCCGTGATAGGCACGGTGAAGTCGACTAGGTGCTCGGTGACCTCGCCTTGGGCGTAGTCGCGGCGCAGGATAAACCGATCGTGGAACAAGATATCCTCCCCATCGCAATCCTCTACCAAGATCCAGAAGTCCTGCGCAGTACCGTGCAAGTCATCGTCCCACACGAAGTTGGGAGTGATGGTCAGCTCAACCCGGAGCATGGATCGCGTGATAGGTTGGACCTGGGCCTGGACTTCCAATCGAGGGAATTTGGCGACCAGATCGCAAACAATCCGCCCAGCCTTGGGCATACCGAGTAGCTCACCCATCCGGGGTGGGTCGAGATCGAAATAGCTTTGCCACGGCACGTCGATTCTCTCGGCCTTCTGTAGGATATCCCGGGGGCAAGACGAGAACTGGCGAAGCGGGGTCATCGTAGGCCACATGCGTCTCTCAGCCATCTTGCACAGATCGAGAGCAATCTTCGCGACGGACGACCAGCCCTTCTTCAAAGAGATCTCGAAGATGGCCCGGAGAATACGACCAGCCGACTGGGTGACGTAAACCATATCGGCCATCAGGGCCAGCCCTTCCAGCTTGAGACGCGAGATATATGCCTGCAACAAGACATTGATCTTCGCATGGGGCTCGTCGATACCCTCCTTGACAGGGACGGGAACGCGACCGAGGAGCTTGGCCAGCTCAAGTTTCTCGTCCTGCCGGACAGGGATGTACTTGAACTCGTCACTGAGAGCGAAGATGCGGAACAGCTCGATGGTGGTGATCGACGGCTGAAGATGCTGCGAGTACGTCAACATGGAGTTGTGGCCGATATAGTAATGCGAGGCAACGCGGCCCAGCTCCGTGGACTGTAAGCGGCCCGTCTTCTTCTCATACTTGACAAGGCCCGCTCTCTCGAGGATAATGGCCGCCGAGTGGACGAGGTCCACCCGCTTCTGCTCCAACGCGTCGTCATCTTCATAATCCGCACCGACGCTGTACAGGCCCGGAGATCGAAGCATGCGCACAAACAGATAGGTGTACCCCAACCAGTCAACGCCTTCGTCGCGAGTCCGGATGTTTCCAAGCACAACCTCGGCATTCATGTTGTCGGCGAGCTTGCTCATCAACTGACTTTCGATAGGAAGTTGCTGGTTCATGAGCGAGAGATAGTATTGGATTTCGGCTTGCGCTGTAATGATGATACCCTCACCGAACGTGTCGAACTGCGGACGACCGGCTCGTCCCAGCATCTGGAGCACATCCTGAGGACTCAATTCCACCCAGCTGCCCTTCTCGGGAGAATAAATCTGGGTACCCTTGATGATGACCGTGTGGGCAGGAAGGTTGACACCCCAGGCAAGCGTTGCGGTACACACAAGCACTTGGAGACTGCCATCGGCGAACAGAGCCTGCACGGAATCACGATCCGCAAGACTCAGACCGGCGTGATGGATACCGAACCCGTACGGCAACAGATCCTTTAGCGAAGCATCATCCACCGACTCGGCTTCCTCGGACAGAATAGCCCGACTGGCTGCATCACTGCGCAAGATCTGACCGATGGTCTCCATCTCTAGGGCCTTGTCCCTGATGTACTTGGCAGTCTTGGCGGTTTCCTTTCGCGAGTGGACGAAAATCAGCATCTGATTCCGGCGTTGCCCGACTTGCTCGAGCACTTTGTTGTAGCAAATATCGTTCATCGTCTTCAGCTGCTTGATGGCCTTCTTGTCTGTCACGCCGATAAACTCCTGCTTCAACGGACAGGGTCGGTAGGAGCCGTCAAAGTGGAAAAGGCCCTTGGCCGGGTCGATGCGGAGGAAATTTCCTACGTCACGATAGTTGGGGAGTGTGGCACTGAGACCGACGATTCGCACTGGATCACCGGTCTGCTCACCCTTGCGGATGGTCCTGCTTACGATGCTCTCGATGACCGGACCACGCTCGTCGTGCAACAAGTGAATCTCGTCAATGATGATAAGGCGCACCAGGTTGATGTAGCTTGTTTCGGATCCCTTACGGGTGATAACGTCGAACTTCTCGGGGGTGGTGACGATGATCTGTGTTTCGGCGATCTGCTGCTTCGTGAGCTGACGATCACCCGTCAGCTCCGCCACTCTGATGCCGTAGGGTTCGAGACGCTTTCCAAGGTTGCCGACTTGTTCCTGGACCAGGGCCTTCAGCGGGGAGATGTAGACAATCTTGAAATCATCCAGCATCACCTGGCCGGTCTCCGGGTTTCGGTTCTTTCCGATCTCACGGAGGATCGTGAGCATGGCGACGTTGGTCTTACCGGAGCCCGTGGGGGCACAGACGAGCATGTTGCCGTCATCCTTGAAGGCAGACGGGTAGCACTTGGTCTGGATCCGATTGAGCTCCTTAGAACTTCCAAAGCCAACACGAGCCCAATCCGGCAGCTCGGTCGTGGACATGTTCTTCTCGCCGGGTTCCCGCTTGGCCTTGGGGGGCGGCACGTGGATCTCTTCGTAGCCCTTGAAAGTTCGCTTGGTGGAGCCCTGGGGCAGCTTAACGTTGGGGTTCGTCATCAGATGGTTACCCTGGTGGAAGACGAGATTCTCCAAGTTGATCTGTCGCTTGGGCTGCAATCCACGCACGAGGCCGCCTTCCGTGGGTTTCTCCTCGGGTTCCGGGGCCTTGGGCACGTCGACGTCCATCAGATCAACCTTAATCTTCTTCTCCGGCCGGCCAGCGCCGTCGTCGCGGGTGTGTTTGCCACGGATCTCATCCAAAATGGCACGGTTCCCCGCCTCGACCATCTCGCTTTCAACCAGATGGCGAGCGTCGGCGTCCTCGGCCACTCTCCGCCAGCGAGTCACCCAGACGATTTTGTCGCGGTTGGTGACGAGCTTGGCGACCAGTTCCGGGTGGTCATAGTCGAAGAGTTCCATCAGGTCGTTTTCAACGTCGCGCAGGGGCTTCTCTTCGCCCTGCTCGTCCTTGCCACCCATGATCTCGAGGGCCTCGAGGGCCTTTTCTTGTTGGATATGCGCATCAGAATACGCCGCACCGATTTGACGCTGGAGCCAGTAGGCATCGATCTCCCGGGCCGCGACCGCTAGGCGTTTATCGCCTTTATCGTCCCGGCGATTCAGGCCGCCGTCTATGACCATTTCCTCGGACTCTTCCAGCCCCTCCAGGTCTGCCTTTTCGCCCGATGCATCGTCGACATCCTGCTGGTCGGCCTCGTCCTCGTCGGACAATTCGTCGTCATCACGGATCTCGTCGACGGTGCCCATGCGCTCGTCGTCCTCGTCCTCCTCGTCGAAGACAACGGCAACACCCTGTCGCTCGTCCAGTTCGCCATCGGCATCACCGTCCAAGCCGCCGTCCATATCCTCGTCTTCGTCCTGGGCGTCGTAGTCCGTAATCTTCTTGCCTAGGTTTACCAGCTCGTTGAACTCTTTCGGATTCATCGCGCTACCCAGCAAGTCATCGACCTCCTTCTTCTTATCAAAATCCTTCATATCCTCATCCTTCAACAGCTCGAGCACGGCATCAGCCGCACTGCGCACCACCTCATGGGGCACATCGCCCAGATGGTTCGCCGTCATAGTGAGGATAAGATCGTAGGTGACACGGGTAGCGGGGGTACGGGGGCGGTACTTCAACCCCTCAACCAGCGCATCCGCCGCAGAGAGAATGCCCTGACCGCGTAATTGAGCGGGCTGGCCACGTTGTCGCTTTCTCTGTTCGCGAGCGAGCACGTCCTCGCCTTCCCGAATAGCGCCGCGCTCTAAATCCGTCGGCCCGGCCGTCTTCTTCTTCGACTTCGGCGCGTCGTCACGCGAGATTCGCGAGCCCATCTCTCGGATGCCGATGCGTCCGGCAAGGGATTCTGGGTCGCCGGTGGGTTCATCGTTGACGCGGGAGACGAATCGACGGTCCGCCTGGAGAACCAGGTTGGACATCGCCGAGTATTTGTACTGGGAGATATTTTGGTCCGCCATGTTGGCAGAGGCGTCCGGAGTGGGACGATCCTATATTTGATAAAAAAAAAAAACAAAAAGGAAGGAAAGACAGGTGAGGTATCGTAAAATGCGACTGCGAAAAAAAAGCGTCGTCTGGGCTCGGGTGGAGCTCAGAATCAACCGGCGCGTCGAGACTCCTGTAACCAGAGAAAAGGGAAAAGATGAATTCTGTGATTGATCAGAGAGTTAGAAGGCTTCACGAACCTGGAGCATCCTCCTGCAGAAAACAGGAACACTTGCGGTGGAGGGTTGCAAGCTGCGCAAAAAAAGTAATTGAAATGATGAGAGTGGCAGGAGTTCCGGGATGAAGTTGGCCGCAAGTTCGGGAGACGCAGATTTCGGTGGCGGCGAGAGCTGTGGCTGCCTGGGTGCCTTGACACTTGGTGCCTGAGGCATACAGCCATGCTATCCGCCATCGTTCTCCACCGTCTGTCCGTACTGTAAATTATTGATATGGCTCGAATTTAGTTAACTATTTGGTATATTCAATTCGAACCGTCAAAATTATCTACGATGGTAATCCACCGGCCAGCATCCACACATCTTGTAAGACTCACCCTTATACTAGGATAGTATCTTGCTACGATAGCGAAAA